TGGTCGTTACTGTTTAATATTTTTATTAATTGTCTTTCTCTAAACTAAATTTTACTGTTTGCAGATGACCTTCAATTATACTAAATTATAAGGTCTACTTCAGATGCCACAGTAATGATTTTACAATGAGGCGAAATCGGATTGTTTAAAGACAATGAAAGGGTTGCTGATGAACCCTTTAATTCCCGTCGATGTCAAAAGCAGCAATATATAATGTCATATAGTATGTTATATAGATATACCGAGGGACTAAAGTGTGTGTTTTAATCCCGAGGGTGAAAATTGCAAAAAAAAGCACCCGAATATACGCTATTTTATGTACTCCTGTAATCAGCTACAGCAATTTCAATATTAACGTGCAAATTTGAAGGAAAACATTTTTTGATTGATAGTACGATCAATATACTCGTACTGTGTCATGTCAAATTGTGACATTATAATAATAAATGTTAGTTTAATTTAAAGAGTGAAGATTCTCGTTCAAAAGTACGGCGCAGGAATGATCGTTTAAAACTATTCAGAACAAGCTATGAGGAAAGTACTACGTCCCAAATTCAAAAAGATTTATGAAAAACACCTTGACATTTCAGTGTGTTCTGTCACTTTTTGTCCCTCGTCGCGTTTTTCTCCCAAAAGTGACACTTTAGTCCCTAAAATGAATGGCAAAACACGGAGTACCAAAAAAAGTTACAACCCCCCGCGATGAAAGTTAACCGAGTATATATAGAACGAATTTTCTGGAAAATTACGTAATTTTAATTTGAGAAGTGTATTTTTAAATGCAACCAAAGAGGTGGCTGGTGTATACTGTAAACGATTTGATGTTTTAGACAAATTTCAACCCCAGCAATTGAAGGTTAAACGAATGTAAAAGCGAATTTTCTTAAAAACCAGATAATTTTTCGACCACCTATTAGGTGGTGACTAATAATTTCGCGTCTACGACACAATCGCGATAGGTATGTAATCCTTTCACTTTCTATAACAGGGTTCAAAGTTCCATGATAACGTTATAGTCACCGCAGTGTGTTTCTTGCGTTTGGTGTGTAAGGTTCTCCTCTGTTATCCTAGTTTTGTTTTCTATTTGATTAAAATCTTAGTTGCGTTAATTTTGGAATTATCGGAATGTAACGTACTCGTACTTGCCGAGGTACTTGCTCTGTACTTTGCAATGGGAAAATGAAAAACGCGTGGTAAGTTTATGAGGGATGATTTTCGGAAGGGTTGTTAACATTCGCATGGTTATAACAGTACAAAATTTAAGGTCACTAACAAATTTTCGGCAGCTACTGGGCCAAAACTACAATTATGCAATACTGCTTAGTCTATCCCTGTTTAAAAGTGTGATTCACCGCTTATCCAACAGCATTGATAGACAAGTGCCCCATGTATGTTCTATTTGGTTGTATTACAAAAGCCCACTATCAACATTTCTGGAAAACGCCAATGAGATATTAAGAATATACTCGGCCTAATTCCTTAGGAATCCACATTCACTTAATAATCGCATTTGTAGTGAAAACTATCATCACTATATGTTTGAATTTTTCAAAATTTCATCAAAATTCTTGCAAAATAAGGTTATCCTTCTCAATCCCGGACAGTATTAGACCTGAAATTTACTTAGTTTTCATAGATTCAACGCTACAGGTAAAATTTGTGAGCACCGTTTTTCAACAAAAGCAGCAAAATTCGTCATGTTATGAGCTTTAGGAGCTTTGATATCACAAGGGTCTCAATTTTAGAGCCCGTTCAAATCGCTGGGAATGCAAAATTTGGTGGCCAAAAATACTTGAATTTAGCCCCCCCCCCCCCCACGAATTAAAATTACCTTTCGTAAATTAAACTGTGTACTGGATTTACGAACTATATTTAACTAATTTGTGAACGCCACTCAGATATAATCGTTGGGGCGGCCATGTCCATTCAGATACGCTTCTTTTTCTTTTACTTTACTTTTACTTACGAGCGACGTAGATCGTTCAGGATTTTGGACTTTCTGTGCGTCCATTCGTCCATTTGTGTATACATCATGAGTCATGACTCGCGAATGGTTTCGAATTTTTTAATTCTGTTTTCCGTAATAGATAGACAATGGTTAAGGGACTAAATTTTGGTCATTTTGGACTTTCTATCCGTCGGTCTGTGTTTTGTTGTTAGTTTTAAATTGATTTTTACCCATGAATTGGGAGTTTTAAGCACTTTCACTTATGGGTAACACTATTTTTGAGCCCCTCCTTTAGAAGTGCAAATGAATATCATCGTTGGGGTGACCAGATCTATCCGCACTTAGCCTCTCCTCTGTTCATTTCAATTTAATGTTTATGCATTCATCTACGTTAAATAAGTAAAAAAAACAGACCTCTTATACCTTATACCTCTTATATAGACTTCGGGTTTTTGTTATCAAAAATTTACTTTGGCATCCCTCACGTTGTTACCAAAAATCCGTCAAAGTCAATATTTAGGCATTCATTTTGTTTGCCAAATGACTCAACTCTATTCCTTGATGGCCAAGAAGTGATTTTTGGCGACCAAAAGATTTTTATTCTAAAGTTATCAAAACCGTTACTTATGCATCCATTTGCTTGGGAAATACTAACCTCGATTACTCCATGCCCAAGAAGTGATCCATGTGTAATGTGTATTTTTAAAGACAAAAATATTTTTACTGAAAAGACGTCAAAATCGTTATTTGGACACCAATTTTGTTGAGAAAAACACCAAACTCGATTTCTCGATGCCCTATATGAATGACAAAAATATTTTTATCCAAAAGATGTCAAAATCGATATTTATGCACGCTTAGGCTATAAACGTATCGACTTTAAAGGCGTCTGCCAATGAGAGTGGTTTCCGCTGGCAAAACCAACGTAGTAGTGGGTTTCGTTTACTTGATTAACCTGTTGTTTGCTTCTTGATACCATTATTTACAAATTACCGTATGGTTTACGTAGTAATAGTTACTAATAACAATTACTACAAACACAAAATACACGAGTTGAAATAGTAAAACGCATTACCATAAACCATAAAAAACAGACCCAAACTGAATATAGGACGTGGATAACTGACAGGTTGACCCAGGAATTCATGAACAATTTCACATTTGGCATTTATGTAAAATAAGATGGCGGAAAAATATCATTGCAAACTAATCCAATCAATATTGCGCCCCCACATAAAGCAAACAAAACGCCTGATAACAAAAATTGTATTATTTTGAATTCTAAAGCCACCTTCTTGCGAATGGTTAAAATATAAAGTACATGTGAAAAGTTACTTACCCTGTATTAACCTTCAAACGTCCCCTAACTCAAATTAATTAAACTAAAAGAATTTTACTATAACTCACACTTCCTATAAACGTTATTAAAGCCACATTCGCAATGAAACGTCCACGTACATGAGAAAACATTACGTGTATTACATCTCTAACAAATGAACAAAGCTACCTACCCCTAAATACGGTCCTCAACTGTTAACTTATTTTATAAACGTTGCGCAATATTTTATAAAGCCTTGCAAATTCAAAGTTATGGCCATTTATGTTTTCATGGTATTGTATGTCCAACAAATTATCTGCCATTAATGAAATGGCATCCGCATAACGTATGTTATTAATAATTTTTTCGAGCATTTTGTTCAATTAAGAGTGTTTGACGACTTATGGTTTCGCTCTACAATTAATTTCTTTCGTCAATTCATTGCTGTCCAATTCAAGTGTGACTTTTTTTAGTTTTACGCTTGTATCGAAAAGGTACAATTATTTCACCGACGTAATTTGAAGTGGCAAGATGCTAGTTTAAGATTTGTGAAGTACCTAATTGAAAAGTAGCGCTGAAATGAAATTTCAATTTCACCGAGATAAGGGAGATCGGGAAATTTGTTTTCGTCGCTCAAGTGTGGTTCATTAAAATAAAGTTGCAGGAGACCTCTTCGGGCTCTCAGTACGAGACGACAATAGGTGACATTACATTGTTTCACATTAAGTTGCATGCATTTTGCTTATAAAGTACTAGAACTTATCGAAGTGTAAGTAAAGGATGTTTCTTAAAACATCGTGTATTTTTAATTAATAGGAGCCACGCTATCTCTAGTTGAATAGCACGAAACAACATTGTGAAGCATTCCGAGCATTGTTGGAAATTCTCATTGGAAATTCTAGTCTCACGTGAATTATTACGCTGAATGTGAAGAGGGAAAAGCTCGTCTGCTATATTTAATATTTAATAAACATATTTTTGTGTCAACCATTCGTTAATGACAAATTTTATCTAAAAGAAGGTTTAGTAAAATACGTGGCAGCAGCAGCTTTTAGAAAAATTGATTCAACATCTCACGTTTCCGCTAGGTTTTTTTTGTGTAGCATCCAGGAACAATAGATTCCCGTCGCAATTATTCGTTTCCGTTTCGTTCGCGAGAATTAATCCGGGAAAGTTATTCACTCGTAATGTGAATCAGAACCAAGTCGTCATTATTTTGTAAAAAGGGGTGGCTCAAAGGAGTGAGCTCGCTTTGAAAAGGTTTATGCTAAAAAATTCAAATCCAGACTGAAAGATGCAAGTTCATAACTAACGGCAGCAGTGGCTTTTGTAATCTGCTAAAACGGTGTTACTCCCTTGTTTGACAAAGGGGATTATTTTGATTTAAGAATGTTCAATTAGAAATTTCAACTTTACGTTTCGAACACGATCGATTAGTTCCATTGAAACATACGAAAGGCGGAGGCGAATCGGAGACTGTTCTCGGTGCAAAACGAATTTCCTTTGTCTATTCTCAAAATTTGAAATCGTACATTCCGCCACGCGTCTCAAATTTATCATTGACAAATAGGGGGAGTCATTCATAAACCTTTGCGGCGAATTGGTCGTGCGTAGGGAAAACGTGCCATTAAAATGCAGACTGGGTTTCCTAAAATACTTTAAACGGCGAAGGCTGAATTTTAATGGCACGATGAGAAGTGGCTAATGCTGAATATTTCGTTTTCCTTTCAGAATTGTCCACCGGATTTGATTTACATCTGAGAGGACCAACGTTTGTCATGGAACCACCAACACGACTCGAGTTCTCCAACTCGAGCGGTGGATGGTTGGACTGTTCGGCTTCGGGTAGTCCTCAACCTTCCATCGACTGGCTTTCAGTTGACGGGACATCTGTTGGTGACGTTTCGGGAATACGGAGGGTACTTAGGAACGGCACTTTGGTATTGCTTCCATTTGCAGCTGCCGCTTACAGACAGGATATTCACAGCACGGTTTATCGATGCGTCGCCTCAAATGGTGTCGGAAGGATTATCAGCAGAGACGTACAAGTGCGAGCAGGTGAGTGGTCGATTGTATGTACCTAAACACACACATCACGAAGTTAGCATGATGAAATAAGCGAATTACAAGGGAAGCGAGGAAAACTCCAAAAGACCTACAAACGACTGTGCATCAATCACAAATTAAACGTCAACAGTAAATGAAACACATATAAATATTTGTCAAAATTTGACCAAATACGTCAAGCAACGAATTTACCGTGATATCATTTTAATTTTACATTTATTCCAAAATCACCCACGTTTAATCTCACACAGCTAACGGCAATTTCAATTATGGAAAATAGTCCAATTATAAATTGTAAAGCATCATTCGGTCGAAAATTTGCTTTCAAATGAAGCGCCATTAAAATAAATTTTGAGTAATAAAATTGATGTTATTATTGTCGCATAATTGAAGCGGGTGGGAAAAAGAATAATAATATCGGTCTAATTGGCTTATTTAGCCGATTTAGAATTGCTACCGCATCTCTCATTTTATATGAGAATTGGCGACTATCAAAATATAACTCTGTTCCACTAAGCATAGCTTAACATAAGAAGACCCAATGTTTGATACCCCCCTACAGACCCCCGAGGAGTCAATTCGTCCTGTATGTATTTCAACTGAACTTTGTGTTTCCGATGGTGTTTTTAGATGGTGTACTACATTATACGTATTGAAGCTCTTTAATTATTATCGTTACTTACATGTTTGTCATCTCTTAAAATTTATTTTATTTTTCATTTGCCTATTATATGTCAATTATATCTGTCATATGAGATATATAAAGCAGTCTATGACGCCCGAGGGCATAATGAGAGGGCATAATGAGATGACAATCCATTATGCCCTCTCATTATGCCCTCAAACTGCCTGTCAAATATATTGACGGAGTTATGTAATAAAAAAGATGCTACTTGATTCGTAGAAGCAATAACAATAATCATTACATTTGTATATTGGAAATGCATTATTTGGAACGATGAAAAATAAAATGTTGTGTGCACCTCAGGCATTACTCGATATTTAACCCTCGGGCGACTTACAATCCCTCGGGCCAGAGGCCCTCGGGCTCTGTCGCCCTCGGCATAAATATCGCCTTAATGCCCTGGATACATAAATAACTATTTTGTTTACCATATATGGTGCGTTCGAGGTATTTGCAAAATATAATTTTGTATGTGACCTTATGATCTCTCCGATCACATATTAAAATTTCTATTTTTCAAGTGTTCTAAATATCACGAATTTCTCTGTTTGTTTTTGTTTTTCAATCGTATGCGTATTTGATGTTGTCGTACTACACATTTGCAAAGATCTTTAAAAAAGAACCATAGGGAAACAAAAGTTGCATCGACTTCCGGTTTAACAGGAAGGTACCTATGCCAGAAGTTTCAATGTGCAATCGGATAGGTCGTGATATCGCATACAAAATTATTTTTGACCATTTTTTCGAATCGCCCCGAGCAAATAAAGAGATATTGAGGTGACTCTTATCTCGAACACACTGTAGATGACAAGTCGTAAGTATAAAAGAACTTAAAGCAATATTTATGGAAAGTTGGGTAAAACAAAACCGTTGCGTGAGCAATGAGACCAAAGTAAGTTCCAACAAATGTTATCCAATACAGTACAAAACCCAACGAAAATCATATGGGGTGTATTGACCCCAGTCAGGTACCATACCAAAGGTAATTTTTTCACAGTTACAATGAAACCTTCTTATTTAATTAATTAATGTAGTGCCCGAGTAGAAAATAGAAATAAAGCCGCAAACTTTTGTTGCCAAAAATAAGGGCGATATGTAAATTTAAATGTTAAATTTGGCCAATTGACCTTCCTAATTTTAACAAATCGACTCTTCTGCTTTTGTATGAGTATGAGTGAAATATCACCGTCTGTCCGTAACCCCGAGCTTGATTTCCACTACAGTTTCTTTTATTAATGGACACCTGGGGCGTGTAACACAAACTATGCAATTGTAACAAGTCTACAAGTTACAAGTAATCTGCCTGTAGATTACTACACGTCCTACTTAATTCTATATATCCAAATGAGTTGTGTTATGAAAAAGCTACAAGTGAAAAATATATTCTAACAATTGTAGGACTTGTACGGTTTGTGTTACAGGCCCCAGGAAACTCAAACAATTCATAAACCTATCGGTCCAAGCCTAATGCGATTTATATCAGATTTAGTTAATGTATGTAGATTGAAAATTCCGAAGTGTGGATCAACTTCCGGTTACACCTCCTGCCTCCATGTACCTACAGTGCTAATTTTAAGTGCACCTAGAGGTACAGAATAGTGAGATTGTAACCATCTTCTCGCACTCGAGAGATATGTGCATTTAAAATTTTAACCCACGGTTCACGGTTAAAATCACGCCGTCAAATGGCTGCGGGTCATTTGATCGCGGGTCAAATGTCCTCGTAGTTAAATGTCCGCTGCTTAATTGCCCTTCTTCACTACTTAATTCCGCCCGTCAAACATTTTTTGAACACCGATAAAAATAATTAATAAACCATACGATCAAGTACTGCACAAAATTAAGTTTTATTGGATTTATGCTAGAAAACATACCTACATATAATCAGCCCTGTGATGTACTATCACTAACGTTAAACTTAACGTAGAAAAAGTTACTTTGCCTATACTAAATAACGCAAAATATCGTTTTTGGACAGAAAAACTGCACGTTAAGTTTAACGTTTCTGATACATCAGAGACCCGAATAAAGTTAAATTTAAATGAAGGTTCTATGCAATATGCAATTTTATCAGCAGCGTCAGGCATTTTAAACGCGAGTATTAACATCTCAATAAATCTTTTTCTGGGACGATGGATTTCCTCCCTGAATATAGTGCTCTATCGCTATGTTGTTCATATGCTGCTCTTTGCGAAGGCTATCTAAAAAACTTCCTTATAGTAGGATGTTGCGCAGCTACCAATATCCAAAATGCCGGTGCCATTCTTCAACTGCATTATTTGTTATCGGCAGATCTTTTTGCAATTCTATAATGAATGCGCAAATAAAGATACCTAATCCTTCCTGGTCGTTATCCACACATTTTCGAAATAATCGCAAAGTGGTTTGATACCCTTTTCATTTCTGTAATAGTCGCTCTCCAGCAATTTTTCAAACCCTGCCACTGTTTGATTTAGTAATAACGGACCTGTCTTCTTCACTTCGTCTATTACTACTATTACTAATTGATCTTTATCTTATCTTATCTTTATGTTAAGTTATGTCAATGTTTTCTTTCCCCTGTTCTTTTTTTTTTCTTCATTTTGTGACATGTCATAATACAATATTATATTGTCAACAGGAAACAATAAAAGTTAAGTTAATTGAACGACTTTCCATAGACTTTTACGAGAATTTTTATTTTGGTTAACTTCGTTCCTATAATAGCTTTTCACGCCTATAATAATAATCAGTAGCTACTCGCCTCAATGCATCACGCCACCAAACTCGCTTATAAAATATATACAGTGCGTTCGAGATAGGTGGGTCACCTAAATATCTCTTTTATTTGTTGAGATACGAAATATTATATAATATAATACCTATTGTGACATTACGATATATCTGACCGCATATTCAAACTTCCGGTAGCACTTCCGGTTACACCGGAAGTCGATGCAACTTTTGTTTTTCAAATGCACTGCCTATATGTTTTACGATATTTCAAAAGAGCAATCATTTTGCTGTATGACAAAAAAAAATAGAGATAAATTCGTTATTCAATATTTACAAAATTTATGAAATCCATAAGTATGTCGTGTGTTGTCAGTAGTGATGTGGATTGTAAAATAACGATTTGTAAGTTACATAAAAAACGGTTATATTACTCGTAACTTACAAGAGGCCGGTTTTTTAATGTAATTTTTAATGTCTTTTATGAAACTTACGTTTTTAATTTAAAAAGCCGTAATTTTTGTAAGTTACATAAATGTAATACCTATTTGTAGGTACATTTTGATCGGTACTACCACAGACCATCTCAACGGTACTACCAACGTAAACGATTCACCGTTGAATTTAGTTTGGTTTAATGAAGATGATACAGCCTCTAATTCGCGATCTGGAGCTTCTTCCTCCAAACGACGATGGCGAAATACCTACTGCTTGGGTATTTTATTTAATACACCAAAATATATAATTTAACAAGTGTTTTTATTTTCAAACACTCACAAAATTCAAAAAAGTTTATACAATATTGAAAAAAAACATAAATGACAGGTAATTTTACAAAAATATTTGAAAATTACATAAAAAACATAAATTACTGGTAATTTTACTGTAAAATTACAGTTTTTAAAAAAAAATGGTAAGTTACATAAATTACATATATAATACATAAAAAACATAAACAATTGGTAATTTTACACGTAATAACGTGTAATTTAAAATCACTAGTTTCTAGTCTATAACTTTTGATTGAGAAGTCTAATCGAAAAAATACGAATTGTTTTAGATTCTACGCCCCAAACTTAATAAGAAAAAGTGTTTTCCCGAGAAATTTTGGTGTAGTCGATTTTTGGTAAAAAAGAAAGGTTATACACTGCCTTTTTTTGAGGCCCGAAATAAAAATTGTCTCAGATCGACCCGGAAAAAAAAATTTCTAATAGAATGTGGCCTGTAGAATCCATAATTTCAAACAGTTCTTTTGATTGAGAAGTCTGATCGAAAAAGTACAAATTGATTTGGATTCTACGCACCCAAATTAATAAAAAAAAGTGTTTTCCCGAGAAATTTTGGTGTAGTCGATTTTTGGTAAAAAAGGAAGGTTATACACTGCCTTTTTTTGAGCCTCGAAAGAAATAATTGTCTCAGATCGACCCGGAAAAAAATTTTCTTATAGAATGTGGCCTGTAGAATCCATAATTTCAAACAGTTCCAAGATTGGGTTACTAGTTCAAAAGGTACAGCCCTTTGAATTTTTTTTCGAAATTGGTTTCTAGTAGTGATGTGGATTGTAACATAACGTTATAAGTTACATAAAAACGGTTATATTACGCGTAACTTACAAGAGGCCGGTTTTTTATGTAATTTATGTCTTTTATGAAACTTACGTAACTTACGTTTTTAATTTAAAAAACCGTAATTTTTGTAAGTTACATAAACGTAATACCTATTTGATACATTTTGATCGGTACTACCACAGACCATCAACGGTACTACCAACGTAAACGATTCACCGTTGAATTTAGTTTGGTTTAATGAAGATGATACAGCCTCTAATTGCGGAGCTTCTTCCTCCAAACGACGCGTGATGGCGAAATTCCTACTGCTTGGGTATTTTATTTAATACACCAAAATATATAATTTGACAAGTGTTTTTATTTTCACTCACAAAATTCAAAAAGGTTTATACAATATTGAAAAAAAACATAAAAAACATAAATGACGGGTAATTTTACAAAAATATGTAAATTACATAAAAAACATAAATTACTGGTAATTTTACTGTAAAATTACGGTTTTTTTAAAAGAATGGTAAGTTACATAAATTACATAAAATACATAAAAAACATAAACAATTGGTAATTTTACACGTAATATTACGCACTTTAAAAAAAGTGTAATTTAACATCACTAGTTGTCGGGATGCACGGTGGCTGTTGCATTACACTGGGGGGGGGGGGGGGGGGTATCGGGTATCTTGCAAACATAATACTTAAAAACGAAACATTGAACAAGTCTTTTCTGTATGATATAGCACACGGCATGCTAGATTTCATAAATTTTCTAAATATTGAATCAGGAATTTTTCCATTTTTTGTATATCAACCATAATATGCATATTTTTAGTGGTCATACATAAAATTGGTATAATATCTTAAAAAACATAGACATTGCATTTCAAAAACCAAAGTTGCATCGATTTCTGGTTACACCGGAAATGGTCCCAGAAGTTTGAATATTCGCAATGTAATGTCACATGTTATAAAATTACATTTGACAAATTTTTCGTCTCTCCTCAAGTAAAAGGGATATTGAGGTGAGGCAGACGAGCGGCCTCACAAAACCAGCAACAGCAAAGTAAAGAGGAAATACGTTTCTACAACAAAAGTATAATTATGTAATGAATACCCACTAACATCAAAAAGTATTTAATGATACCCCTCACAGTTGTTCTCTTTCTGTAATGCACAAAAAAATGCCAAACAATGCTGATGATAGGATGTCCAAATTTGGGCACTGTACGTTGATTACTCTCTTGCATATGTTTACAATAAAGTAAATATGGCAATGTGCGACCTTTTTGTCCAACAACCCGTACCTACATATTTATTTATCACTCAACTTTGTATAGAAACCGAAAATCGAAGAGTTGTTGTCAAACTCGTATATATTTGCATATACTAGATAAAAAATCTCAAAGTAAAGAGAAGCTCGTTCTGTTCTTTGACGTTGACGATTTAAATTTATGGAACAGAAACTCGCCTTGTATTTGTGTTAGTTACTCAGCTATTGGCATAATTTTACATACTTATAATTAAATAATACCATAAATGTTTTCAATTTGTCCCTAAATATCTTTAATTATTCGAGTATCGTTATACGGGGAGGATTTGTTTTCGCACAAAGCTCTCGATTAGGCGTATTCAAACTTTAAAAGCTCCCGCTGCAAGTAATTTGAGTTTAATGAGTTCTTTATTGTTTTCAGTTGTGACGCAAGCGTTCAAGGTGGACGTTGAAGTATTAGGGGCAGCAAGAGGATGTACAGCTGTACTAAAATGCGTCGTGCCATCTTTTGTTAAGGACCTCGTGCGGATTGTTTCCTGGGTACAAGAGCCTTCACTTTACATCTACCCTTCGCTTCAAGGAGGTAATCGATAGCTTATTTACCTACTAATTGTATGTGAGCCCAACTTATCCATCAATGGGGTTTAAATCCCTTCTGTCACATGCAAATTTATTGCCTAATGCTCGAGTCCCTTACAGGTAAGTTTTTACTATACGTTTACGCTAATTCGATTGGAAAGGCACCCATATTAACTGAGAAATCAAAGGCCTTTACACAGGACTAAATGGAGTTTGTTATTAGAATAATTAATATATCCGCGCTCCAAAAACTAAGTTTGCTTCCAACTATTGAAAACTTAGAGCTCCATTAAAGTTTTGTTATACTATTTTGGTCATAAAAGTTTGTGTAAATCCTAATTGATAAGTGACGTCTTTGGGGATTTGCATAGAAAACGTGCTGTAATTCTGAGAGAAGTTGGACGTAAATTACAGAGAAAAAGTTTTTAATTCATTTTGCAAGTTTATATAAACATTAACAAGTTTTATAGAAAAATTTAATTTAAATTGCGATTTATACCGCAATTTCTTCGATGTAAATGTTATTATAGTCTTGTTTTGTTTCTTTATTACGTAAGGGAAATGAAGGAAAATTCCTGAGGAGTTAATTATACGTTTCGATGAACAGGAATTTAACAAGTGAATTGTTCAATTGAATGTAAAAGGGCAACTCAATCGGTATACGGAACAAATTGTAGCGCTCTTAGAAGACATCATGCGGTCCTTGCTCGTAGTACGACAAGGATGATTTGTCATGAAGAAAATTTGTCTTTGGGTGCGTGATAACGCACCAGGGTGTGATCATTTCTTGACTTTCATATGCGTTTTCAGTTTTCTCGACTGAAGATAATCTAAATTTGCACGACATTTTCTATCATTGAACAAAAAACTTTCTGGTACAATCTTGCCAAAAATGTAGCGAAAATTCTTGCAGTTACCAATATTTTGGTTATATATACAACTTTGACTTTGGCGTCAGTTTTAGACCTGAAAAATAATGCGTTAAGAATACGTCCATTGATATAGTTTAACCTAATTAGGTGTACCATAAAGTGGTAGAATAAAGTGTAACATCGGCAAATGAAAGAGGAAAACCTTGGGGTAATAGAAATATTACTTTTGCATAGAAACTCTTGCCAAGTTTTATCATTCTTGAACGCTATGCCAAGAATGTAAAGGAGTAACGTCCTGTTATATGCAATAGGTATAGAAATTTGTACCTGTCACTCCAAGGATATGTATGTATTCTAAATAATTGCAGTTTAGATGCTTCAGTTTTAACGTGTATCAGCTTTCTGCTCAGCATATTATGGAAGATACTCGTGAGTTCAAATGGGCGTTTTTGTATATTTATATAGTATATTCATGAATGCAAAACGTGTAATTTCCGTCTAAAAAGTGGGGGGTCGTTTTTTACCTCCAACGGGCGGGTGGTAAAAATGAACCAATTCTCTGCACCCACATTTACTGAAATAAAATTGACATTTTCGTTAAATAAAGGGCGAGTCATTACTTATATGCTTCCCCCCTTAACTTGAACACAAAATCATAATTACATTCACCCACCTTCCAAACAAAACAAAGCCATTACAATTATGGGTTTTTGATCAATTTACCTACTGAGGTCGGGATTTGCCTCCATCAGCCGTACACGATCGTCTAAAAACAATTCCTTAGATCTTACTCCATACCGCAACCAGACGTGCCAGAGAAAAAATCCTATCATCCCTAATCTTTTTCCTAACCTCTTTCGTTTGCTGTTTTAATTTTCTCTCCTCCTATCTAACTTCATCCAGGGTTGCTGGAAAAATCCCAAACATTCCATAAGCCGGTGGTTTCTCAGTACGGGTTGCAGGAACTTCATTAATAAAATTCTCTAACAGGTTCGCATACCGACGACAATTTGTGTGTGGTCCATTATACAGCCTAATCCTCCTTAATATAACGTTCCCAAGGGTTCCCCTACGGATGTAGGATTGAAGAAAATCTAACTCACTCTTGCTCTTTCGCTATTCAGCCACTGTTTCAATCAAGGGAAACGACACCTCCTAGTAGTTTACACAACATTGGAGAAATAAATTTCCTTAATAAAAGAACTGATACTGAAAATGAAGGTGTAATCTATTCCAATCCCATTCATTTAAAAAATCGACTCAATTTTATTGTCGTCATTATATTTTAACGTTTCCTTTTTACTTTTAGTGTTTAATATTCCTTTAAATGTTATATTTTAGTTGTTACGGTTGAAGGCTATAATAAAGCCCTAACAATGTGATCAATGTGTATCCATGTTTCCAAGTAGGTATTGATTTCGTCATTATTATTGTTTTATTTAGTTGAAGAACTTTTCCGTGATCAAAGTTTACACTTTAAGGTGGAAAAATATAATAAACTGGATTATCCAACTATGTGTTTAATAAAACATCTAACTATTGTGATTTATTTGAAAATTCATAAAGGAGGATGGATTCTTTAAATACTGGAGACAACGTTTTAACGGTTTTACTTGCTTATTAGTGATACAGTGGGAGAGCGTTGGGCTATATTTGTTACGCTGTTACATTGGGTAGTTTACCCTATTTATTTGGCTGCAGACGTAATTCGTTATGATCATAATAAATTTTGCAAGGTGCTACTACGAGTGGCAGTCAACCACGTAGTTTTTACATACCCTTTCTACAAGATTTGTCATTTATTAAAAGTAAACCTGTTCTACCTTACGAAAAGCCACTAAATTTGTCATCACATCCAGATTTTGTCATCAAGTTCAGTGTTTTTTTTTAGTTTATTATTTTTTAATTTATTGTCAACAGTTTTTTATTGAATTGCAAATTGCAACGATATTTTTTGAAATTCAAAACAAATCTTGGAAATATACAGTCTGCCGTACAAAAATTTCGGCTTGTTCATAAATTGAAATTTTTCATTTCCAACCACTTTTTCAAAATTTAATAAAAAAGTTGTCCCGGTTTAGAAAAGTAAGACGAGACAACTGAAATAACTTATGCGGGTCCGACTACACCACTACATTGTCTTTTGGAGTAATCATATATCTCCTCATTTTATAGTTAGACCCAGATCTTCACCTTTTATATTCGCTACAGTGTCACTTTGTAAATTTTTAAGCGACTGTACTGTCTCCAAAGCTCCCCTCAAGTAGTTTTTGAGATCTCTCTTCCTCTCGAGCGCCTTAGGTAAAATCCTTCCTTCTCTAGTTCTTCTTCAAATAATCAAATTCTTTTTCCCGTTCACTTACTAATTTTTTCTTCAACTCTAATTCTAATGCTCGACTCCCCTGAATTGAAATGATCGGGACATTAACTTGATAAGCGGTACGAAGGTCGCCTGGTTTGCTAATAAGATGTTTTAAATATGAACCTCTATACAAGCTGTTAATTAATGTCATGCAGATATTTCAGAGGGTGATAGTACTCGTCAAAATAAGAACAAAATGCAAATATATGCATCGTCTAAAGGGCGTCGTTTTTGTTATACGGGGTGGCAAAGAAAATATAACATCCTGTATACCGCGACCAACCATTTTGATACTTTATTGTAGAGATTCTAAAAAATAATTGATGTATCAAATTTTAACAGTTATTACAGTAAAGAGAAAATGCAAAATACGAGAAAAAAATTAAAACTGCCACCATGTATAACGAAAATGAAGCCCTTAAGACCACACATATATTTGCTTTTTGTTCTTATTTTGACTAGTGCTATCACCCCCTGAAATATCCTCGGAAATATCTGCCTGACATTAATTAACACCCTGTATTTTTAAAAACAAGTTCCAGCAAGACTGTGCTCCACCACATAGCTAGAAGGGTAACTGATTGTTTGTCATAATGATTTCCCCATAAAGTTATAATGGAGACATAATTTGATCGGCACGTTAACGGGAACTTTCTCCGTTAGACTACTATTTATGAAAAATTTTATTTTTCTCCAACCACCTGAATAAGACGCTATTTTGTGACGGTGTTCGGTACCTAAAATTGACGTTTTGCGGATTAATCGCTTTCACCATGGCAACTGTACAAAAAGTGGATACTTTTGGTCCTAGTACCAAAAAGAAATTGACCTTGAAAGTTGGCCAATTAAAAAATTACAATCACGGAGATATGTCACATTGACATCGTTTTACATTGCAGGTTGTAAGATATTTCTATATACATACAAATCAAATATTTTTGCATATTCAATGCAAATAATGATGTTACCTATACGTATGTACATGTATTGAAAATGATTTACGCTCGCTATTTTTATTTAAACCATGTGTAACGTAATTTACATATTCAGTGAACGTAATTTTAATACGTATACAACCCGCCGTCGCGCGTAACGCCATCTACTTCAGACCCATTGCACTATTATCTGTCATTTTGAATTCAAAATTTGAAAAAGTTAATTGCAATTAATTTTAATTAAAAAACTGTATGGTAAGTTTTTTATTTCAAATCAAAATATAACAATATTAATTGTGTATACAATGACTGAAACTGATAGCGACATGGATTGCACTCCGCCAGAGATTATAGAAATGGCAGAACATGCTACCTCAAGATTTGCTTCCTACAAAGTTGCGAGAGGTGAGAAGTAAGAAGTAAGAACGAATAGGTTATAAGTTAACCTAAAAACTAGAGTGGCATGACACGTGAGGACAAGAAAGCAGAAGTTCTTATACTATAGTAGTGAAACTGTGACTGAATCTAAATTCGAATATAATTTGAAGTAAAGGGGGTTGGAGAAAAAATTTTATGTTTTATTCGTACAAAAAATGCGTTTTCGGGACTCGGAAGGTTGCTGGACTCCGCTAACGCGTCGTCCAGCAACTATCTTCCTCGTCCCGAAAACTGACATTTTTTGTACTAATGAAACAAATAACTATTATAAAACAGTACCCGATGATGTTCAGCAATTCAGGTCTTACGAAGAAAAATAATTACCACGTTAAAGACCAAAATACGAAGAAGTAAAACTTCTTTCGGTTTTTGTTTATTATTCATTCATTATTTAGTTATATCTATTATTATTAGAATTAACTCTCTAATTTTAAATAGTTTACATTTAATCAAAATCAAAATGTCTGAAATTGTGTTCATTAATAAAAGAATTTTTCCAAGAAGCATAATAAATTTCAAAAAAATAAATAATTTTTGAATGTCATAAAAATGTGTTTTTAAACAAAAGAATACATATTCGTTTTTATTTTTTTCTGGACCTGTTTAAAAAGATATCAAAAAACAAATAACACTTTTAGACACTTGTTAAGCTCTACAAGATGGTGCCCACAGATTTTCATTATGTCGTTTCGTCTTTGAAACACCATCATCTTCATATTTTTATATGGACCGGAAAAAAATCAAATGATCATCTCTTTGACGTAGGGAGATTTTGTGTGGTTGTCAAGAGGGAACTCAAAAATGTTTGTACGGCATGCCTTCGTCGTGAAGTTGGATAAGCAAAATTGAAGACTCTGTGGTAAAGGAATATTCATGGACCATAGTTTACCAACATTTATTTCTATTAAATTATTTCAGTTTCCCAATCCTAAAGAAAGCACCACAATAAACCTTCAAATTCTGTCACCACCAATTTAGACTCTTTTACCTTTCTATTTTGAGAAAGTTGTGTTTCATCAGAAGTCATAGAAGTACCGGATGGATTATTCTACTTACTTTAAAGTTCAAGGTACTTTAATGCACCAAATCCCCTTTCCAGAACATTAGTTTTCCTTTGGGACGCAGGATTGTATAATGGAAACTGTTTAAATCCAAAATCTTTCTTTTGCTCTGGACTCGTGCAGCAAAGATTTCATTAACTATACTTCTGTACGTACAACTAAATACTTTGCAAAATGAATTGGGATTCTCTTATTGCGAAATTCCTAATTTCCTGATTTCAGGCTTTAAGAGCATAAAGCGTGCGTGCTTTATTAATAAACGACCACAAAATCTCAGTGGATACAACGAATTTAATTAAACGAACTTCCAATGGTCATTTAGATTTTAAAATCAAGGAACGCTATATCCGCCAGCAAAGCTTTATAATCCGCCCGAGGACGATACACTTCGCCGCTTTCGCTTTGTGCAAAAAGCTTCACTCGTTGAATTACGCTCGACGGATTTCCAAATAGTTCTGGCACTTCCGTTCTACCGTGAAATTTCTATACACGAGTTTGTTCTATTTGTGGCTTTCTTTATCCTACCATTTCGGTCAGCACTAATTCTGCCATTATCGACAGATATTGACGGCCCTTGCCTTTACGATTTTTTAATGATCGGTTTCGCACACCGTTGGCGTTTGCTATTTTCGTTTTCTCGAACTGCCGCTTTCGATGAATCCCAATGAGGATGTAATACAAACTATTTACGCAAACGGATTGCATGCATAATTAATGTTTTAATATAATTTGCATGGAGATAATCAGAAGTACGTTCACGACCAGATTCGCTTTGTTAGCGAAATATTTTTATTCTAGCTAGAATTCGCGTCAAGTGCGCGAAAAATTAAAAAAAGCCTTCCAACTTTAAAAGAATAAGGAAATTAAGAAAGTTGAGTTGACTCGAGCTTTGCTTTTGATGTTTTGAATGAAACAAGCAGCGTATTTTATTAATGATGCCGTTCAGCGAGTGCACTTGACCTTATTTATTTATTTTCCGCGGTTACATTCCATCTCGTTAAAGAAACTTACACGCAATTTAAAGGATGTTAACTTTGTCTTTTCAGATGGGAAGTTCCATCAGCTTCCGTCGGGCGATCTTCTAATACACAATCTCGAATTCAGCGATCAATTCCCCAGCTATAGGTGTAGGACAATGCATCGCCTTAGTCGACAGATCGTTTCCAGTAGCCCGGCGAATGTTCGAATTGCGGGTAAGTTGAAAGAAGAAATGAGAAATCTCCGAAAACAAATTCATAGCTGTATCAATATAACAAAATCGATAAGGAGGAAGTAGAGATTTACCGTACGATAAAAATAAAATTGAAATTTATAGGGAAAAAAGTTACTCGCCTAATACTTTGCCAGTAATCTGTCATAATTTGAAATTGGAAAAAATGAAAAAGTGATGTAACGACGTACCCATGAGAGTTTAGCGTAGCCGGGAGTGAGGGATTAATCCCACGTCCTGCAGCTTAGCTTCTGTAACTCGACCTGAAGGAAACCTTTATTGTGAAACTTAAACCCCGTTCATTCTTTAGATGTCCTTCATGGCTCTTCTTTAAGATATTGCCCTATATTCTTGTTGTTCTGTGCGTCGAAAGCACAAAAAGTGTAGAATTCTATACTCAGGGCGAGAAAACCTAGAAATTTCAGAAATGCTTTACGCGTTGTAATAACGCCACTGTGTTTGTTATAAATCACTCCGACACGACAAGCAAACGCAAGGGGCATAACTATATGAAAAATTGCATTGATCGGTTTGAAATCTTACGAGGGGACATTTTAATGTAATCTAACCATGAAAACAATGACGGTTTCCATTTCATGTAGAGAAAAGGGATCCTTAAGAAAAGAGACCTGCATATCGCCAGTCCAGGAACAACCAGAATTTACAAGGGGCATTAATCTTATCCTACGCCACGTTTTTTTCATTGAGCAGTCCCTATTCAGGTTGTATGTATTATTAATAATTTTTTTTTAAATAATAATAAGAGGGAATGCCGAAATGATATTACGAAGTATACATGACACTCAATTATAAAATATTATAGTCAATTAATGTAATAATTATACAAATCAATAAACGAAATTATTATTATTAATAATAATAATAATTAATAATAATTGTTCTACAGACTACAATTCAATTATAGGACAAACAAATTATAGTAGTGTACATAAATGTTAACTAAAACTAAAAAATTAGAAAATTCAAAGGTTATTAAGACAGAGCGAGAGAGAGAAAAATAAGATTGAAAAAAGTAACTAAATTAAGTGATTTCGATATAAAGTTACAAAGATGCAAAAAAGAGAGAAAACATGAATTAAATTAAACTATTCATCCCTTATACTGGGCGGTGACTTGAACAACGCACCATAAGAATTTCAATAGTAATTTTTTCATTTCTGATTATTGGTTTTTATTTAGGATTTTTGTAGAGAAAAATTGGAAGCACTCACAATAGACAAATCGTTATGTAAGAGGAAGTCTTATCAAAAACTTCTTAAGCCCAATCTAGAAAAATGTCTGCCGCCACTGTTACATTATTCTGGTTACCGGCCGGCCTGGGGGACAAACACAAAGTGCCATAAACTCGTAATTTACAATACGCCCAAGTATCACCAAATTTTGACGCACTTATATGCAGTTTTACGTATTAAACAGAAATAGAAGTTTTAAATCTTCATCGTTATACAATCTATCATTTTAATATTTTAGCTAAGTATCTTGATATATAATGACTTGCAACTTGCAAGTGTTATTACTAACAACAATGTGTAAATAAGGTTGATTTAGAGATGTCAGCGTTATATAAAATGAAATGTTTAAATTGTCTTTAATAACTTACATAAGTACTACATTTTATTTGATAATTTCTTTATACCGGGTGGTGCACGGTAAGTAGGAACATAGGGATTTAACATGGGAAATTAGTTTTTTGCAATATCCTGCCCTCCTGTAGCGCTTAAAGTTGTTCAGAATTAAAAGGTGCATACAAAACAGTTTTTACATGTTTTATTAAGCTTTTGGTATACCCGCAAATTTAAAAATAAATTTCAACATTTCTGTTATTAGTAGCAATTCATAAAACAACAAAAGTCACGGCTATTGCGTCTAATAACAAGAACGTTGAAATTTATTTTTAAATTTGCGGGTATACCAAAAGCTTAATAAAACATGTAAAAACAATTTTGTAAGCACCTTTTAATTCTGAACAACTTTAAGCTCTACAGTTTTTTTCTGTAAAATATACAGGAGGGCAGGATATTGCATAAAACTAATTTCCCATGTTAAATCCCTATGTTCCTACTTACACCACCCGTGACCCGGTATACACAATTATAAGTGTTAAGACTATTATTTTCGGACATAGTAGCGTTGGCTGGAACATTCTGGTCTGAATAGAGAGACTCTTATCCCTCGTAACTCTGGAAAATGCAGTGCAGTGCCCATGTGTAAATACCGTTTCTGGCCAGCAAAAGTACAATTTTATTATTTTTTATTTTTTCCAATTTATTGAATGAGACGGTAAACCCATTGGCGTTAAAGAGTTAAGGAATTCCACCGGATAACTTCGCCAATTCTTCATCACTTTCATATTCAGCGATCTTGTCAACGCTATAATATTTCAACATAATATAGGTAATTACGTTTGAGGAACAAAAGATTAAACTTAAAATAACTTTTATTATTATTATTGCACAATCACATTAATTGAAAGAGATTAAACTTAGAATAATATTACGATGCTAGTAGTTACCAGACCGACGTCTATAGTAGTACTTGTGTTTTGTTTCCCATGCGCATTCCTATTTATGACTACCTTAATCTACCCTGGGGTTAAATCCCTTAATTGATACAGAAATAAAGTTAAAAGATATTGCTAACTAACTTCTGCTCTTAGACAAATAACACAATGATAATTCAATCTAATTCTAATAAACATGTTAAGGGTGAAGATGTTGCTAACTAACCTCTCCCCTTAGACAAATAACTCGATAATAATCTATTCCAATACTAATAAATAAATATTTTAAAGGTGACGTGTAACATTTGCCTTTAAGAAAATAAGTCAAACGAAATCTATAGTTTTAGGGGTGTCGTTAGATAACCTTTTCGTCTGAGGACTAAATGATTGCATTCAACGAATTACCTAATATTATTCTACTGGAGTAATAGCCAAATGGACATTGACGTAATTATATTTAATACTCTTTCGCTTACAAGTAATATTTCTGGGTTCTCTTGGCAGAGAATGGCTTTCGAGGCAAGATCGTCAGGAGTCATTTCATGTATGTATGTATGTTTTCATCGAATACTACGAAGCCGTACACGGGCCATACACACACTTGGTGTTCTTATTCCAAAAATAAGTGGAAACTTCGACAAAAAAGTGGAAATTTTCACAAAAAAGTGAAAATTTCTACAAAAAAGTGGAAATTCCCACAAAAAAGTAGAAATTTCAACAAAAAAGTGGAAATTTCGACAAAAAAGTGAAAATTTCGAAAAAAAGTGAAAGCGGCGACAACAAAGCAGAAATTTGACCTTCCCCCGCCGCCCATCGAGTGACCCATCATTTTAAAGGCCATCAAATATTTTTGTCGAAATTTCCACTTTTTTATGGGAATTTCCACTTTTTTGTAGAAATTTCCACTTTTTTGTAGAAATGTTCACTTTTTTGGCGAAATTTTTACTTTTTTGTAGAAGAAGAACACCAAGTGTATATGTGGCCCGTGTACGGCTTCGTAGAATACAGCCGTATCTATAACAACAGTTGTGGATTGAGCTTTCCCTTCTGTGATTCTAGAACCTACTTGCAGTAACCGTGAATATTTCCTTTCTTTAGGTAAAGGTGCAGCCAACTACGAAGCCGTACACGGGCCACATATACACTTGGTGTTCTTCTTCTACAAAAAAGTTAAAATTTCGCCAAAAAAGTGAACATTTCTACAAAAAAGTGGAAATTTCTACAAAAAAGTGGAAATTCCCATAAAAAAGTGGAAATTTCGACAAAAATATTTGATGGCCTTTAAAATGATGGGTCACTCGATGGGGCGGCGGGGGAAGGTCAAATTTCTGCTTTGTTGTCGCCGCTTTCACTTTTTTTCGAAATTTTCACTTTTTTGTCGAAATTTCCACTTTTTTGTTGAAATTTCTACTTTTTTGTGGGAATTTCCACTTTTTTGTAGAAATTTTCACTTTTTTGTGAAAATTTCCACTTTTTTTTGTCGAAGTTTCCACTTTTTTTGTCGAAATTTCCACTTATTTTTGGAATAAGAACACCAAGTGTGTGTATGGCCCGTGTACGGCTTCGTAGCCAACCGTGTTGGAGCCACGACCTCCCAAAATTTTTGATGAAATCGCTTTATACACAAATGTTTCAGCACCGGAAAGAAAGAAGAATTTGTCTGAACTTTCTTCATTCACTATACATCTACGACTCTATCGAAAGCTGCTCTTTGTTCTGTGTTCATCCTCCCTTTTGACATCGATTATATCGGAATTTTCGTATGCGTTTTTAACCCTCGCTTGACCAAGCGGGCTAACTGAATTACCACAAAGGTCTTTTTTTAGCATAATTTCGTAAAAGATTTATTTTCACGTACAATGCTTTAGCCAATCCTTATCCTTAGCAAGGCATATTTACATTGCAACGGTAAATTCATCTATAATTTAGAGTTGTTGTAATTAAGCGTTTTATAACTGGGGTGATCAAGATACCCCGCTGGTTTTTACACAATAAAATTGTGCCGCAAGTCGACACTTGCCAAAAAATTGCGCTTTATCTGCACAAGGGTTGTGCACAATTGATACACTTAACAGTTACACTTACTACAGTTTTTAAGTTTATAAATTCTACTTTTGTTAGCAAAGTAAACTATGTAATACTACATGAACTTTTGTTTCATAAACAATACTATTTACATCAATGTCCGGGTCATAAAAACTCAAAACTTTAAGTGAAGTGATCTTGAACAAATTACCCATCGACTATCCAATATTGTACCGTTTACTGTAAAGCTTCCCCCGTTGGCCCATTTTCCTGTATTGTGGATATCCGCCAACGTTAAGGTTGGTTTCGACCCAAAAGTCCTTCGGGAAATTTTTTACAAAGCTACGGTCTCTTATCGTGATCCATGCAGGAAGCTCGCCTATTTTTTTGTTGCATCATACAGATAGTAGTTGGCACGGAAAACGGGTACCCCTATACCGCAAAAGGGGCAGACGGGCTGGATTACTTTTTCGTGCACAATCAGGCACTAAAGAAGCACTAACCACTGGCACGTAGTATTTCGTTAGTGCTCCCAATCCCTGTGCTAACTTCACGCACTCATACGTTGGCATGCATTAGAAATAGTTCCAGTGAAAAACTAGGTCCGAGGATTACATGTAAGGGTTTACCTCAGGGCTCTGTCTTGATTCCAATACTATTTAATATGTACACAGTGGACCTTAATAAAAGAATTAATAAAGAATGACCAACGTCTTCATTTGAGTCTCTTGGGGACTATTCCAGAAAGAACAATTGTGCATACTAATGGCTATAAAACAAAAGATAAATGTGCTTGCGCATTATATCATTTGGGTCCAGAAAACCAGTATTTAATAACGAAGCTTTTACTAAGGACTGAAATACGGTAAAAAATGTATATATTCCTATTTCATAAAAGCGGATTGAAACTTTCCTTCGTTTAACTTAAACTAAATCTGGACAAAACAAAATAAATTAGGTACTTTTTGCCATCGACTAGCTCAAATCTTTCGCAAAAGCCAAAATGTTACCTTTTTAGGTGAAATCTTAATGCGATCTGAAACGTGACTACAAAATTCATTGATTTTGTTTGCTGATCAATAAACTGTATGTTGAAAATCATTCAATCCAAACTTTAAATGAATTCCATATATGCTCTTGTAGGTAGGTACATGAATTTTGTACAAATAGGTATATTTTGCTAAAACAATTTACGTAATCTAAATTGAAATGGCCATTTCTTTATAATTAGGAAAAAATTCCTAAATTATAAGTAGATGCACACCCAAAATTTCTTTATGCACATTTTGCGAGATAAAGCTATGATACCTACTTCACGCTGTGATGCTCATACCTTAATTAATTTTTTAGATAGGACCAATCCCTCCTTAGTTTCTTCATAATTTTGAACGTCCACCATGGCGTATTGTTTCTAAAAATGCATGTACCTCATGATAAGCTCAGACTGTACTACTATGTCTCTTATAAAACGGACCTAATCCCCACGCCCACTATCTAGATGCCAAAACCGATTAGAAACAATTAACTGTTTGAAAACTTCCTAAAATCCGTAGTGCAATTAATACCTATATTGCTAATTGCAATTTCTCAGGTCGGCATAAATGTCTCCTATCAACGTGATAACAGCAATGCTCGTTTTAAGGAAACAAAAACTTGCTAATAATGACTTAACGGAGCTGAAATTCTAAAATATTAATTTGCCTTCGTTTTTTTAAATAACAATAGCTTTCGGAAGCAACAAAAATAATTCAAATATCTTGACGGGATACCTTTACCTCCTATCTGCAACCCCTAAATACTTTCAGTAACACATCTCTCGTAGCGAAACGCCCAGCTTAAAAACGCTGGTCGACTCCACAAATGGTGGTCATAACTTCGGGTATGAACCCTCAAAGCGGAAAATAGGTGTTTCCGGACCATGCGATAATACAAAAGGCTCAAACAAACATGGGGAACTGCGGAATTTGGGTGGAAATTGAAGAATTCGCAGAATCAACGACGGAATGGGTACAATCCAAACAAGTATGTTTCTGTTTCTGAAGAACTTGAAGACGCTGAAAGATCAGAATCAGAGAAATCTATAGAATTCAGCAGTTTTAAGATTATCAGTCTGAAAAATCAAAAATTATAGGGCCGGAAAGACACAAGAAATGTAAAAAACTGAAGATTCTGACGAACCTGAACTGTTCCAATGAATCTCCTTAATCCCGAATATAATTACGCCACAGGTAGATAGGCGAACGATTGTAATAATCGAAATACCTATGCATGATGTATCGCCGACCTAAGGGGAATAAAAATAATAAGCAATTGGCATGTAATTCCACGTAATTACGCTATTATGAACTACGAGTGCCAGTTCAATAGCAATAACCAACTTTCATTTGCATCACAATTTATTTTTGTGATATATAATTACAAATTAATCGAATTTATTAGTTATATGACCTATTCTTCCCGGTTATAGCACAGTTACCTACTGTTACTCTAAAATTCGCGGAAGTTTCATAATTTAGACCCCACGTCTGCTGGAAACTCGACGTTGATTGCACAAAGATACTCGCATAAAAAATTAATAAACCTCATTGCAGAGAATGAAAATTAAAAATTCTTTGTTATTTACAGAACATCGGGGAATTGTCGCTCCCGTAATAGTGGAACACTCCGGCACAATAACGGTGCCTCAGGACGAAGGGGCGGCTCTGTTGTGCATTGCTCAGGGATGTCCGGCCCCAGAATACAGGTATTTATTTATTCACCGCTTGAAATGCGACGACAATCATCACTGCGCGTACCTTACAAAGGAAACATGCAACGCCATTTATACACTCGCGAGGAAATTGAATTTTAAAGTCCCGATGAAAATGCGTAACCATGACAACCCTCCGTCCGTATTCCGTTTTTTTAATTCTACGTTTTGTTTCTCGTAGTTTTTTTTAGTTTGCTACGTTTTTCAGGTGGTACTCGCACACGGGAGTTGAACCGACTCTTGTGATACCAGGGCCGAGAGTGAGACAGTTGGGGCCGGTTTTGGCGATCGAGTCGGTAACGTCTGAGGATGGTGGTATTTATCGCTGCACCGCGTCGAACGCCGGAGGTGAGGCTAGCGCCGAATTGAGGCTGGTGGTGGCGACAACCGTGCACGTGGAGGTTACGCCGCCCTTATTGAGTATTCATATGGGGGGAAGCGCGGAGTTCAGATGCATGGTTTCTGCACAAGGAGGTCCCCACTTGGTGACTTGGTTTAAAGATGGCCGACAGTTGCCCAGTACGGGACGTGGAACCAGCGAAACTCTGGTCGTCAATAATGTTGGAAGGGAAGACCGCGGCATGTACCAGTGCATTGTACGAAGATCGGAGGGAGATACTGCGCAAGCATCTGCTGAGTTACAACTGGGAGGTATGTGCTGTGGACGTCCATTGTAAATTTGCTAAGCATAAACGTAGTAATTACAATGTAGCGTTTTCTTAACAATTTTTCTGAAAATAATCCAGGAAACGTCAGTAGCAGCTGGAGCGCAAATTAAAACTTCAAAGGATTACTTTCTGAACAATTACCGCATGCCGTTTTTAATTTTCCTCAATGATTGCTGCTTCTGCTTTGAAACGACGCGACGCGACAAGCGCTTCCTGCTCAATATAGATTTGCGGAAAAGAATTTCCAATATGAAATGGTAACAACCACAAAACAAAGTTGGAAAGATTTTGACAATCTGTGTAAATACAAGACTGGTGAACATTACAACTTATTACAAAAGTCGAAGTTAATTTGGAAACTTAATGTTAAAGCGAAACTTTTGTTCTGTTGTTTCAGATGCTCCGCCTGTGCTCCTTTATAGCTTTATAGAGCAAACGTTACAACCCGGTCCCGCCGTTTCTCTAAAATGCAGTGCGGCTGGAAACCCCACACCGCAAATCTCATGGACTCTTGATGGTTTCCCGCTGCCTAGCAACGGCAGGTCAGTTCGCTTACTTTTAGAGCCCTTAAAACTTTTAAATAAAGACGATGTTAAATACTCTCGTTAGTAACGAACGAATTTCGAAAGCGATCCTTTGCTTTTTTTCTACGTGAAATATTTAGAATTTCTTGTCGTTCGTTGTAACGTTAACGATGCATAAAAGTGGCCGTAATTGATGAGTACGATCAAAGGAAAAATGGTTGTTTCGAAGTGAATTCGGTCTCATTTTCATTCGTTTTCATAATTTTGTGTTTTGATTCTTACCTATCTTATTACGACTAAATCATTTACTACGGGAACCATCAATTAACCGAAAATATTTTGAAGGAGAACTTTTGGAGAAGACCACAGTGGTGAACTTGATTAACAATGACAATTTATTCTGAAACACATTAAATAAAAACAAAATTTCTGAAGTAAAGAGGAGTTTTCAAAGCTTGTTTTACATGTAGTACCCCGTGCGCAGACGGTTGATATTAAAAATAATAAAATCTTTAGTTTTTTTAATACAAGAGAACATTTTTAAAAGAAGGCGTCGCTGTTCACGCAGACTGCTTCCTTTAGTTCACCTTTACTAACTGTTACCGTAAAACGAACAACGCGCTTGAACTTTGAAACAACTTCACTTAACTTTCTTCTGCACAGAAATATTATGAAAATTACGAACTGCGTCTTCAATCAATTAAATCGGGCGGACAACCCGAATAAATAATTAGCGTAAAGAGACGTACACTCTTTTCCAACCGTCGCGAACCAGCTCGCTCCCTTTTTTCCTTATCTCACTTATTTAAGGGAACACCACTTCCATCAAACAAAAAACTCCTTCTTCCAGTGTTTAGAAAAAATGCACCAATTACAATTAGAGTAGATAACTCCGGCTGCGAAGAAACGTGCTTGAAGTTCTCTCTTCTTTCTTTCAATTTTATCTGCAGCAGATGTGCATTTTCGTTGAAATTAATTAACTTTCGCCTGATTTCAAAAGTTCTAATCGCAAATGACGAGATGTGCCTACATTTCAACACCCAGTTTCACGCTTATACAATTAAATAAACATATAAAGGAAAAATAACACTAAAGAAATACAAACAATTGTCTTCGAACGGTAAAACGGTATGCCATCTTGGAGATCGCGTAAAATTTCATTGTTAATTAAAAGTTCGAATCGAAATCCGGATAACCGCAGTGTGTGGGAGAATCGTGGGCCTCGCAACCGAAGATTTTTGCCACTACGAATTTATTGTCGTGCGTACTTTATATATTCATTGGGACCTGACCTTTCCAACAAGACAAATAATAGGAAGTGGTTTGTAAGCAACAACGGAATTTCCTCCGATGAACCGTATTACCGTATTACGTTTTGTTATTGTTTTGGAGTGGCTAGTTACGCTGAAAAACGAGTTATTAGTACCATTATAAATAAAATAACAACAGGTAAAGAGGTTAAAGAAAATTAATTTGTGCTTTCGGTAGCTGCAAACCCTATGTAAGGTAATTTTAGACATTCCCATACTGCGGAACATTGGTAATTGTTCGCATCAATAAACCAAATTGAAACTAATATAGGGTACAGATTTCAAATTCGTCAATCAACGAGTAACCACATAAAGGCGTTCCACCACCCAATTTTCCAAATAGCTGCCGCCTTCCAAAGGAGAAATCAGTTGTCAATGGGGTATCGACCGTTTTTTGGGATTTTGTATACGAAATTTTCACTTAAAGTCATTCTAATATTCCTGAAGAGGTCGATTTACAGAGATTTGCCCCGGGAACAAAAAATTTTTGTATGTTTTTATGGATGAAAACGGAAACCAAACTAAAGATATTCGTACAGTTTTTTTTAGTAATTGGGAAAGTGAATTTTAAGGTCATTAATACCATTTTTTTTTGCGTGGGTTAATTTTCTCATTTAGCATCCAGAGGCGTGTAAATTTATTTCAATAGAATTTGCACCAGGTGTTTCATTATTTAATTAATTAGATTTGGACGCAATCACGAGACAGGATTTAAACTTTATTGCTTATTAATTTCATGAAGTATATCAATCTACAAATGTGAAAAGAACGAGATTATTTTCAACATATTCAATCAATTCAGTTTATAAGAGTACTTTTTTGAGAGTGGTCAATGGTCATAGCAGCGCGTCAAATTGTAATTTTCAGATTATAAGTGATAAAGGGCCATTTATTAGTTACAGAGCTACCCGTGGTATTCACTATTTCATTACAAAAAATAAATTGTAGTGAATAAAATTTATTTATAGACCACCTGCCACCTACCCAGGAGCAAAAGTCAAAAAAATTACTCTCCTGAAAATCGCAATTCTTCGAATTCTACTGGATTGTACCCAATGGGCACTTATCGCGGTGGAAACACCAACAGTGTAAAACAAATGAATAAAAGGAAGACGTTTCGATGGAGTACCGATCATGTTCAGAAATCAATTGTTAATTATTATGAAGGTTTTGTGATATTTGACCTTAAAATAACAAAAGCTGATGAAGTAAATAATATACAGCTTAAAAATGTTTTTACCAGCGCCCGGACTGTTATTTAGGGTGGTTTTATGTACCAAAATACGTTGAGCCAACTTATCACTTTTTAGATTTTTCTACTATGTAAATATCGCACAGCTTTAGGTATTTTATCTGCGACACTTTCGAATGATTTACCATTGGCAACTTAAAGATCGTAGCAACAATAACTTTCTTTCATTCAAATGCGATAGAAAGGAATTGATGCGATTAAGGACAAACTCTAAGCCCTATTATACCGTATAAAGTGTTTTCGCGAACCATCGAAACGAAGGGAATTGACAAAAGTATTTATAAATCTTATGAAATGTCCACAAACTAAACAAACTAAAGTCTTATAGCCAGGGAAAATTCATTTTTGCACTTCTAAAGGGATTGGGAGAGAAAATTCCGAAGCTAATGATAATATAGTGTGTTAGACCCTTAGGGCATCACATTCCACGTTATTCTACACACACACACCATATGAGACCCTGTATCTTCATTTCGTCGTGTTTATTTGACCGAAGCTCTATTGCTCTTTTTCTAGTAAACATATTAAAGAAATCAATTAGTGGTAACGTCCTCCTCTTTATTACATCAGAAGACGTAATTTATTACGTCTTAATTAACATTTTTATGTACACCCTCACAACGTTAATGTAGGTACGAAGGCTTAATTATGACTAATGACGTTTTTTGGGGTGTATATTTTACTGTCCCCGTAAACTTTGCAGAAATAAACAACAGCAGCAACGTTTTCGGCGAAAATGTAATTTCGCATAATATTTATAAATTAGGCACGGATAGTGCGAAAGTATGCTTGTTAATGCGAGTAGTTATAAAAAAAGGCCATAAAATTCCTTATCGTAACCAAAATGGCATTGGAGCTTTTCCAACGTTAACTTTGAAAGAAATAAAAAGTGTTTAGACTATTCGAACTTTTCCACATTATCGTAGTTGTTTTGGAAACTTGTTGCATAACCTTGCAATAAAAACTTTCTTTTTCATTTTAGGCAAGCGTAAAGGTTTTAGACGATATAAATTGACAGTAATAGTTAAACGGGCGACCATTAAAATTTGCGCGATGAAAACAGTAGCTGCAACCGTAGGGCGAAATAAATTTAAACATTTTGATAATAATATTATAACGATCCATAATTTTCGCACGTCTGGTGCGTTGTTTAATAAATTGGCGTAAGTAATTTATAGGTACGTGGGAATTTAGTTTGGGGAACTGCCTAATTCTTAAACGTAAACCAAAATTATGTGCATAATTGGATTATTTCTACCCTAACGAACGAAAATGTCAAGGAATGAACTCGAACAATGAGGGGGTAACCTCAATTGAATCTCTATAAATTCCTTGTGAATTGGAAATTAATAGAGCGCTGCGAGTATAACAATAAATAACTTTCAATACTATTATGATCGATCAGTTTGATTTGTTGTACCTACAGGTAAGCCATAGGGAATACTTTCTTAAAACTTCTTTTTACAACTTTTTTTTCTATAGTGGTCACTTTTTCTTACAATCTATGACAATGATAAGGTACTATTGTACCTTTTTCCGAAAATTGTACTTGCTTTCTTTTTTTACAACCTTCATGAGCTTCCTTATTATAATTTTTCCTCTGGCCTTTTACAATCGTTTTTTCCTGCAGTTGCAACTTACTTTTTAATAAGAGTCATCTATTCAAATCGAAACAGCTCTGATCCACTTACCTATTTCTCCCTTAGCTAATTGGAAACAAGATTTATGATTTTAAATGAACTTTTAATAAATTTTTGTAAAAATAGTATATTGTGCTATAGGGATAAAAAAAGCCTTCAATATACTTGGGAAGCGTCAAAGAATGAAGCACTTTTAAAATCTTTAATAGAACCTTCATGCTGGAGATATTTTTAGTTTTCTACCATAACCACCCGGTGGCGAAACAAGCATTCAAAGACAAAAAACCGGAATTTCTCTAAAATTTCACTATATTATTCCATAAAACATTTAGAGAAATTCCCTTTTCATATTTATAATTTCATGCTCTAAAATCAGTAGGAAAGAACACCTGGTTTTAACAGGTCTACGGCGGTCAGGGCTGCTAGTCTAAACTTGCCCCCCTCCCTTCTTTGCCGTTATCGTAGGAAACGAAAAATAATTTCCAGGGTATTTTTAAAATCACTTTCTTAAAGTGCTATCTTTATTATACTCGGGAAAACCAGACGTTGAAACCTGTCATTTTAGACATAATACGGGGTAATTTAGAATCAATGAGAAAAAGTATAGATAACGGGTAACAAAACGGGTGGCAAGTCTTTTGCAACGATAACTGTCACGTTATTTAAAATTTTGTAAGGCCAATAATTGGGAAAATAGGAGCGATATGGTGTAAGGTTTTCAATTTTTTCCAATCGTACTGCATTAGGGCGAACTATTTGTCTTTTGGCTATGTAAAGTGTTCCTTATTCCCTTTTGGGATCTTCTTGGCATAGTGAATCCGAAATACAGGATGCAACAATGAAAACGAAACGAAATTATTTGTTACTGTTCACAAAATGTTCAATTCATAGCAGCCTGGGGTTTGAAGGGATATTCTTTACGGTAAAATTTCCATTTCTCTCATTGGATTAGCGTGAACAAAGGATGTATATCTTACTGTACCTGTTTTTGTCCAATTGTGTCAAAATAATAACTAAAAAAACATGCTTCAAAATTGTGCTAGATCCATTCTGAAAGCAAAGCAGTTAACAAATACAGTGGCTGATTATCCAAAGGCCCAAAGAGTTTGGATTATGTTTTAGTATTAGAGGTATAAAGTTCGCTTGATCAAGGGGCTGATGTTTGTGATAAAAGTCTAGGAGAAGAAGTACGAAAGATGGTAAAAATATTTCGGTGGGATCCATGTAACGTGTGGAAATTGTGTTTGAGTTTCATTGATAATCAAAGTTGGTAAATCAGAATATTTAACAAAAAAACAATCTGGGTCATGTTTGTCGACGGAAACAGGTCTGTTTTCTGAAATCAGAAAGATTCTGTCAGAAACAGGTCAGGCAGAGGTCAGATCATTATTCTGATAAGTTTCTCCAAAAAGTGTTATAAATCAAATTATCCTTTCTCTACCTTTTAACAGAAAAAAATTGTTCTCACGAGAAATTCAGCTAGCTAGTTCTATCTGCTAATTAAATTTACTGCATCTTGTACGTTTATAATCCTGGCTTCCAGATAGGAACTATATTTGCTTATACGCGCACCTAATTTTTCTTATTTTAGCTCCCATAACGTTTTGTTAATTGATTTAAATGGTCACTTTTTCATAATACTCGTAGAATGTTTCGCAACCCTCCACATTCAATGTGTTGCAGAAAAGACATCCCGAAAAATGTGGCTCATTAATTATTGTCCTTATTGAACGACTCCGCAAATGAATAATCCTTATTTAACGACGTCCCGGAAAAGACACATTTTTTACAACGTAGTGGAGAAACGCTTTTCTTGAAACTTTACGATGCAAACAACACTTTCTTACACTTTTCCATGTCGTCAATGAAAAATGCGCTTTCAATGATATTGGCTAGCTTTCTGTGTCTTAATAGAGTAAGAATGAATCCTTCAAAGTGAGGTTGCTAAGTTTTCAAAAATGTTTAAAAGTTCAAAAAATAATCTACAACTTTACCATACATTCTGAGTACTTTTCCTATAGCATACAATACGCCTAGTCGCCTACAGTCAGCGGTTATCGAGACGTATAAACAATTGTTCTTCCCACCCCTGGTTGAAACCCCTCTTTATTTATTCCGTTGTTCTTCCCACCTTTCTTTTACGTTTATCCTCGTTGTCAAGCATTTTTTCACCAATTCGCTTTCTCTGTCGTTTCCATCGTTATCCGTATCTTTTCCGCTTTTGTTTCCTCATTTAATATATAATTTGGTATCTTTCCGGTTAACCGCAATACCCATTATAATATCAGCGTTGTACTTCTTCCAGTTCCTCCCATTCCTTCCACCCCATATCTCCGTTCCGTACATGAGCACCCCTCTCACCATTGCATCGAACAAATACTTTCCTGTTCTAAAATCATTCTTGAACTCCCTCTCTCCAATTGCCCACACCTGTCTTACCGCCCTTTTTCCTTAATTCTCTTATCTGCGTATTTGCCCCATTGTTTCTTTGCATTTCATTTGGTACATTTAGCTCTTTTCCTTTCCTATACCAATACCTTTCCATTCTGTCTTAGTTCTTTACATGGCCAAAACACTTCAGACTCCTTCCGTTCTATTTTTTCCCTCGATCTAGTTTCTCTTATAGTTCCTTGAGTCATCCCTTAACTTCTTGTCAATTTTCCCATCTTCCATTATCTTCAATAGTTTTTCCCTTTCTACTCTGTGAAACACTCCCTTCAAGTCCATGAAAAACGCGAACACCTTTACGCCCCTTTTTTCGCATTCGTTTTCCACCAATCTGTGTAATACATACAGTGAATAAAGTTCAACTCATACAAAAGTTTCCTATGTTCAATTCTTAAATGTACAAGTGAAATACCCCTCACCTAAGACATGCAAGCAATCTTACCTAGTTTCATATGTTTCAAAATGTTTTCCAATAAACATCAATATGTGAATTAAATTAAGTTTTCCTTTTCTTCAGTCTTTTTTAATTGCTGCTCGATTCCTCTCATGTTATTTCATCTCCGGCAACCTCCTCTCTTGCATAGCCCCCTCTTTCTACTTCTTTAGTTGTAGCTTGGCAAAATATTGTTTCCGTTCCTCTAATTGTATTTCTTTTCTGCTTGTTCTATTTTTCTTTTTTCCTCTGTATATTACCCTCCAAAAATTCTTTTCTGTTTTTATTTTATTTATTTATTTATTTATTTATTTATTTATTTATTTATTTATTTATTTATTTATTTATTTATTTATTTATTTATTTATTTTTTTATTTATTTATTTATTTATTTATTTATTTATTTATTTATTTATTTATTTATTTATTTATTTATTTATTTATTTATTTATTTATTTATTTATTATCCCTCTCTTAGTTTTGGGCCCTCAACAGGCATGCGCCCAATTACAGAGTGACCCGCATAATGCTATTTAGAGGTGCCTCTTTTCTTGATTGGCTCTTCATATTCTTTCTGTTTCTCCACCTTTTTTTCTTTATATTTGCTTTTGTACTTTTTTTCCTGTTCTCTCGCCTCTTCCGCTTCTATTTTCCATCTTCTTTCGGTCTCCATCATTTCTCTGTATCTATTTCACTTTTTTACACTCTCTTTGCCACCACTGGTTTCTTTTTTCTCTCCAATCCCCTTCAGTTATTTGTTTCCACGTTATTGCTTTTGTTTAATATTCTCCTTTATATTATTCCACTCCTCCTCGCACTCCTATTTCTGCTTCTTGTGCCTCCTTCTATACAGCTCCACCATGTATCTTATCAGTAAGTGTATCTCCCTTGGTCTTTGCGTCTTTTCATTTCTTGATCTTTTTATCTTCCCCTTTAGACACAATTCCATCGGTTGCTGATACAATTCTATCATTGTTCCTTAAATTCATCTATTTCTTCAATTACCGACCTCCCTCTTCCCCATGTATGTGAATTGCCCCTTCCTATCTCCCTCCAGATTTCCCTTTAAAATTCGGAGAATCTAAATCTCTAAAGAAAAACAATTACGTCTCACACTTTTACATAAATTTACAAGAAAAATTTCAAAATTATTCATTTCTCAATCAAACATCCTCGGGGAGCTAGATCTTGGATCTTGCGGAATCAACATGGCTTGGCTATGATTTAAAATTTTGTAAAAGTATAGTGTGACACATCCTTATTTCTCTTTCTCTCTGTCCTCTATCTCATTCCGTAAAACTTCAATACGGCGTCAATAAGTAATAAAAAAATAGGGAAATTGAAAGCAAAATTTCGCATTTTCAGTTTTTCGGTGAGTTGGTTTTGCGGTGTTTTCCACATGTGAATTAAATTTATCTTAAATTTCTTGAGCGTGCATTTATGAGTTACTGTCACTCGGACACTTCTGAGGGCGCTAACGTATGAAACAAGCGGAAGAAGCTTGGGGATCTCTCAAGAAATACTCATTTTACCAAAAAATCATCTTTTAGGGCTACTTTTCAGTCAGCATTGGCATTTACAGAAAAACGAAAGCTGGTCGTCTGCAAAACATGTGCAAGGCATTTAAATTAACGACGATATTCCTTTCTTCAGCGTGTTTTAAACATAAAAAGTTTGGATTTAAATTTGCATTTCATCCCTCCGTGGCAACTACACCGAGACGCGGAGTGTCTTATATCACTTTGTAATAGAAAATACGAAATAACCGCGATGTACTACGGCATTTTTACTTGAAATTATTAAAACAAAACTTTCGAAATGAAATTTTGAAATTGGCAGCTTATTCAACTTTTCATATTAAAGCAACAAGTAAACAAAAATTTATTCTCCGACTTAAATTGGGAAACTTTGAATTTTGTTTAACTTTATCAATGTTGAAAAAGTTGTTGGGGAAATAATGGTGCAGTAGGTAATTTACGTTCAAGTTCCCATTTTTCATTTACAGATTTGTAATTGGACAGTACGTGACAGTTCACGGAGATGTTATAAGTCACGTAAACATAAGCCACGTTATGGTGGAAGACGGCGGCGAATACACGTGTACGGCGGAAAATCGGGCAGGGAAAACGTCTCATTCCGCACGGCTGAATGTATACGGTATGCAAATTTATTTGATCTCCCGACCTAATGTCTCACGTCAACCGTGAACTGGCGCTGATATTCATTGCATGCCCGTAGGAATGCCGTATATTCGGTTAATTCCCAAAGTAACAGCGGTGGCGGGAGAAACTTTACAACTGAAGTGTCCTGTGGCTGGATTTCCAATCGAGGAGATCCACTGGGAACGAGGCGGAAGAGAGCTACCAGACGATCTTAGACAGAAGGTATTGCCTGATGGCACGCTTCAAATCAACCCCGTTGAGAAAAAGGCCGACTCTGGTGTTTACACTTGCTGGGCTAGAAATAAGCAGGGTCACAGTGCTCGACGAAGCGGTGAAGTTGCTGTTATAGGTAAGGTTTCTTTCTATACCTACTTTTATTTACTTTGTACTATAATGAAAAGACTTTTTCAGGGAAATTGACTCCTTATCGAACTTACATTATTTACATCGCGCGAAAATACAATTAAAAGCGAGACTATTGTTACCTGAAACAGAAAATAATTGCTTAATTTGTCCGTGTCATCTATCCTGCAGTAATTTATTTGATCTCCCACGAAGAAGACAATGCGATCTTATATCATCCATTTTATTCGAAATTTTCTCAGTTTTCATTAGCCATGCCCTACAAAATATAAAGGGAAGTTTAATTTGGGTTGGATGTAAATTAGCTGCCTTTCATTTGATGTTTATGTTTCTATATTGTAGGTTTTCCGTTGAGAACGTAACCGGGGAGTAATTTTTTGGTCATTTTACTGGATCATCTCTCATTGTTCTACGTGGAACTTTTTAGGGCTATTAGGTATTTTATATTTTCCCGCCTTCTTAGTTTTCCGTGCTCACTTCGGACTTCGTCTACGTTATTCAAAGTACTCCTTCGTTGCAGATATCAGAGGATTCAATTCTGTACTATTGGTAACTATTAAAGTCTGTACGAATTTCGTTGTTTGCTCTATCCACCAATAATTTGGGGTAAGGTACTAAAAAAAATGTACGAGATTACTATGTAGCAGAAAATTCCCCTAGGATAAGGTGAGCGATCTTTGGTAGGTGCAGTTTCATTACAGGAAATGGAAAAACCCACTTGTTTCTAAAAAAGTGGAATCGTTTCATAAATTATTTTCAAATGTTATTTTGACCAAATGAAACCGGATTATCTCTGACCTTAAAATTAATCCCTGCCCGGCAAGATGAAAGGTTTATCGGACAATCAAAATCTGGTTATTTTAATAAACTAACATTTCTTGCTATGATAGTACGAGGTAGGTCAAGAAATTAAGTGTACTGGGACTCTCACGGACGTGGGTAAGGATTTTCGACATGTTGGCAGCACTGCCACATGAATGGAAAATGCTTTTCAACGGGCGGAAAAGGAACCGAGAAAAAGTGGGTGAGGAAGTTTATGTAAGAATTTGTCGCGGAAAGCATAAAAAAAATTGAACCCCTTCCTCGCACCTGCATTAAAATTTCATATTTTGTACAAATACCCGTGTCGTATTTTTTAAATAATTTGGTTTGAAGCCTACACAAATTGAATATACTTTATTTGTGCACTATGGGTGCTGTCCGCGTAACACAACTATAAATGAAGAGTGAGTGGCAAATATAAACCATAGCAGCAATCAATTAGCGAAAACCCGACGTCTCTAGGTGGCCCAGAGACAGAGATCTATCTTTTTTAGGGAAATTTTTCGAAAGAAAAAAAAATCTTTATATAATGGTGCTCGACTGTCCGTCTGCTCCTCGTCTAACTCTAGAACGAATCAGACCTTCTCCAATCGATTTCTACGAGTTCAAAGATCAGTGCTATTGAATATGAGCCGGATTAGAAGTATGGTTTCCGAATGCGAGCTGAGTGGTAAAAATTTCGATACTGAAAATCGTATGCGATTCTTCGTATCTTGTTTATAAAAGATATTTAAAAAAGTTCCTCATTGACCACCCATTTTACAGTATCAAAGAATATCTCGCCAATTCATAAGACGCCTTATGTACTTCAGCATTCCGCTATTGCACGTATTTGTTTGTTATCTTATTTATTTATTTTGTGACGTTCCTATACTCCTATATGTAGTCTACATGGAAAATAAAATGATTGATTGATTGATCTTTCTTTAAACTACTTCATTCCATGATTTTTGCACGGGGAGGGAGGCTCTCTCTTTTCTCTCTTGCAGATTCCAGATTTAAAAAAAGGTTTATGCCCTCGTCTCTTTCTACGTGTACCTGTGAGTGTCTTTATGTTTTCACGTTGACTACAGCATTTGATTATCCTATGAACATGTTCGTTTTGGTGCATATTTTCCTACAATTTGACTACCTCATTGACTTACTCTATGGCCTTGAGATCTCCAATTATTTGGTTTCGTGGGTATTCTTGTAATGTACCTGATAGTTCGCTTTTATAAAATAACTGGAGCAAATCAGCTCAAACTACATTCGTCATTTGGAGATGGGAGGGGGCCTAAAAACTAATCATATGCCTGTTTTTAAATGTTTTCAGGCACTATTTTCCTAAGGATAGGTTAGGTTATGTGTATATTTAGGAGAATTTCCTATTTCTGTACCCACCTATTCTCAAGTACTTTACGCTAATGAAGTCCGCTCATTGTGATAACAATTTGAGGGTCCCTAGGATTATAAGACCAGTGCCGATGAAGCGTATACCATCCGTCCTTGAGTGCATTACGCCAGTATATTTTCTGGAAAAAAAAGGAAAAGAAGCCAATAGTTTTACTCTGACAACCACAGTAATCCCGCTGGCTTAAATTAGCACCCTTAAATCGGCTCATTCATGTGTTATATCGCAAAAATATTGTGATCTTTGTGCGCCAATCCCAAAACTTTGTTCTCTTCTCGTTTACGAGAAAATCAAAATTTTCCTTTGGGGGTCCAACCTAATGCTGGAACACCATCATTCTCGATCCACATGACACTAATATGCGCCAATACTCAGGTTTTGTGCGCCTTTCCTATTTAAAAAAGGGGGTGCCAACTTAAATAATATAAAATCTATACCTATCTATAAAATCGAAAAAAATTTAAAATATCCTAAACATGTCTTGCAGTACACTGACTCTTCGTCTGGAATAATATTGAATGAACAATACTGACTAGTTTTTCCGTTCATCTGTCCATAAGTACACGCTGGCATTTGGCTTTAAATTCCCGAACCTTAAGTCAACCGGTATACGACACGCGGCCCAAGAGTTCTAGGTTTGAATCCCAATTACAAATTTCCTGGAAAATGGAAAATTTATCCGATGCGCATTGCACGACTAGGACATTATGTGGGGGCCCACCATCCTGTTGAAACCAACAGTTTCCAACTTTAGTTTTTATTTGTGCCGTAAATTTTTGTATTCGTAATAAAAAATGCTACTCAAATACAGTATGTACCTTTCTTACGGGTCATATAAAAAGGAGTTGATATGATGATTTCTCAGAAACGAAATAGTGGCAATGAGAAAAATTTTAAAAATCTGCAAATTTCGCTTTTCTCGCATATTTTCGGAAGTAATCAGAATTTTGTGTCGTGTATCATTATACATTTAAACTTAAATAGCATTTGAGATGTACCTAATCTCTATATTTGGGTTGCATTTTTCTTTTTTCTTGTGGAAGTCATTTTTAGCATTATGTTGGACTATACAAACGGAAAACTTTTTTCCGAAACGAAAGGCGCACAAAACTTCAGGATTGGCGCAAACATTTGCACAAAAGAGGTACAAAATTATGACATAAGTTTCAAGTCGCTCCGATTGTAAGAGGTGCTACTTTTAATTGGCATATCCTTTAGAAATTGTGAATGACTCACAAAGGAAAGACATGTTCCAGCATTAAGGTGGACCCCCAATGGAAAATTTCGATTTTCTCATAAACGTGAGCACAAAATGGGCACAATATTTTAGCGATGTAACAAATTGGGATGCCCATTTAGGGGTGCTAACTTAATCCTAATGCGTTCTACACATTAATTAGCCGTTTTCATTTTTACAAGTTCACATCTGAAAGAATATTGAATTATCTAGGAATAGGTACTAAAAATTTCAAATTAAATACCTAAGCACTTTCGTACCAACTGCATGTTGCAATTTTATCAGGGTAGATTTTCAAAAAGAGTGTTCACGCTCTCGTTTACAAGTGAGTTTTTCAGATTACTCTTTTTTATTTATGTTCACTTTATTTAAGTGCACAACATAAATATTGCAATACAAAAAAAAATGGAAATACTTTTTTTGCAATCACATGTATTGAGCGGTGACTGATGTTAGGGTCAGATTCCATCAAATCCTCTTTTCTTCCATTGCGAATAACTTCGACTGGTCCTGTTGTGATCCTGTATACCTATGACCAATGACACTAATTTGTTATTCTTTACAGGTTTATTTCATTTAAAATGTTGTTTCTCCATTCGCAGTAATTTTAGATCAGGATAATTGCGTTGTTCCTGACATACTTTACATGTTGCTTTACCATGTCATTACAGTGCCGCCAAAGGTTAGCCCGTTCTATGCAGAGGAGACGCTACACGTAGGAGATCGTGCGAGCCTTACGTGTTCCGTGACCAAAGGCGATCTTCCGCTGACGATATCGTGGCACAAAGATGGCCGTATCGTGGAGCCAGCCCAAATGGTGTCCGTCACGCAAGTGGATCAGTATACTAGCATACTATTGATAGAGAGTTTAACGCCCGAGCACAACGGCAACTATTCGTGCGTTGTGCGTAACTTGGCAGCGGAGGTATCCCACACACAGCACTTAGTAGTTAATGGTAATCAGGTGCGCCGTGACGCACTTTTTAATACTTCTTTTCTATCTCTGATGTTTGTTTCTCTTCTCTCTCAGTTCCTCCTATTATTGAGCCCTTTTCCTTCCAAGACGGGCTGTCCGAAGGCATGCGAACGAGAACAGTGTGCGGAGTGAGTTCTGGGGACCCACCGCTCGTGGTCTCCTGGCTAAAGGACGGATTGCCACTCACCCCCGCACTAGGCGTTAACGTGACGGCCCTTGATCCCTATTCTAGTCTCCTCAGCATTTCTAGCCTTGACTCGAGACATTCGGGAGACTTCACGTGCGTTGCAAGCAACCCAGCCGCCGAGGTCAGGTACACCGCCAAGCTGCTGGTAAAAGGTAACCACCCAGCCTGTCTCCTTTAACCAACTCCTACCCACACATTTCGTTGCTTTGGCACACGCGACGACCGGAATCCCCAGGTCAAGGTACTGTTGCACATTTTTATTTTAATTCTCGATCACTCGTAGACTTTGATATTTGTTCGATCACTTTGCATGCACTTTGGTTATGTATGTAGAATGATGATGTAGTAATGGACTACTGAGTCCATCGCCTTACTCTCACATACACTGAGCCGTACCAGAAGATATGTTGATTTTTCCTCACAAGTACTTGCTTATTGCAGCAAAATACCAGTAAATTAGCCACCTATCCAAACCGTGTAGAGTGTCATCAATGTATCCACTCACGGCACAATGCAACAATAAATGTGTAGAATTGTAGCTATAGACGCACTAAGATAACCGCAATTTGTTACAGTACCACCTAGATGGTTGGTCGAACCAGTTGATATAAGTGTAGAAAGAAATCACCACGTCTCCCTCCATTGCCAAGCTCAAGGCGTACCTACCCCTACTGTTATGTGGAAGAAAGCAACAGGTCTTTAACTTTTTATCTCTTTCTGCTAAATGAATTTTCACTATCTCAGAAATTAATGTGTTTAGGCAGCAAGTCCGGTGACTATGAGGAAGTAAGAGATCAAATACAAACTAAACTGTTGGGAAACGGCACGTTGTTATTACAACACGTAAAGGAGGACCGGGAAGGTTTTTATCTTTGTCAAGCAGATAATGGTATTGGCACTGGGATTGGTAAGGTAATTCAGTTGAGGGTTAACTGTAAGTTGTTACTGTGGCCTACATTATGATAATGGGGGCTGTTCTAGCTTCCCCCTACTTTGCCGCTCCTTCAAGATTGGTTACAGTGAAGAAGGGAGACACGGCAACTTTACACTGCGACGTGAACGGAGATAAACCTATAAGCGTCGTATGGTTACGTAGTGGAAAGACGGAGTTGAACCCTTCCACCAACTACAGGGTGCATGTCAAACAAGATGTCACCCCGGACGGTGTCGCGGCCCAGCTCCAAATTACCAACGCGGACGCCTCAGATACCGGGTCGTACTTCTGCCAGGCCAGCAATATGTACGGTAGAGATCAGCAGTTGGTGCAACTGCTAGTGCAGGAACCTCCGCTCAGTCCGCAACACCTTGAAGCGGCAATGATCAGTAGTAGATCGATCAATTTAAAGTGGCAGCACAAATCTGGCGATTCAAACGAGGTGTTCAAATTTATAGTCGAATACAAGGAGATGGATCGTAAGTATCGTTAGCCGCCAAATTAAATTCATCCTGTTAATAAAGGGTGAATAAGAAACCCATCGAACGCGTTTCGACTGCGAAGCTATCATCATCAACGCACCAAACTGAAAACTAACAGATCCTATATACCTGGTACTTGCGTTAAGGTACTTCGACCTCCAAAACATTTCACTTGCGAGCGGTTTTTGTTTCGAAAAATGGGTGAACTTCACTTTTACAGCATCGCGCGATTGTAGAGTTTCTCACTCATCCATGAAAGGATAGCCCATGTTTACAGTACTGACGGCGTATCTTATTAAATGGGGTACTCTTTGGTTTAATCTTGAGATGATGACAGCTTCCTGTCCGCTTAATAGAAGTCATTATTTACTTTTTAGTCTTTCTATTTACAATAATTATCCTCTTAGGACCCTGGCAGCACTTGGATCTGATCGAACCTCCTTTACAATACGGCGCGCTGATTGAAGATCTAAAGCCCGCCACCAAATACATATTCCGCGTGATAGCCGAAGGTCCCGCCGGTAGAAGCAAGCCGAGTTTCGAACTGCTGGTGCGGACTGAGCCACAGCGTCCAGCCGGTCCGCCTTTAAACTTGTCGGTTAGGCCTGTATCGTCTACGGAACTGTTGGTCACGTGGTCCCCTCCGCTCTTCGATTTGAGGCACGGAGACATTCAGGGTTTTAACGTCGGATATAGATCTGCGACTATGGGCGCGTATAACTATACTTCGATGACGGGCGATGGGGAGGATGGTGGTGGAGAATTGTTACTGGGTGGCCTTTCTAAATACATGGCGTATAGCATCGTGGTGCAGGCGTTTAACGAGGTAGGTCCTGGCCCGCTGACCGAACCCTTCACTACGCAAACTATGGAGGATGGTTAGTACCCGTACTTTGAAAGCTGCGCCTGACTGTCTTCTTTTAGTACCCAGCGCCCCACCCGAAGACATGCGTTGCACCGCCCTTACCTCCCAATCCCTACAAGTTAGTTGGCAACCACCAGCCACTGAACACTGCAACGGTCTTTTGCAAGGATACAAGCTGACGTATGAACCGGTCATCGATGACAACTGGCGAGGGAGTGACGAAATTGAAACACGAAAAACTACGGCGTTGACGACCGTAATTACCGGTCTAAGAAAGTACACTAATTACACCATGCAAGTTTTGGCGTTCACCAAGATCGGAGATGGTGTTTTAACGTCTGTGACTTTTTGTCAAACCGAGGAGGATGGTAGGCTTACAGTTTTCTCGACTTTTAAAAACATGTACCTTAGTTCCAGCTCCACCAGCCGATATAAAAGTAATTGTAAGTTCCCCTCAGTCACTGCTAGTGTCATGGCTTCCGCCCTTTGAGCCCAATGGGATTGTTACCAAGTATTATTTGTACAAACGTAGCATGGACGGGCGTAAAGAGGTGGATCATGCAAAGCAAACCGTCTCCAGTCAACAAAATAGCTACGAAGCGAAAGGTCTACAGTCTCACATTGAGTATCAATTTTGGATAACGGCGTCTACGCGTATTGGAGAAGGTCAAAGTTCCAGAACGGTGTCGCAGATGCCCACGGCTCGAGGTTTCATTGAAGATACTCACAGCTTTCTGTTAATATCAGTTTTTAGTGCCGGCTCGAATAATTTCATTCGGTGGCCAAATCGTTCGCGCATGGCGGAGTGCGGTCTCCCTACCTTGTGCTGCAGTAGGTTCACCTAGGCGAGAATGGTACCGTGGCGACCACGTATTAAAGAGCTTGGATGAGCAAAAACAGCAAGTTCTAGACTCAGGAGAGCTAATTCTAGGTAACGTTCACTTGAGCGACTCCGGAAATTACACGTGCCAAGTTGATAACGGTCAGGGGTCGGATAAAGTGACGTACAACTTAGTTGTGCAAGTTCCACCAGACGCACCTTTATTGTATGTCAGTAGTGCCACCAGTAGTAGCGTTCTTTTACATTGGAAAGCTGGGAGCAATGGTAGAGCGCCCGTTAGCGGATTTACTCTGAGTTACAAAAAGGAGCACGGGGACATTAGCGAGTTGTCACTGTCCAGACATGCCACTAGTTACGAACTGAAAGTAAGTAAATTAGTTTTTAGGTCAAAGTGCTCAGTTTAATCTTTAGGGATTACTGTGCGGCACATCGTACCATCTACACCTAACGGCAATCAACAAAATTGGTAGTTCACCGCCGAGTCACCCTCTACAAGCGCGAACACAGGGACACCCACCTGGAGTCCCATCTGCGAACACATTTGTTTTTCCAAACACTACCGCTGTGATACTACGACTGCACGTTTGGCCTGACAACGGCTGTCCTTTGCTGTATTTTATTTTACAATATAGAAAAGCCAGCGATTCCCAGTGGACGTTAGGTATGAACTTGTCTTGGTCACTTGGTGTCGTAGAGTTCCCATTTTCAGTTTCGAATGCGTTGAAGCCACAAAGACGAACCTCAATCACCGGTTTGACGTCTTCAACTCAGTACATCGTAAAAGTAGAAGCGCACAATATCGCCGGCTTTGCAACTGAAGAATTTGCCTTCACCACCTTAGCAAAAGACGGAGGTAAATGGCCTACGTTTGTGAATGCAAAATTTAATTGTACCATTTAGATGCGCCACCTCCTGATCTGATGAAACGAGAGGGTAATTCAACGCCTTTCTACGCCGATCTCAAAATTATGGTACCTGTTGTTATTATAATGATTCTGCTGTTAGCAGCTGGGGTGACTGCGGTTGCTTGTTTAAGGAATAGTGAGTAAGTCGACGTTCTGAATCTGGCTCATTGAAATTTTGTAGATCAAGAAGAGGATGCGAAAGAACAATTAGATAATCAACAAAACGCTGAAGCACAAAGAGAACGGTATTATGCTACAATACACAAAGTAGCTCTACAAGCCGGCGAAAAAATACCAGGTTTGCGCCTTATAACAACAAATTTGTTCCAGTAACTTTTTCGTTTCGTAGAAACCTCAGAAGATATTTCGCCGTATGCAACCTTTCAGTTGTCTGAACCAAGTACACTGCCACAAAACACAATGCTACATAGTTTCATGTATCATGAACATGCAATTACTGAAGGATGTGCGTCTCCTCCTCCAGCCGCATCGTCAATTCAACGAAATTCCCCCTATTACAATATCGTAAGTTCGCCTCTCGCCTCTCATTCGACTTAATTCATACAAAAGGTTTTTAGCAAAAATTTCAAAGTGCTAAAGGCCACGGTAGGAGAAGAACTAGTCGGAAAACAGATGTAGATAGTGACGAATCTGATTCAGATCCCGATCAAATCACTTCCAGTAGAACGGAGTCTTCCAACCAATTAGATATGAAACTTAAGCATAGTAGCTGTCTAGTGTTTGTTTTGGGGCGTAACCAATTAGTTCTTTTGCAGATTTTATATATCATGGTGCTCAATCCAGCACTTCTTCAGACATATCGCCAATGTCGGAACAAAAATCACTGCCACGGCGTAGCAGATCTAGGTAAATAAAGCAAGGCGCACACGTACTTATTATTTTTATATAAAGATTAACTCCAGGTGGTTATCACAAGGTAGAGCAACTTCGCGACATCTACTACCCACACTCTCTGTGGCCGAAACAGCATTTACAGAGCGCACGGCGTCACAGTCAGAAACACATACACCAGATAGACCAGAGCTAAGTGAGGCCGAGTGCGATATCGATACGCTTAAAAAGCTCAAACTGGGACTGCGATCTTCGCTATGGTCACGACCAGCTGGATCTGGGCAGCCGTCAGACTATTCTATTGCAGTGTAAACTGTGGTTTTAGATAATAATCAAAACTTTTTAAGGTTTTTGTTAAATTATTTGAGAAAAAAAATCAAAATATATTTCAGTTATGAAATGGTATATAATATAACGATTTGTATAAAAGAAGAAATTTAGAGAACGCCCTGTTTATAAATTTTGTTATTCGAAATTCCAAAAAAAATTGGATAAATTTTATATACTTACTTACTTAAAGAGAAATATGTAGAGAACTCCATTTCTTCCAATAAACTTGTTACCTGCATACATCGTACAGCAACAAAGAAAAACAATCAATTTGAAAAATCAAAATTTTTAAATTTGCCCCATCCTGTTACTGTAACAAATAACTGTATCACATAGTTTACCTCTAATAAAGTTTAATTCATATTACTTTGGGCTTATTCAGTAGGTAATACTCAAATTATTCACCGAAACTGAGTAACTTTGCAAATCAAAAATTTTACCAAGGGCTCCATTTTTTAATTTTGTTATTTATTATTTACGTAGTTCAGTTACAATTAACAGGGCACGAAATACAAAAAATCTACACCTAGTGCTGGATCCATCTTTTATTTAGGATGATGGGCTGGTACTCGTACATTCTGCACAGCTAGTGGTGAACCTCGAGTATCTGCGACAATCTCTTTTTGGCGATTTTTATATTTCTTTATTTCGCAAGAATGGTAATGAACAATTTATGAACAAAACATTTTTTGTCCCTCCGCCTCCAAATTGAGGTCCATAGCAATACCTACCCCTAGAGGGTACACATTTTTGTAGGTATAATGACTGTAACTGTAACTTAATCACATGTTATTAAGCTAACAATATATCCTCAATCCTCAATGCACATTTTTAAGGAATATTTTGCAAAAGAATCCTTCGTTCCGTTTTTGGGAATGCATTACTCTCGTTTTTACATGTTATATCTATTTCCGTTTTAGTTGCACCGTCGATTTTAGGGTTCATGGTTTTAAGCGGGTCGATCTATGTAAAGCCTAACCAACATCAATGGTAAGATACTTTCACATTACATTCTAATATCCATCGTTCTAATTAAGATTTCTTATAGAACAGTTTCCCAAAAAATACGTTCTGCGAGTGGCAAATATCACGTCATGAGGTATATTGTAGTAATCAATAAATGATGACAACTTTTTTTTTTGTTTAATATAACTAAGGTAAGGTATCAGTAGATTAGATATATCATCCATCGGTACAAACGTTCTCTCTTGTAAAAAAAGAAGATATAGGTAATAAAATGAAACGAAATGGGGCTGATGTAAGCACTGGAGCTTGAAACTCTTTTAAATGAGCGTATAGGAAAGTTTAGAAAGGTGTAGGAAGCTTTTGAAGGATCTAAAATCCTGCAGTGAACCTAGAACAATTTGTAGTAGGTGTACCTATAGTATAAATTTCAATTTTGAGGAGAACAATGAGTGATAGCTCTGAGATTTTAGAAGAATCTAAATCCTCGGTTGCATTTGACTTCTGAGAAGGTAACATTTGTTTTAAAAGATCTCTCTAATTAAAAGTTACAAAAAAAGAATTGTTGTTTCTTTCGCAGTTTCGAAAGTATTTGGAATGTCATCACTTAATTCCTAAGATGTCATTAGATTGGTCCTCAAACTGCGACACTTTGCCTCTATTTAACCGCATAGAATCTCTTATGGTTCCGAGATCCCAATATGGTCACCATCGAATATGAGGACATATGATGCTTATTGTACATCCACAGGATATCAACTTTTTATACGTTTTTGGTATCATTATTATAAGTGGACCAAATTAATTTTATCGGATTCGTGTACCAAAAATCTCCACCAGTCCCCCAATTCTGACTACCTAGACCACTTGTGCGTTACAGATGGCTCAATCGACCTCGTCATCTGCAGTCTCGACTACACTCGATGGTGTACTAATCCTTCTACTCCACTTGTGGTATAAAGACCTATAGCTATATGGTATTTTTTTAGATTAGTAAAACAGAATTAAATATTTAGTTTATCTTATCATTTTTGCATAAAAGCAATTTCCGCAATTAAGTCAAACTGTACTTACCCATAAAAGATGCGATAAACTTTACTAGTGCCGTACCTACAGAAAAATGAAGGAAGTGCTTTCAGTGAAAGGTCTTGTTCAAAGCTTTGTTATTGCCATAGTTTTGTAGTATCAGCTTCCAGGGAGGCATTTTCTAGCTATATCTTTCCAGAACTTCATAGGCTTTTCTAGCGATGGAAATACTTTTTAATCTCTGAAGGCTTTAAAGAACAACCCCAAGACGACAGAAAAAATGAAGGGAGTGCTTCCAGTGAAAGGTCTTGTTCAAAGCTTTGTTATTGCCGTAGTTTTGTAGTATCTTTCCAAGGAGGCATTTTCTAGCGCTATCTTTTCAGAACTTTATAGGCTCGTCTAGCGATGGAAGAGCCCTAAGGGGTATTTAAAAGGCCCTAAGGGGTATTTAAAAGGTATTGGAAATACTTTTTAATCTTCGAAGCCTAACCCCTGTTTTACAATTTCCAGAGTTTTTATGTCATTGTTAGGGTAGCGTTACAAAGTGACAAATGACGCCTAATAGAATGTGGCGCCAAGATTACTCATCATTTATTAAAGCGAGCACAACTAGACTTGATAATAGGTAAAGTAGTTACCTAATACTTAATATTAATATAGACAAGACATGAATGCTATTAATATTTTTACAAAAATCTAAAAACCGATCGACCCCCGTCCTAGGGGTTGTAGCAACCCACAAATGTAAAATATAACGATGGACCAAACGACTCATCATTTGGAAGGGATTTTCTTAAAGTCTACCGATTAGTTACCGTGAAATCGTACTTTAAAGTTTAAAAATATCGCTCAAAATGTATTACTGGAAATGAGGGCCACTAACTTCTATACAATAATTCAAACCCAGATCTTACATTTCTCAAGATCTCAAGAGATATTCTCCGTCATTCGGCCATAATTCTTTGTCGTAGTGCAAGTCTTCTACTAACACTATTTTTAATCGAAGTAGTAAATTACTGCAACATAATTGAAACGTTCCCATCAGGTACAATCGTCCCATATTTTATGGTACAGAACCTACTTCATCTATTGTTTAAAATTGTATACCAGGCAACTGCATTAAAAGTACTAATTCTGATTCGCACCCACACTATTAAACGTAAATGTTAGATCTCAGCTGTAAAAAATAGCAATAATTACATCACCCGCCCCAGCTTATTTTACTCGATCTGAGAGACCCTGTATATTTAATTATGATGTACAGTATTTTAAATGCTATCTATAATAAGTTATATTTAGTAAATCAGTATTTATTGTTTTTCTTGTTCCACTCCCATGTATATAACTTAATCCCGTGCCCCCTTTGCATGTTACGTCAATGTGCAGAAATGGTTGTGGCTATTCTAAAGTGTTTTATTGTGTTGCCAACTTCAGTTTAGTGTTTTGACAAGTAGAATGTCAAAATGGAATTAATTAACTTCCTTTTATTTAATAATTGCTCCAATTTGTGAGTTTTTTATATAAAAAATGTCATAAAGTCGTCTTACGGCACGCCGCTTATTATCCGCCTCAAGTAAAGCTCAAAATGTATCGCAAAAAACGAAAATCCGTACGAAATTAACGATGTTTAATTATTTATTTCTCTTTGTAAGTTGTTACATTCTCTTAATTGCTTGCGACAATGCGAGGGACAATTTGGAATCTCCCGTCTGCTGTAACTTAACGTCGTCGAAGAGTGTCGAGGTGAATTACCAATCGAAGATAGTAGAGAATGAGTACATCGTTACGTTTAATGGGTATTACAAGAATAATGCACGAGCCAGCTACGTTAACGCTGCCCTAAATTCATCGGGCGTCAGCCACTGGCGCATTTTAGCGCGTGAAAATCCGGCGAGCGATTATCCCAGCGATTTTGATGTGGTTGCCCTGGGGGATGTCGACATTGCAGCCGGAGTCGAGGCACTGCGCCGGCATCCTAGTGTGAAAGGTGTAACAGCGCAACGAATGGTTTTACGCACTTTAAAGCTGATTGATACGCACGAACAAGTTCAGCCTGTGAATTGCGTGGGCGCCGGTTGCACCGGGTGGAGGCTTCGTCGCATTCAGAACAGTCAGTTTTGGCAAGCAACTGGTAGGCATACCAGTAGGCGACTGTTAAGAGCGATTCCGAGGCAGATTACTTCTGTGTTGCAAGCGGACGCATTGTGGAACATGGGGATCACTGGAAAGGGGATTAAGGTCGCCGTGTTCGATACAGGCCTATCAAAGAATCACCCACACTTTCGAAAGGTAAAGGAGCGCACGAATTGGACCAACGAAAAGACATTGGATGACGGTTTGGGCCACGGGACTTTCGTTGCCGGAATAATCGCGTCCAGTAAGGATTGTTTGGGTTTCGCCCCCGATTCGGAGCTGCACATTTTTCGCGTGTTTACAAATAATCAAGTTTCCTACACCTCCTGGTTTCTGGACGCGTTTAATTATGCGATTTTGAAGAAGATTAACGTACTTAATTTGAGTATAGGTGGACCCGACTTTAAAGACCATCCCTTTGTAGACAAAGTTTGGGAGCTTACCGCCAATCGGGTGATAATGGTGTCTGCAATTGGAAATGACGGTCCTTTGTATGGCACGTTAAATAACCCGGCGGACCAGATGGACGTGATCGGTGTTGGCGGGATTAATTTTGAAGATCAAATTGCAAAATTTTCATCGCGCGGTATGACCACCTGGGAGTTGCCTCAAGGTGAACCTCGCACGGTCGTTGTAATCGGGTTTTAAATGTAAATTTCAGGATACGGTAGAGTGAAGCCAGATATTGTCACATACGGAGCGGCAGTTCGTGGCTCTAACATTAATAACGGCTGTCGCTCGTTGTCGGGCACAAGTGTTGCTTCACCTGTAGTTGCCGGAGCTGTTACTCTTTTGGCTAGCGGGGTGTTGCATAGAAGTGAAGTAATTAATCCGGCAAGTATGAAACAGGCATTAATGGCTTCAGCTCGGCGCCTTCCAGGTGTGAATATGTTTGAGCAGGGTCATGGCAAGCTTAATCTCATCAAAGCGTATCAGATTCTAAGCAGTTACAAACCTCAGGTATGAAACTAAGATTTGTGCCTCTAACATCTTGAACTTCAACTTCTAGGCCAGTTTAAGTCCGAGCTATATAGACTTAAGTGAGTGTCCGTATATGTGGCCTTACTGTACACAGCCATTATACTACGGTGGGTTACCCGTGATCGTCAATGTGACCATTCTGAATGGACTTGATGTGTCGGGGCATGTGGTGGGAAAACCGCAATGGCACCCGTACAGCCCACAGCAGGGCCAGCTGCTGGATGTCGCAATATCGTACTCTGAGTTTCTGTGGCCGTGGTCGGGATGGCTTGCGGTCAGTTTTTCTGTAAGCACAGAAGGTGCCACTTATGACGGTTTTGCGCAAGGTCATATTACTTTAACAATAGAATCGCCACCGGCCAGTGGGGAGGAAGAACCAAGACAGAGTACTGTTACGTTACCCATTAGGTAGGTATGATTTATGGACAAAGCAGATCAGTTTTATGTCTATCTTGTACAAAAAACTGTTGAAAAAATTGCATGTTGTGGCTCGATTGCAAAGCTGAAGTCAAGGCTGAAGTACACAGGGCTACAATAGATTAATGAGCTTGATATGATGGCAGGTTGCAAGTTTCCATTTTATTGAACAATTTAAACTGGTAGATGGCCTTGAAATCTATGTAAACAGTTTTGCAAAATTACTGTATGACAATATGTATTTTCTTACATCATTAATTTCTAATATTATTACTGATGTGTATGAAAAATGTCTTCCGTTTTCTTGTGTTGTTTCTCTCATGCAAGTTTGTTACGTGTGACATTATGCAAGTGTTTTGTCCAAGAAATTGTATCAAACTCGGCACGTGATTGGTAGAGATTATATGTGGCACCCTGTATCACGCCCTCAAACACTTTGACGTTTCTTTCGCATGTGCACTATATGCAGTGTTCTGGATGTTTTATACGAAAATCTACATAGCAGTTGGTAATACTGTCGTGTAAGATCAGGAACAGCAGATTGTGTATTTCTTATTTATGTGCCGCTACAATAGCATTGTAAAACAATATACAGGGTGAGTTCTTCCGATGTTTAGGGGATCTCGTAACTTTCTGATGGTGCTGCTAAAATAAAATTCTTTATCACTTGTGGTTTTGAGTAAATCACATCTACATTCTTATATCTTATGGGCGCCATATTGGATTTAATAACCAGTGATACATACTAAACACTTAGTATTTCATTAGGATGCATTTTTGCCTTGAATTTTACATATTTGGCTGTGAATGCCATTTTTTTTACTAAATTACATCACTCCAACATATGAAACTTATCGTGTAATTTTGGAATCAAAATGACGGCCGAATTGCGCCACTTTGTACAGATAGAGTGACTTTACGACCGGTTTTCAATGTCAGTTTCCTGTATTAATATAGGTATTAAGGTATTTGATCGTAGTTAGGTTTATGAATGACAAACGCCCCATGTCATGCACCTCGACATATCTTATTGACATCCATTTTCTGTCACGTCCAACTTACGGGTATTAAAGAGAGATAACCTAGATATTACGCAACCGCCAGTTCCTACTATACAGGAGCTTAGAAGAAAGTGATATTTTTTTGCTTGAAGTTATGCGGTGTACTGCAATACCTTGACAGTAAGTAGTTATTTTAATAATACTACAGTTAATATTTGCATTAGCTGGTGCCGCCATTTTTGAAAACGGCAGCCATTTTGAATTTGTTAATAGCCAGCGTTTTCATATAAATCAATAACCATAAGCATTCATACTAAATTTCATAAACCTCTCGCCAGCAAAGATTGCCAGTCACAGAACACTTGATCCTGGTCTACAATCTATGTTTTTCTAAAGATGTGAGCGACTTCCGGGATAGTATCATGTCAATGTTGAACAAAAAGACTTTTCGTTCAACATTCCGGAAGTCGCTCGCATTTTAAGAAAAACAGATTGCAGATCAACACAAGGTGCGCTGTGACCGGCAATCTTTCCTGGCGAGAGTTATAGTAGTATCATCATTTGAAAGATATGTACCATTAATATAGTTAATACGCGCCGCCGTTTTAGTAAACGCGTCCATATTAAATGTTGTAAGTGACCATCGTTTTTATATAAAACAGAAACCTGATAGGAACATTCATACCAAATTTCATACTTGTATCATCATCTGCCCCACGAATATATGTTTTAACATTGGGATAGTGCCTACTTCTATTGATGAAGAGCTCCATTAATATTAGTTTCTTATTTATGGGCTGTTGTAAGGTAACTAATAAAGTTTTTGTTTTTCGGTTTTAGGCTATCGATTTCGGTTTTTATTTTATAACCATCTTCATTCCTTAGCGTATACCAATTCTACACCCTTTAGACTGTAGACCATACTGTACAGGGTGTTTTTTTGGGAGCTTTAGTTAAAAGGTTCTGGGAAAGTAAAATAAGTAGGTTTTTGAAAATGTGTACTTAGGAGTTACTCTGAAGGCCGAATCTATGTAAAATATTTTCAAAATGGCCGCACTTCCGGAAACACCGGTTGCATACGACCGCCCCTATGGATATCCAAATTTATGAAACTTCAAAGACTAAAAACTCAGTTTTTTTAAATGGAATGACCATGTTCTTACTATTCCATGAGATAGAGAATCGAAATGGGCATATTTTGACAATACATGTTCCTATAGCTATCTTTAACAGTTTCTGACTTATTCCCATTTTATTGAATTGACACTATTTTTTTCGGATTTTCTTTTTAGTAGTCGGCCATGATTCTATAATAATTGAATTTTAAACAAATCTAGTGACACTAATCCATCACCCACTGTTATAGGTTAACATAAGTTTTTGAAAAATCGAAAAATGACTCGCAGTGGTTTCACCTATTTTGGAATTTAATTGTTATTTATGGTGAAATGGGCAGAATCGCGGCGCGTGCTTTCCGTACATTCATTCTAAAACTGGAACGAAATTGTATGAATTTTGGAAATTTTGTACCCCTAATGCACTACAAACGGTTGAAGCACAAGTGATACAAAGCTCTACAAGAGAATATTTAAGAAAATGAATTGAATTGCAAATGCAAGATTAACAAATTTTTCAAAAATTTTCCGTCCTATATCCTTAATAAATGAGTTATTTATTAATGAATTATTTAGACTAGAACTAGAATCAATGGTATTAAAGACTCCATTCCTTGATTTGTTTAAAATTCGATTGTTATAAAATCATGGCCAACTACTAAAAAGAAAATGCGAAAAAAAATGGCATCAATTCCGAGATCAATCCAATGAAATGGGAATAAATCAGAAACTGTTAAAGATAGCTATAGGAACATGTAATATCAAAATATGCCAATTTCGATTCTCTATCTCATGCAATATTAAGAACATGGTCATTCCATTTAAAAAAACTGAGTTTATGGACTTTGAAGTTTCTTCAATTTGGATCTCCATAGGTGCGGTTGTACGCAACTTAACTTTTTTTTAAGTACACTAAAAGAAAGCGCTATTCATTCTCTATGCACTGATAAAAATGGGTTGCCATGACTATAACCGTTTTCAAGTAATCAATTATCAAGGTACCATCTGCATCCGCCATTTTTTTTCTTAAAGTCAAAATAACTTAAAAATCATAAATGGCAGATATCGACATATGGGTATCAAAAGAACTGAAATTTCACGTAGAATCCAAAAATGCAATAAAAAATAGGGGTTGCCATTTAAAATAACGGAATTACTATCTACTTCCGGTGTTTCCGGAAGTGCGGACATTTTGAAAATATTTTACATAGATTCGGCTTCAGAGTAACTCCTAAGTACAAATTTTCAAAAACCTACGTATTTTACTTTCCCAGAAACGTTTAACTAAAGCTCCCAAAAAAACACCCTGTATATATAGGCACATTTCCTGAGATTTTTCATTTTTGAAAAAGAAATCCTTTTTGTTCCAAAAGCTAAATTCACCTTTTATTTTTCCTTTAAAGTACGGGGTGGATAGCACCACCAAATATTCACATATAAAATCAGGTCAGCCTTGATTATTAACAAAAGTACAACTTTGTGGGTATGCTTTACGCAGATCTTTTTACTGTTGAGGACTGAGAGTATGAGAAGTATGCGTGTGTGACCGGCTTCGTAAGACGCAATGTTACAGGTGTATCCGAGATACCGGTCTGCGGGCGACTGTATCGCTGTGTAAAGCAGTCTTAAACATTGGGAACAAGCAGGACTTTTTCTCGAAAAATGTAAAATCGATTGTATAGTGAACCTCCTCTCGGACATACTGTATATACCTTTTATGGCTTCATTTCAAATGCTGTAATTGCCAAAATACTTTCTAGAGAAAGGATGCTACAACCTGGAGGGAACGAAATTGGAATTTGTTATTTATTTATTGTCCCTCTCTTGTTCTGGGTTCTCAACAGGCTTGTGCCCAGTTACAGAGTGACCCGCATAAGAGGAATCATTCTTGCCTCAGCTCAGTTTCGAACTTCCGCCCATGTAACCCAACGCTCTACCACTGAGACGCATAGTTGGAATAAAATCTTGGGCGTGTTTCACGTGCAACTTCATCTTTTTTGAAAATCCTTTTGTCATTATTCCGATATCTTCACAGTATCTCCACCATTTCTGTGCTTCAATATTTGGTCTGTTGCGTGTTTTTGAATTGTGATCAGGGAATTGTTTTAGAGCGAAAATTATTCCAACTCCACCTCGTCACAAACGAATTTTATGGGATCAATACCATAACCTCCGCTATCCACCAGGCTATTTCCCACGGGACAATTTGAAAATAAAAACGAACCCTCTGGATTGGAACGGTGACCACATTCACACAAACTTCAAGGATATGTACCAAAACTTACGAAACGCAGGTTACTACATTGAAGTTTTAGGTAATACTTACCTCACATTTTCCTATTGAAAAATAAGTCAAATCCAGGCACCCCTTTCACCTGTTTCGACGCCTCCCACTATGGAACCCTATTAATCGTCGACTCTGAAGAAGAGTTTTTCCCAGAGGAGGTGGCCAAGCTGAAGCGCGATGTTGATGCCGGTCTATCTGTCATAATCTTCGCCGACTGGTTTAACGTGACTGTGATGAAGAAAGCGAAATTCTACGACGAGAACACGCGCCAGTGGTGGATGCCCGATACCGGAGGCGCCAACGTTCCCGCGCTTAACGACCTTCTAGCCTCTTGGGGGATAGAATTCGGCGATCGGGTGTTCGAGGGCGAATTTAAGTTGGGCGATCACGAGATGTACTACGCTTCGGGAACGAACATCGCCAAGTTTCCAGAGAATGGTTTGTTGATCGGACGCGATTTAAGGGACCAAGCATATCAAGTTAGTTGATATAAATTTTGGACTAACTCAATAAACAGACAAGTTTTCTCAAAAATTTAAATCTACAGTTTCTGGTATAACTGTGGAAAATAATAAATTTTCCTTATAGGTTATGGGTATAACGAGTGGTGCAAACGAAAAATTTCTGGTGCCGATTTTAGGATTTTTACAGACGAAATCGAACGATAAAGGCGGTCGAATTGTCGTTTACGGTGACTCCAACTGTTTAGACATGAATCACTTGGAGAAGGCTTGCTATTGGATGCTCGATGCGATTTTGGAGTACACGTCCACCTCGCATTTACCCTCGATCTTTAAGCAGAACGAAATTTTGGACCGTTCCATGCAAGTTCGAACAGAGGTTCCTCAGCGCATGGAAGGCAATCGTTTGTATCGGTACTCGAAGGTGTTGGAAAAACACTTCGGCGGTGACCAAGCTCGCGAACTGCCTCAATGTCCGCATCTAATCTGGTCCCAGCCAGTGCCTTTGAACGTATCCGCCACCACCAACTTATATCAACCTCAGAAACTGCTAGCAATAAGTGACGAGATCGTTCCTATACTCCATATCGAAAATGAGTTGAAAGGTGACCACTTGTAGTAATTATTTACTAATCCACTAGCTAGAACTTTACATGTCTTTGAAGTTAGCCTGAGGCATTTTGTTTGCTACACACTCAAAATGGATCACGCCCACTTCTCGGGCATGAACTGTACTACAATGTAACAATAGATTAATTGCAGATACGAACTATTTGGATTCGAATTTTGACGACGCGTTCGGATGGCGTAACAAACAGCCGGCGGCGGCGGCGATTTTAGAATCCGAAAGCTCTCTGTACGTCACAAATATCGTATTAGTTATCGTGATAGGGTTTATTCTATACGTTTTAGCTAAGTGGTATTGTAAAGTGCTAAAGCCGAAAAGGCGAAAGTCGTGTATGCGAAAGGTTTTCTTTTAAAACGAGTGCCTATTATTTATTTCGACGTAAATATTTGTGATAGATTTGCTTAATTTTAGTCTCACGTGATTTATTAAATACCTGTGGTGTTATTGTTGAATTTATACATCGAGATTATATTTTCTGTACATATTTATTTCTATATAGTTTATTTGTAAATTATGTTAACCGTATTGTATTTCGACAATTACTAACGAATTTCTCATGTAAGCACATATCGTTCCAATCGTAGCGAGGCGAGTACAATTGTTTAAGTATAGACTTGTTAGTGACCGAACGTGAAATTTGTCATTATGCTTTGACATACTGAAACACTAAAAATGATCTCCTAATGAAGGCTTTTTATATACTTGATCATGCAATCGATATATAGATACTAAGATTTGTTGTTTTGTAGTAGTGCAATAAAAACCTTTCCCTTTTCTATTAAAATATTAAACTTGTAAATATTGTCATCTTCCAAATTGTAACCAGGGTATTATGTTTCCACATTTCGTTATATATTATAGTTCTAATATATTTTGTAGTACATTTGTGTAAATTTATTTTTTATTTTGCTTTTGCTTTCTGTAAAGTATGTACGACGAAAGTAATGTCTTCACTATCTTTGGATAAGTGGTTGGTTGCCATATGGGCTTGGGATCTTACTGCAGAAAGTGATGAAGCAGTTTCCTGCAGCAAAAATATACAGCAGTGGTGGCTTCAAAATATAATGCTCTTTCACTTTAAGGAGGTGATGTAATTTACAATAATTGAATTATTATGCAATGAGCGATTTTCGTTTAACAGGACCAAACCATACATTCCAGTACTGTACGTATTTTAATTGTTAATCCTGCCAAAATTTTAAATTTTGATTCGAGAATTTTTGAGTGGCTGTCGTTCAACACCTGTTCCACACTTGCATTTTTTGTCGCAACAGATACTGCTGTGTGCAATGACATGTAGTCACTATACCACCCACAAAAAGCACCTGTCCAGCTAGCTCGAAACAAATCAAAATTGAAACTTAGATTTTATAATCTCCTCATACACATCCGGCGTCTGCTAGAAGAACACTCGTAATATTGACTTAAATTTTTTCAATTTCAGAGGTGGCCTCGATCGACTTCCAAAAACCCCAATGTATTTATTACACAAGTTTTGATTAACATCTGAAATAAATCTTGGGCACTAATAGAATAATCTGACATGAAGACTTTATCTGTCGCAAAAAGGATTTGAATAAACACCCAGTTCATTGATTGAAACAATAAGAACAAAATCCTCGCAAGAAAGAAGAGCATACAAGACTTGTTTGGACATAATACCCCACATGCAAGCGGTCGATAAATAGAATCGTTTACGCAAATTGTATATGGTGGAAAACTACTTCCTGTACGTGGCTTTGTATGAGTTCTAGCAATACGAAAGATTTGATACCAGCAACGTGGTCTGTGTGGGGAAATGTCCACTTTAAGAAAAGGAACCGATTGAAGACCATAACACGGCTGGCAAAATATAGTAGGAGTATATACCACAATCTGAGACCCTTGAAAAACAGACAAAAAGGAGGAGCCCCAATACTTAGCCCCACTGTTTAAATTGGACACTGAAAGTGACAGTGGTATACAGAGGCAGCTGGAAGTGGAGTAGTGGAAATGTCCCAACAGGAAGAAGAAGAGCACTACCAGAAATAGTGTAAATAATTTTACGCTCTTTTTATCGTCGCAACTAGCAGCAGCCTCGTTTTTACGTTGCATCCAATTCCAGTATTTAAGGGAATACCACACTTGTCTCCTTCAGGATTTTTAAAAACACCGCCAATCACCAGACTTGATAACCCCAGCTTCGAAGGAACACGCCTCCATACTTACGTGGAATTCTTTGAAACGCCTTATCTCTTCTAACATCGGTAAGAACACGTGCGTTAATTAAATTTCGCCCGATAAAATCTTATCGCAAATAACCAATAATGTCCCTACATTTTTAATAATAATAATAATAATTTATTAATATTATTGTTAATATGCAATTTCACGTTTTACAATTAAATAAGCAAATCTGCATAAACAATTTACAAATGCGATGAAATCTAAACAAAAAAATTACGCAACAAGTACATTCTAAACGGGAAAAAAACACTCGGATACAAATTCAAATACAATAAAACTCTGTCCTAAAGTAAAAAAGCGGTTTTTTTATTTGACTCCACGTTGCACCAAGGAAGCAATTCTTTCTAGGTCACTTTGTACAAAAAGTTACTTATAGAAAAAAACAATTACATTTGTTACAGTGCTAACGCCCTTGGGTCGTTGGTATCACAACTTCGCTATAAAAGAGAAACCATTTTATAGCTTTCGAAAGTTTATATGGGACCTACCTATTTTATTCGCGTTATTGATAGGTTTTTTTAGTAGACTCATTGGAGACGGCTAAGCCCGCTGTCAAGAGTTCACTGCCCCTAATTTCAATATATATTAATGAATTTCTTTTGGTTCAATTAGTAATTCCTTATGTACCTACATGCTCTTGCATGTTTATTGTGATGCGATCGATCCCGTGTAGGGGCGGGACAGAATACCCCTACCGCAGAGGACACTGCGGGTCGTAAGAGGCGACTAAACAACTGTCGGTGGATCTCAATTTTGAATTATTGTAATATGAAATGTGAGATATTTGTTGTTGGTGCAATTGTTCGGGAGTGCGTTGAAGGTGAACAATTGTTAACATTGGAAATGTTTATGCTTTCACGAGTTTTTTTTTGTATATGGGTACAAAGTTATGCGTTTCGTTCAAGCTGCGAAAAGACAACGTCAGTGTCGCATCAAGTGATAATTGTACTGTACACGAACGTGATCCGTAGGTTAAGGAACATACTTAATAATATTTACTTAATAGTGCTCAATTGTTTTATTAATTCCAATCACAACAACAACAAAAAAAGAATGCCAGACATTACTGAAACACGATATATATGAACTTATACCGAATGTCAAAAATACAATTAAAACAAATGATTTCACAAAGAAATTTTTCATTTTCAACGATGAATGCTTATATTGTTATAGTTCAAAATGTGGTTAACAATGTTTAACAAAGTTTATATTACACATAAATAACAATTACTTATTCTCTGAAGACCTCTACACCATTGACTCAATATAAAATGAGTAGATACTTAACTTACAACAGATTATTTGCGCTTGATGAGGTTTTAAATTTAATAACCCACGCCCATTCGCTCTGGACTGTTGATTTATCCGGGAATGTTACTTGCAGCGCGTTATTTAAAAGATTCATCTGAAGAAAATAGTTTTTATTTTTAGCTTTCGCATTGGCGGCCTGTTTACCTCCACGTTTTCGTTTTGTCCTAAAATATAAGCTGATACATGTTCATTTTCGAACAATTTGGTAATTTTTTCCAAACGTAGCAAATTATCTTTGGGCCAGTTGAGTACAATTGCGTATACGCTATTTGTGTTTGACGTGTACCATACATTTGTTAAGGTCTCATTTTGGTGTATCCACGGTTGGGTATTGTAGATAGCTTCGCCGTTAATGTTTAACCATTTACCCATATCTAAAAGTCTTTCTTGGAAAATTGGTGATATCGTACCTTCACTGGTTGGCCCAACATTCATGAGTAAATTGCCTCCGCAACTGACCGTCTTTGTCAACGTAGCAATAAGCTGGTGTGTAGTGAGATAATCGCCTATGTTTGCATTTCGTCGATAACCCCACGAGTGGGCATCGATGGTCATGGCATTCTCCCATTTATGTGCTTGTAAAACTCCTACAATCATTTGGATTAGCATTGCTGGTCAATTTAATACATCACCCAACAAACCAGGATTGTAGCGGTCAGCACAAGTGTAAAAACCCCCATGCTGACAAATAACCGGCCCACTGCCCCACCGATCATTCGTCACGACCGTGTCCTTAACTGGACTTTCATTGTACAACCATGCCAAAAATTCTTTGGATTTCCAGTAGGTGTCATTTGCTTCCCATTCGCCATCAGACCAAACTATCTCCGGACGATACTTGTTGACAATTTCGTGCAGCTCTGGCAGCACTTTTTTCTGCACAAATTCATCAGACTCGAAGTTGCTAGCTTTATCGCTTAGAAACATCGGATTAAACCATTCGTAAAGCGAATGGTACAGTCCAAATCTTAAATCTGTGGTATTTCTTATAGCGTTGGCAAGTTCGCCTACAAGATCGCGGTGGGGTCCTACATCTTTGGAGTTCCAACTAAACGAATAGGTGGAAGGCCACATGGTGTACCCTTCGTGATGTTTGCTTGTGAGAACAACATATCTGTAACAGAATTTGATGTTTTAGGATGGACCAATTTACTATACCTCGCTCCTGATTTTTGGAACAGCTTAGCCCATTCTTTGGGTTGAAAAAACTCCGTTTTGAAATCGTGCGCAAACTCTTGGTACGTATGACCTGGAGGGTAGTTATTTTTCATAAATTGTACATACTGGGAAGCACCAGCTGAAATGTTACCTACAGGTAGAATTTACGCTAATTGGGTTATTATTACAGTTAAGGTTTGACCAAAACCATTCCGTGCCAAAGGAAGGGACGGAATATACACCCCAGTGTATGAAAATGCCAAATTTAGCTTCATCGTACCACTTTGGTAATGGGCGCGAATCTATGCTCTCCCATGTTGCCCGATATTTAACAGCACTTGTTAATGCCACTACCAAAAACGCTAACAACAATGATAATCTTCGAAACATAATAGTTTAATGCTTGACACATTTAAAAATCAACTACCTACTGTATTGTTTATATGTGCATTAGGTGGTTTATCTGTAAGTAGGTATAGTAGGTAAATAGATAGCTATTCTAATTGCATATCTGTGTATCAAAATAAGCTAAATCCTGATGGCAAGTGTATAACTTTACCAAACATTGTTTTATTGAGGCCACCTTTATCTGTCATTGCGAAAGTGAGTGTCGCAACACATATTTTGAGGTCCTTATAAAATAATGCCTATGATACTCAAGGCTTCCTACCAGCAACCCTTGACAATTTATACACCCTCTGACACAATTCATTCCCGGCACAGCCATCAGGGGGCTTCATACCCAAAAGTAATATTCATACTGCTCCCAGACCTTCCTATGCTGTGGAGTAGGTGCCTACTGACATTGTTATGTATTTTTATCTTTAAAATCAGATAGTTCTACCGAAAGCCGGAAAAACCGCAGTAGTAGTCGTAAAAAAGCAACCCCGAGTGATTGCAAGTTGGAATGCTCTGAGAAGAAATAGAGTATATATGCGAGCGCGACGATCTAATAGAAGGTCAACGATCTTCGAGATATGAATTAACCGATTGTGAAGTAAGTGTCCCTTTTGTTATTGTTTTGACTCTGGGTTTTTCCGTTTTTAGTTTATTTAGCTCCTTGAGGATTCAAATTCTTCGGTTTATTCGAATGATTCCGGTTCTTTGTCTTCAGATTCTTCCGATCAGTTTCGTGCATTGTCCAATTTTCTTGCAAATCTTACGTTCTCTTCGGATTTTTCTTTCGAATTCTTCAAATTTCCACTACGTTGCAGTACTTTGACTTTTTCAAATTCTTGAAATGTTTCAAATTTCTTTTCAATCTTAGGATACCTCAGAATCCTCATTCTATTCAAATTTTTCAATCCTATTTAAAATCAAGTAAATTCGATTTTTATACCGAGTTATACTTATGCCTTAAATTAATGGTCATCATTGTTAACTGTATAACGGGACGGGCACATTAGAGAGACGGGAAGAGATTCATATAGTTCAATCCTGCGTGTTATTAAGCGGCAGAGCAAAGCCACGTCTTCTTAAAATTTCATTATCTAAATCAACACATCCTATGAAATAAAACAATTTTTTCTTATTGATTAAATTGCCACGTTATTCTCTAACAATTACCTTTATCTTTCTAAAATAAGCGAAAAGCTTAATAAATCATATCCAAAATGTTACAAACCCATTAACGAGCAAACTGATTATAAAAAAATTGAAGGTTTGGACGGCGGGAGGGTTTGCGCAGGTCTGTTTCTCCTACTATTGTTCGTTGTATCTCGGTTAGCACGTGATACACACACAACGATGTTGCTTTAAACGCCGAGAGCGTTAGTTCAGTTAGGTATTGCGAAGTAAGTACCCAATTATTTATATTTGCATGTTTAAATCTATATTTTTGTCACGAAATTAACAGCTTTATTTCGAACCCTGACTTGTTATTTTTTGTTAGTGCATTTTTAGGAAGTTTTGCGAATGTATATAAGCATTATAATCAAAGATAGAATGTTACAAACGCGAAATGTACAGTGTGTCTTTTTTGTTTGACTTTATTTTGGGGAGGGTATGGACAAGTATCCAAAGGCTCCCACGTCTGTCTGTACTCTATGTCCAATACCTTCTCATCTTCGTAACAAAAGAAATCAAAACTGAATCGTTACTTTATTTTCAGAAAAATAAATATACGTATTTAACGTATATAATGCCTCGAAAATATGAAAGTGGAAGGGAAAGATTATTATTGCAAAGGTAATAGTATATTGTTATTTTAACTTTGCCCCCTCACACGTCAAATAAATTACAATCGTTAGATTGGGCATCAGGTGGCTCCTTTTAAATGCTCTTTCAATCAGGCTACGGGCGACTGGATGTTTACCCATAAGATAAGATCAGGCAGCACTTAGGTACCTGTACCTGTCATCTTTTGTGTCTTAAAGCATGGGAGAAAGCTCAAACGCCTTCAATTATTATGTCTACTTTTCTGCTTTCGGTGGTGTTATTATCTATTAGTAGGGATATCCGCCATGTGTTGGCCAAATACTCGGGATTGGTAGAAATTAACTTGGAAACCAGGGTGATGAATTTATCTTGCTGGGCACATTGTGACATTATTGTAACCGTAGCAAAATCTACTACTTTGGTTAAACCAATCAGGTCAATAATAAATTACAAAAAACATGACCGCACTGTAACTTCAGTTTGGACTGTACGCCCTCTATGGCCAGCTTCACTAATTAATTATACAAGATTATTGAACGCATCCGAATATTACGGCCGCGTTCACCAATTTTTCACGGTTTGTATTTGTAACGTTTTCTAACCTTAAATTTAGCTCCATAGGGCCGCCCAGGTTATATTATTCATGCGAGTTTGTGTTAAATTATTACAAAAATGAACGAAGGTAACGCAAATTTCTTCGCCTGTTCCATAATAAGAAACTATTTTAGATTCCAAAACGGAAGATTTGTGGACGCCCTATAAGAACTTATACCTAACGCTTAACCATTATTTATGTGAGGATGGGCCTAATGTTAAGCAGGCGGTGTTCGAAAATTTGCTCCGGAAGCACAAGCAAGCCTTCTTTGCACTTCTACAAAATCCAGTAAGTTTACGTTTGTTTAATGTGCAAATCTTGTTGAGTGGCATAATTGTATACATCAATGGAGACGGTACCATTTAAACACGTATAAGTGTAGTATGTGCTCCTCCATGCCTTTGGGGTGTGTAGTTAAGGGCTGTAGCCTACTTTCGATTTGAAGGGGTTTGTCTTGGAATTTAAAATATCTGAACGCCTGAATGTACAGGGTGTCCCATTTTTACGGTGTCAAAACAGCGGATTTTTTAAATGGAACACCCTGTATATTTTTAACCTCGCATGGAAACCTATTTACTATTTGGTTTTTTGTCAATGTTACCTATTTATTAATTTTTTCCGAATAATTCTCTATGAGTAAGCGACCCCCACTTTGATCAATCGTAGCGACCTTGATTTTAAAGTTAAGAAGTACATTTGATCAATAGTGTGAATCTGAATAAAAGGCAACCCTTTGGTAATGGGAAAGTTAAATTTAGTGATACAGGGTGTTCACAAAAAAAATAATAAATTTCAAAGTGCTATAACTATTTTCATTTTATTTTATTGTCTTTATTTTTAAGTGGACTAATTAGCTACTCTTCCCTACTCAGCTCACTATACAATCACAAACAGCCATGTTTTCCCTGGGATTCGAACCCAGGACCCTTGCAGCCAAAGTTAGAGCTACTAATGCAAACTCATCTAAGCTACGCAACTATTTTTTTTCAAATGGAACTACCACAATTTTATTTCTCTATTCGATAGTCTTTTGTATGCTCTTCAATTTTTATAATGGGTGTCCGCGAAAACCTCGTATTTTTTAGGTTCAATATTTTTCACAAAAATAGTTACACTAATTAATTACATGTTTATAAACAGGAGTAGGCCTTAATAATAAACCAAAGAATGCCAGACAGTAAACAAGTGCCGTAAAGTAAAATAAGATTATTTAAAAATACCTACTAGTTCATCTTTTTCGAAAGGTAATGAAATCTTACATTTGATCCAATAAAAAAAACTTGGTAGTTCCCTTTAAGAAAAATCAACTTACCTTTGATTGAAATTTTGAAAATTGACTGATTAAAGTGGTTTCTTTTAATACAAAAAAAAGGTATGTTAGTACATTTCAGGAGTAGTAACACTGGAGAGTCACGGCCTTCTAAGTTTTATAATTTTTATTGGACATCCACTTTTTTGAAAAAATGACGAATTGCGGCTAAACGACTCATTTTATGTATCATGTGTACATAAAGTCAAACTAAAAAGAAATCGAAATATGCAATAATATACAGGAGGTTCTATTTAAAAAATGCAACTTCGATATAAATCACCCTGTATATTGCAATTGCAATTTACAAAAATATTGATACGCTGAATTTTATACATTCAGCATAATACTAACATTGTTTTCTTAGCCCAAAAGCGCAAAGAGTCGAGAGGAACTCAAAAAAGGAGCCGAGAACGGGATCGTCCTCAAAGAACTGGGCCACCAGGTGCTCTCCAAAGACTTATACCAAGAAGCAATAATTCTCTCCGACATGTACGATCTAAACGAGTACGTCGCGCTAGACCTGCTATGCACCGCCCACACTCAAATGCCCTACTACTACGGCTTACCGAGAGGCCTAGTCGCCGTCTTATTATACTACGACGGCCGCAAATGCGTGGCTTCCTCCTTGCGATTGCTGGTTCAAGCGCGCAAGGGAGTCGCGTGGAGTTTTAACATCGACTCGGAATTGTCCGACTACATCACGAGCTTTACAAACGAACTGCTGGAGAACGGACTTTTCAGTCGCATATTTGAGCTGCTGCACACTTTGAATCTTACCAAAGAAATTGAGAAGCTACAAGAGAACGTCGCGTTAGGAGGACCGCGACATCGCAAGCAGGTTATCGACTTATTTAACGATATACGTTGCTGTTTGGCCGAGACCGTTTTTCTGTGGGTCGCTCAGTCCGGGTTGCCTCGTGAGCCTACGCTCAGTTTGATTAACTACATGCGACAGTTGAAGGTGGACGAAGATGCTACGGGTAATATTGATAATGTGACTTTTTACCTGGTGATGGCGCTGCTGTCGGTTATGGATGTGAGTGTCTTGTACCTACGGGATGATGGCGGGCAGGTTGTGCAAACGCTTCCGATTATGTCCGATAAGGAGTACATGCCGATGCTGTGCGGGGAGCTGTCGCCTTCGAAGCCAAAGTGGGTCAGCGAAGGCCTGCAGTCGATGGGTATATTCGGGTTGGCCGTAACGACTGCGTGCCTACGTTTTTATCGAGACAGCACTGATTCGCAGTTCGCCACCGATAAGGAGTCGGCGCTGCTACAGGCCGCCATTGATATGAAAATCTTCGAGTTCATGAAGAATAAGTTTTTGAACAGCGTTACGCTGTATACTGACGAAATTTTGATGAGGCGGTTTCATTGCCTGTTAACCGACTTCATTGTGCGGATGTATCCGAAAGTGATAGAGTTGCGTCACAAATCCGATGAGGTGGCGCGCGTGATGCAGGCCTACATTCAGGAAGGTCTGGAGCCGCCCGGCCACCTGGCCAGATACTTTGAAAATTTCATGGATATAATTGCGAAGTTCTACAGTAAGGACCCACTGAATTTGCATTATTCGTTAGACTTCTGGACTGGAGACGATGCGCAAGTATACCGCGCGTCACCGCGTTCCATTTCCTTGAATCGTTTTGTCCAGATGGCGGGGGAGTCGATTCCCTCGTCGCTCTTTGTGCCGTATCTGGACATGCTGAGTAGCTTAGCGGGTTATCAACAGTCGGCCAGGCACTGTTTTAATTTGTTAAAACAATCGAGTGGGAGTCGAGGTGCTACCGTCTCCTGGGACCACTTCTTTATGTCTTTCAATCAGTACTACAATAACTTGAGGCACGAGATTGGACCAACGACCGACACAATGTATCGACGTGCCGTGCATCACAAAGGCATTACTCCTCAGGAAATCAAAGGGCTGCACGCCGTGCTTCATTTGATTCGTACAATCGCCGATTACGATGATTTCTCACGACTAGCATTATGCGAGCACCCAGGCTGGACACCTTTAACTATTCTCTTAGGGCTGGTGGGGTGTGCGATTCCGATCACAATTAAAGCTGATTTGCTACTAACGCTCGCGGCCTTATCAAAGTCACCAGAAACGGCCGCGCAGACGTGGCACAACCTGGAGGTCTCACAGCTGTTGGTAACAATTCCGACCACATCCAGTTACCAACCACGTGGTCTTCAAACCGAATTAGATGAAATTGAGTCACGAATGGAAGAGTACCCGCTCACTAACGCCGTTTTGAAGTTGCTTGACGTATTGACAGATTCTGGCATTCCACGTACCTTGGGGGCGGGGCCTCGCAAGCCCGGATTCGACCCATACCTAACATTTATAGTGAACTCGGTATTCTTAAAATTTAACGCTCGATCGTATAAAAACGCAGAGGAGAAGTGGATGATAACCTCAGCGTGCCTGAAGCTGCTCAACAAATTTTTGGTCGAGTATCAACCGCAGGCCGTCGATTTTTCAAAAACCAAAGAGTTCAACTCGCCTCCCGGATATCACCTGATGCTGTCGCTGAATTCAAAATCGGAATTCTTGAATGTGGTGCTGCTGATCATCGAAGAGTGCTTGAAAATGTTTTTGCAGTGTGCCAGATTCCCCGGGCAAAGCTACGTCGAGGATTGTGCCGTGTGTTGTCTGAACATCTTAGAACGCGCGCTTGTGTTGCAGCGAACATTCTCGAAGCTCGCGACCGATGTCCTTCTGATACCTCTCAACAAGCTCTTGCTCATCCCGAATCCGCGCACCGGACAACCCGACCATTGTCTAAACATTTCAAAGTACATGGGCCTTCAATATTTACTACCCCAGCATGCGTTGGTCGCCGCTAAAATTCTCATGCAAATTACCGCTTCGCCATCTTTGCACGCGCAATATTTAAATATTCTGTTGGCCAATGAAAAGGAGAGTAGACTCATACGAAGCGGATTTGTCGAGTGCTTAGATGCAGTGATCAACAAAGACGAAGTGGAGATCTTATCCTCGATTAAAGAGCAAATATTTAGGCTGCTAAGGCAGTGCTTATCTTACGGGGCGCCCAATTTGACCCACTTCTTATTAGGGTTCGACTTTACGCACGACTTGTCGTTGACAATCTTCCAAAAACCAGGCGTCTTGGACTTTCCGCGCACGTGTCTACACTCGATCTTCACCATTTTGAAAAGTGCAGTCTCGAAAGATCTACAAACAATGCCACCCTCGCTACTGGAAACGACCTACCACATACTGTACTTATTGTGCGCGAATTACAAGACCTCACTACCGATTTTGCGATATCTTCGCGGGGATCAAAAATTCTTCGAAGATCACCTAACCTTTTGCGTGCTGAAGGCGAATGAGGGCACCAAGCAACTCAATCAATTGTCTTGGCTACTAAAAACGCTGGCAATCGAGTTGAAAGTCTCCTGCGATGGCACGCAAGTATTCTACGTGAAGCAGCTATGCAATATGCTGGTGAAAACCCCAGAATTCGTACGAAGTAGTCCACAAAGCGCATTCTCGGTGGCGAGCTTTGACAAACTGCTAGTAACACTCTTCAATAAGTTTGACTTGGAAGTAACCGAGATCGAGACACCTAAATGGGATCATTTTGAGTATGCCTCGTTGGAGAACGTGATCAAAAGTTGCGAGACTGACACGAAACCGAAGATGATCGACATCAAGAAGCTCCATCACACTCTAATTGACGAAATTGGGTCGTTACACGCACAAACTGCTGTTGGGCACAAGCAGGCGCTCATGCAAGAAGTCCAGAAGGTTCTCTTACACGCTTTGAGCATCAACAACAATCGCAACTCGAAGGATGCCATCTTCAAATTCATCGACGCCTGGCGGCAGGTCGTTGAAGTAATCGCGATTTATGTACCCTACCAGATCTTGTCAATGGACGAGCAACAAGCTCTCTGTCTCACCGTGCTCGTTGCTATATGTAAGAAGACCGCTCGCATCAGCTTACTTCCTGAAATCGCCTACCACTTGTCCAGCGTTGTCCTGGTTCTTCTGGAGAAGCTGTACCAGTGCCACGAAAGGCAGAAGGACAAAGAAGAGGAGACGTTTATCAAAGCCAATGTCCACCAGGAAAGTCTAAAATTGGTGCTGACCTACCTGATCGAGTGGTTGATTAGCACCGAAAGCACATTTCAAAATTTGAAGATTAATCTCTACGCGTCCCTGACGACGTTCTTCCGGTTCGTACACTTCAGTGAGCCGGCTAAGCATTCCCAAATCGACGGGAGCTTCTATGTAAGTCGACTCGACAGCTCGAAAACGGAAGCAATGGACGATCGGCATACTTTGCTCATTCCCGCCCAAGTTTTCACGGGGTTCGGCGACAAGCTCATCGAGCTCATTTGCAATGACTGCGTCAGTGGGCGAGATGTCGTGAGGATGCTTGCAATGTCGACATTGAGCCTTCTCATAAGCATGAGCGGGGATATCAACTGGTTGATGTACATGACCCAACGAGGATATCTGAAGCACATCATCGAAAGTGTACTGAATAGCGACAAGGAGCTCAAATTGATGCTAGAACCGGAACCGCCCAGCTTACGCCCTCAGTTCGTTTTCATATCAAAGATGTCGCTACTGTCTCAGTACGCCAGTACCAAAATTGGTGCAGAGCTTCTATTGGAAGAGCGCATGCTGTCCTGCCTGAGCAACATGAACGTATTCCAAGCTCATCCGGAAATTCTCAAACAATCGCAGCTCCCTCCGGATGGCTTGGAAAACTTTTTACCGTCGATCGAAACTCGTTACGTGCAAATCTTCACGCCAACCCTCCACTTGTGCAACACAATTATTACTAGTGTCAGTTCGGAAAACCGATCGGCGGTCTCCCAGATTATCTACTTTCTTCTTAGTCATCTGGACGTGGTCGAATTCGTGCTGAGATCCGGCAGTCCGCTATTAACGCAAAACTTCTTAGAGGAGCTGTCGGCGCTTACGTCGATCATCGCGCGAACCGCCAAGTCTGACTTGTCGTACATCTATAAGACGACTGAAGGAGTACAAGACAACCGCTCGCGCCTGTACCGAATACAAAAGCTGATGCTCGCACTGTTACCGAGGTTTCTGCTCACGCAAGATGTCATACGCGATTTGTTACTCTCCAACGCAATCACCTTCCAAACATCTCCGCGCTTAATACTCGTCTTTCAAATCCTAGCGAATATAATGACGTACGTGCGCAACATCACCAACGGCGACACCGACAGCGCAAACGTAACCGTCTTCCACCCGTCCTTGGGCGACATCTTTATCGGGTTAACCTCGAAGACGACATCCGACAGAACGACGCTAGGAGTGGTCGTGCAGCATCTGGTGACCATCGTGAATTATTGGCACGAGGAGAACGTGACGTTAAAATTTCTGATACGCAAGAGCAACGATATTCCGACGATGACCACCGTCGAGCTGAAGAAGTTTATGAACCTCACGGAAATACAGAACATCGAAGCGGTAAGGGAGAACGCCGCCGATATTATCGCGGATAAGCTCAAGAAGAAGAGGCAAGAGTTCGATTATTGCGCATTTCTGATCGATAATTTGTTGTATATCTTATGGTTGCACTTGGATTATTATATGCTGCGTGCGATTCCCAAAATGCGACATGGCGAACTTCCCGATTTGAGCGGAAGTCTTAATTTAAATGGTAAGTGGTTAACATTAGGGCGGCTGCTTTAATATTTTTCTGTGTTGTAGTAACTTTAGCATCTGCATCAGAAGCGACTTGGAAGGTTTCGACTGATGATTTAAGTAATTTGAAACGTGGATTAGTATCCGTCTTCAATGATAGTTTTAGTAGGCAATTAATAGAAACGACCGAGGTAAGTACATAAATAAATGTGAACCATGGGGATGGATATGAATCCGGTTAGTAAGGCATATTCAATTTTTATTCTCTGGAATAATCGATTATACTGCCGTCATAAAGAAAATCGCGCTATGTCGCCTGAACGGCGAAATGAGAGAGTTGACTAAGATGCAACCTTTCAATCGGATTCGGTTAGTACCTTTTTTAAGGTAATCTGTTAATTCATTTAATGAAATCAAGCAAAGTCCCTTACTTGGATTAGATTCTCATCAGTATATGCAATACCAAATCTGTTCTGTGCAAATAATCCTCATAGATCGATTCCTTTAGGAATATTAAAAGTACTTAAAAAAAATTCCTAATGAATAAAAATTCTTAAAAATAACCGACCACTACTTTATACAATTCGACAAATTTAGAATAACTTTATTATTGAAGTGGTTACAATTGACCCTATCTGCTTTCTACCGCTTTCTTTAGAAATGTGGAAACATCGCTTTGATGGGACTCCGTGATGAATAGAAAACAAAAATGTTGATAAGCAAATCGTCTCCAATTTCGTGAAAGTAATACTCGAGATCGTGATTATGCGCAGGAATGCAATGGTCCGCTTTGTCGATATTAATTTTGCCCAATTTATTCAGCAGGTTTTGTTGCGGATAAATGAACCGATTAATTGTCTCTAAATTCCCGGCCTATTGTTGTACACAAAATTTTATTTGTCGCCCAATGCGCAATCCAATGAGGCCACTCAACTTTGGGGAACTTGAACGATTACATTTGGCGATCCAAAAGAAAAACTTCTTTATTTGTCACAATGTTAGTTTATTTAACCCCTTTCTACTCGAAGAGCGCTTCTGCGACTTGGAAATGTTCCTTGGCGTAAATCTTATCACTCATAAATAAACCGACTTATTGTAAACCACCTGTTGGGGCTCTCCAGCATCATTTGCACTATATTTTGGGGTCCAGTATTTCCCAGTTCACTAGACCAAGTCTCCAGCGGGCCGATTCCCTTGTTGTCCCTCTGCCCGCAGTCTTTACATGTATCGGATGCTCTCTTCTTAAACCTATATAGGTAGACTCCCCCTTCCCCGTGCCTTCGCTTGACCCATAGTCTAACATCTTTTGTTCACGTGGATCTGTTTTACACATCTAAATAAACGTACCCTAAACCATTTGGTGGTATATGGTAAATGAAATTTTTAAAGATACTGCGTTCATCTTTATGACGGCAGTATACGAACCATTACCATGTATAAAAAAGCCCTTACAACCCAATTAATCATGCCCATTCCCACTTCGGCGTGACAGAAATAATACATCAATTAGGGCTGGCCCACTTGATTAGTAAGCTAACTACAGCAAATTTCAGGGCCGCTCAGAGGTCAACATACATTTCGTGGAAATTTTACTAAGGAAAATAAAACGCTTAATACAGTTTGTACCAGTTAAATGATCTTTATTTTTCGTGTTTTTTACAACCGTTTGTACTGCAATAAAATCTATTCAGTCATATCGATGCTTTGAACGATAGCCTCATCCCAAGGCCCGTAGATGTTATCCTTGTACTTTTGAAATCGTATAAAAATAAGGGGGCAGACTACGTTAATAAAAATTATGGTGCTAATGAAAATGTAGGTCATTAAGATTGATACTGTCGTGAGGAAGTACGCGACAAGGATCACAAAAATTAATGTGAAGAGGAACGATGTTTTAATCTTATTTCGAAGCAGTGGGAATAATACGAAGCATTTTATTGAGACTGTCATTAGTATGAAGGCTTCGTAAGGGGTGGCTAGGCGCGATGACAGGCACAGGGATGCAAATATTACAGCGCTTAATGATAAACTATTAGATACAACTGCCACTGAAAGTCCATAGTCGAAAAAAATCAGGTGAACGATCATCATTAAGAATGACATTGTGTAAATAGTGTCTGTACTAATCGTGTCTGTTAGAGTGTACAGTATGGGAGAAAACAGCTGTCCGAACACTAAAAACAGCAGCACAGTTTGTAAGTCGTACCCGAATGTACGTATCGAGCCATAAAAAGTACGATAAGCAACGAAACAGAACAGCGTAGCACCACAAGTCCACGAAAAAATATAGTTCGGTTCACTCCAGTGGTTGTACAAGTAAACGTAAATGATAACAAACACGATTACAGTACATAATTCGTGCACTATAAGAGTAGCGCCGAGAGTGCTATCTTTCAGGGAGATGGGTTGGAAATGCACGTTCACTCGAAGGTCTTTTAAAAATGATTCGTCTGTGTAATTGTCGGGATATTCTTGATTTTCGTATAAGTTTTTTCTCCATGGTCTTTTCTTCATTGCAGAATTTTCAAAATTTCGAAAATCCTAACCTAACAAATTTTTTCTTGGTTTTTTGTGGCTCAAATAGCGTAAGCAAACTAGGTGTACAGTAGACACAGTACCCAGTATACAGGGTGAATTTTTCTTTCGATTGGTAAAAACTCAATATTTTCCGAATAACAAAGTCTATTAAAATTTTGTTTAAGGTCCGTGAATAGTCCACAATCAACGATTTTGAAGAATCGTAAAATAAACAGAACCTTAAGAATCTTTCATGTATTGCAAGAATTGAACGTGAAGTATCTGCAGAATTTAGAGAAATCGGAGAATTGCAAAGATACAAAAAAACTAAGATATCTAAAAAATATATGAAGAATTCAGAATCGCATTAGAATCAGAGAAATTGAAAGAATCTGAAAAGATCTGAATACCTTTTAGTATCTACAGTGGTTTACGGTCAAAGCTTAATACTCTGACCTAACGAATGTAGAAAAACTAAAGAATCTCGAGAGCTAGTTCTTAGATACATAGACAATCGGAAGAGTTCGGACAATGGGAAGAATCTGATATACCTGAGAGTTTAGACAACGGCAATACTTCGATATTTTCGTAGAAGTGTGCCAATTTTAGAGACCGGAAGATTTCATAAGAAGCTTTAAAAAATGTTGAATTGGAAGAGTTCGAACCAAAAACATTATTCTGCTAACTTTTGCAATACGTTTTAAAAACGCGCTTGTGTCGAATATTCCAGGTTACAGAGGTGAAAACGGTTGACGTCTGTATACATATAAAAGCGCACCCTGTAGAATTTATTTGGTATCAATTTCGTATTGGTACCACAAATGATTTTTTTGTTTGTGTTGGTAGGCTTGCAATCTTATCTGAAACTGATGAAACATACAAGTTCATTGCAATTTGCCAACAAATGCGAGTTTTCTTTAAATTTTAGTTTAATTTAGATCTTTTATGTAAAAATTAATTATGGTTTACGTAACAGGTAAGTAAGAATGACACTATTGGGACCAATTAAATGAAAAACCCAAATGATGGTATGACATTGCACTCTGAAGGTTATCTTTTTTTAGGAGGGCAACTTAAGGAATCTCCCCCATGGAGCTTGGAGCGCCTCGTCTCACTATTTTGGGGTATCATCGCTTTCTTCATTATGTTGTAAGTAAAAGCCGAACATGTCGACACATTGATTGCATTTTTATCTTCAGTTTTAAAACGCTGGTTGGAGTTGACGATAAATCGCGAAACGGAAGAAGTGGTGGTCCTGGTGGAGGACCTGGAGGTGGTCCCAAGCGGATTGGTCGCGTAACAACCATAGACGATTGTTCAATGCCTGGCGGCGGATGATCACGGTAAACCTCTCCTATTAAAGGAGAGCATCACTTACCATTTACCATTCTCGATGGTTGCTGGATTTAATTGCATGACGCTTAATCTATAAACCTTAACCAAGGGGGGATAGGGCCGAAGTAAATCCTAATACTGTCGAGATGGTAGTATCTTTATTTTTGTTATAATTAGTACATTGTTGGAACTGTAATACTGTAATAAACTTTTAACGTTTAAACACAAGTGGTAATACAATTAGCGGTTCATTCTGGTTCGCTTTGTCTGAGTAGATGCTCCATGTTTTTTCGCGACAATCAAATATGCCTAGAATGCGCATTTTAAAAATTCCCACGATTACATCAACTTACCAACTGCAATGGTTTGAATGTTTGTCTCTTGAAAAACCGTGTATCTCGAATCTGTTTGGTCGGAAAGCATTTTGATTACGTCACTTTTCTTTAGCGCCTTGGGATATTCATTTAGAACTCTTAATCTTGCATCGCTGCTGTCCCTCATTGGACCAGTCTCTTCAGGAATTGCCAACCTTAGGTACCTAGGGAAATAAATCGCATCAATAATCAAATTCATCTGGAGTTGGCAGGCTGCTGACGGTGGCGATCTGATTTTTTGAAGGCAGGTTGTGCAGCTTTGAGAGGGCCCACAGACTAGGTGTTTGATAAACACCCTCTAAAGGGGCTACATAGTAGAGATTACTGTTGACTTGAAAGTACCTAGTTCAGGAAACCTTTCTTGAATTTCATAAAATAATTTGAAAGGAATAGTCTTGAAATAGCAACAGAAAAAATACCTTCTTACAAGCTTTGTGAATGTATGCGCATAATGGCTTATTTTACTTCAAATGGATGCCTTTTGGATTATATAATGCACCTGCAACTTTCTTGTAGGTTTATTATATATTGTCTTAATTCAGAGTTACATAGACCCCACTCTACTATTTACCTATTACAGTGCATTAGATTTTCTCCAGGACTTGCGACCGCCACGTTAAGTTGCGACATATCGTCCGCCACAACTGGCCCCATCTCAATGTTGTAAAATAGTCTATCACTGTCGTTAACAAACTTTAAGTTGACTGAGCACCCATCGCCCGCCCCGCATCCGGGGTCTTTCAATATCTGTACGGCTTGCGAAAAGTTTTCGGCCGACAAAAGCGCGCGTGTCAAAAAGTGGCGTGCTAGAAATCAAAAATTTCTGTTGCCGCATTACAATTTGTTTGTATTACGTGTCCTTCCCGCTTGAACGAATGTGGCGCTAAGTGTGTTGATCGAAAATATTAGGCCATGGTGGTTATAGCTCATGGTATAACCGGGTAAGTGTCCAGGGTAGCAAAGCGAAGTAAATTTTTCCTCTGTGGTGCTCCACTTTCCTTGGGGTCGGTCTGTTACTATGTGGGCGGACACAAAGTAGTAGAGATTAAGGTTTTCGCTGATTGCGTCTTCGGTGTGTCCAAGTATTTCCTTCAATTACAATTGGAGTTACTTGTGATTGAAGTGCACCTACCTGTTCTCCTTGATTGAGGCAGATCGATGAACACCCAACAGGCAAGGTTTCATTTTCAATTCCCGCCGCTACCGTTATTATCCTGTCCATGTGCAGCAGGAAGAGCTGTAAGAGTAAGTGAAGCAGCCTGCGCTCCAAAAACCTAACGCACCTTATAAAAAGGAACTTTGGCACCATCTGCTGTACCTTCCAACTCTTTAATGTACTGGGGAAAATTCTCGTTTACAGATCGTAGTGTGTCATCGTATGCTTTCCTCCCTTCCGGAGTGTTGTAGGCGGGTATAAACTCTTCATTTAGCGTTGAACATATTTCGAGGAAATTTTGTATTAACGCAGCAAATGTACGTCCCTACAACAATAAAGTCATTAGTGTTAGTGTACGCAGCAAAAATGTAGGAAATTATATATTAAATCTACCCCGCACAGCAATGCTATCGTCACTTATTGTCCAAATAAAGTTGTCTGTAATAGAAACGTGTCAATAAGGTGCTGGGCCGAAACATAGAAACACACGCAGGCGTGTCTTGTTTTTGAAGTTAATCAAATAGCATATGGAACAGCAGCTTTTGCTGAATTCGTACCATGGGATTCCATGTAATTCTTGGAATAAATATATATTATTAGATTCCACATACTTTGGGTTGGGCATATTTGACTACTATCTTGAAATCTCCAGATATAAACAACTTCGAAGTAAATGCCAGATTATTAGTGTAGGTAGATAACGTGTTTGGTTTCAATGAACTTTGCCGGTAAGGTAGAAACTCATCTATAGCGTGCTTGAAATGATAAGATGGTGGTGGCACTCCTCCAAATTAATTTTCTTTGCGCAATATTGAGATAATCCAAAATTTGGCGATTTCCACTCAGGAATGCCGACGTAGAAATCAACAATCAGGTAGATAATTATGAAGAAAATAGTAAGCCTAAAAATGGTAATTGAAAGCCAAGAGTAATGCATAATTTTCGGTACCTACATACCGAAAACGGCCTTATAGAACCTGTAAAATATGTCCGCAAATGTTCAATAACCCCCCCCCCCCCCCCGCGCCCCTGGGTACGCCAATGAATTGTAGAATCTTTTAAATGACATATCTTATAAACGATCTGCCATGTTTGTCCCTATTGGTAATAAAAAAAATGCTATAGTGTGTACCTTTTTTCCGGTCCATATAAAAATATGAATTTGATGATGGTTTCTCAAAGACGAAACGTTGCAGTGAAAATCTGTGGGCACCATTTTGTGAACTTAAAAAGTGCCTTTTCAACCAAGGTCAGAACAAAATCAAAACCAAATATGGTGAATTTCGGAACTTTAATAAATACTAATCCAAAAAATACGCAACTTTTCTCTAATTTGTCCGGTTGTGCATTTCTTATGGTTTTCGGTTTTCCCATGATATTGATTTTTCATTCATACTTAAAGCAATATCAATACTTTAAATGCTCTGCTAAATATGCATAGTAGGGACGTCATACGTCAACAGTTCTGAACATCATTTTCATCTTAACAACAACGGTCGTCATACTCAGTTCCTTTCAACGCCAACGTGCGAAAATATGTGATAAGAAACGGATTATTTATAATCTCAATGTGTACAACATTTACAAACATGATATACCTACAATAAATACCTTTTAATGTAAGCCGCATAAGCGGTTGTAAGTCTTACCAAGCGATTTTTTTAAAGTGACCTCAACTGAAACTTTCAAAATGATATGTAAACTTATGCTAACAATTTCCAACAAACCCTGGAAAAAGGATGTGATCTGCAAGTAGGTCACAGTGCAAAAATAGATATTGCGAAACCCTACATACATCTTAATCTCATTATCTATTATTTGTTAAAAAAAATTAATTCCAAAAAAATATAATTGGATATAATTCATCTACTTATGGAAATCCTTCCGCAGTGAAGGCCAAACGACGAATTACGACATCTTTCATCGGCAAAAAAACTTGTTGTCATTGTTCCACAATTTAATAGCAAAAATCATACACCAATCTAATTTTTAATTAAATTTTGACCAATGATCCTTTGAGTAAGGGGTACAATTAAAACAATCTTGGCGCGTGATTAGGTATGGATTATCTACTGATAATATATGAAAATTACTTACCACATCGTAGCCTACTTCATAATGAGTTCCTCTCGTGTAAATAATAGGAATGGAATTCCTACGTTCCAAACGTTCACTTACTGATGACATTTTTTTCAAAATGTGTTCATTTACAGTGGCGCGTTGCCGTCGTATTCGCGCGTCTTATATATAGAACGTGATAATCCCTTCCCTCCGCGCACATAATTAATTAATTACATAAATCGTGGGATGGGCGACTAATTATGCGTAAACTATTTAAAAACAATACAATGAGATTAACACTTCAGGGATGTGCCGCTTCGTCTCTGTCCCTATTCAAGTTAGGACCTTTACCTTCATGATGGGATGTAAATTTTATAGGCGCCCTAAGTGGCTATATTTAATAAGGGTAATGAAAATCTGGCAAGTAGCAAACTTGTACGGTACTTAGCTTAATAAAATACATATTAGGAATAGTAATATTGTTCATTGAGTAAACCGTCTCACTTCATCTCCATAGGTATAAGAAATGTGTAAAGTAAAATTCGTGTACGAGTTCTAGTTACATTTTTCTGTACTGCAGCATTTTCAGTAATTCATTTCAAGGATTTATTAGGTGTTAAACTGGAAAGCAATAGGTACTCAGGAGCTTTCACGCAAGCACCAGCTATCTACGCAGTGTATAGTATACTGCAAAAGGGAGAGCCGGCTCCTAAGGGAACACCCTTGTGTGCAAAAGTACTTTTACAATATCAGTATCTATGTAACCAAGAATTCAATTAATTGACCATTTACAACGTACCTATAGCAATATGACCCGGTTACTTTGCCCATAATTGTACTTTATGTAAATTTACTAGAGAGAAATGGCAACGAACTAATTAAGTTGTAGGTAATTACCGTTTATTTTATTATAAGAATGTTCCATTACCTACAAGGATACACTGTGACCGTTTTGAAAAGTAAACACGGGGCCACATATGGTAATAAATATTACAGCTTTTATGAGAAATTCGAAAGTCGTAATGTCTGCATTTAACAATTGTTTCCATTGTACCCTTTAAGTACTTGAACAGTTCGAAAACTAAAATGAGGAAGGAAAACATTTATTTATACTCATAAAAAATAGCGTAGGTTTTTTTATATACAGGGTGATTCCTATAGTACCTGCCACCGTTTGGGAGCGTATAGGGGGTGCCTAGGGGAGTATTTTGATATAGGACACTTGGGGTCGGAAATCTAAAATAAGGGCGCTAGAACCAAATTTATCTTCTGGAATTTCACGCCTGTATGTAGGCAACCCAACCGACCGACGTTTCGCGCGGAGCGATGCAGAGCGAGTTAGCGCGAGGAAGCGACATGGGAGGGAAGGAGGGAAAACGACAGTCAAAAGCAATAACGTTTACAAGTGTTCAACGTGGCCACCGTTGTTCTCAATGCACTTCCTACATCTAGCCAACTATTATTATACTATTGCCATAGTGTTTATTCACTTGATACGCGTCGTTGCAGACGGGATTTCGTGGGTTTAAACAAAATTCTGATCAAGTGTCAGCCACACATCGCCGCCTGAGATCGCTCCGTGTGCACCGCCGGCCGGTTGGGTTGCCTACCTACAGGCGCGAAATTCCAGAAGGTAAATTTGGCTCTGGCACCCTTATTTTAGATTTCCGACCCCAAGTGTCCTATATCAAAATACTCCCCTACGCACCACCTACACGCTCCCAAACGGTGGCAGGTACTATAGGAATCACCCTGTATATGGAATGTTTAATAATTGTGTATATTGAACGGCTGGTCTAAAAGGCACAAATGTATGACATTTTGGTGGTGGGTTTGTACAATCATTATCATTAGATCATTAAGAAATAGCCAATAGAAACAAAGGTCTGGTTTCGATGGTAGCGATGCACAGTTTATTTAGTTTAGTTCACTATCAAAAATCATTAAGTAACAGCTAATAGAAACAAAGGTTTATTGTGTGTTGCTAATCAACGAAACCATCCTGAGGTACAGTGACTTTATAGAGACAGTGGCGACAACAGGGTATCTCGTTTTTGATTGGTCGTTGGTTCCGGTCGCCATATTGGAGCTAAATTCCAAACTGGCCAATAGAAAACCTTCAAAACGACGCGGTGCACTCCGTGCTATAATTATTAATTATACTGTTTTGACAGTGTCACCTGTAATTGTCACGGCATCATGTTACTAGTTTACACTTTGCTTCTTGTATTTGCTTTATTTTACGTTTTCCGTCTCCAGTTTTATATAAACTCGATTTTTAAAGACGCATATAGTTTGGATTTATTACGATATTATAAGGTATGTAATTCGCTTAGTGTTTTTAGATGTAAAACTGTGCCTAACCTTACGAGTGGTAATTGATGTAAAATTTTTTTCAGAAGCCCTAAATACCTAATGAGTTTAGATAGAAAACTGGTTAGAGAAGCAGCTTATCCGAAATTTAGCAGCAAAATTGTGATCGTAAATACGTTTGAATTGGTTTCATGTTTGCTGGAGCACATGGAATATTGATCTCTTGTACTCCGTGGACTAGATCAACGTGTTTTGTCTTCCATTTAAGAGACTAAAGAAATACTTTTAAGTCCGGAAGGAGCAACACGCGACAGGGGACAAGAAGTGACAGAAGACACTGAAATGTCAAACACAATTTAATGATTATTTATATGTACATTTTGGATATTGCACCATATTTCATACTTATTATACCGTTTTCCATATACCCATACCTTTTTGAATTTGGGAGGCATTTGTTTTCCCATAGGTTGTTCTGCAAAGCTTTAAACGATCATTTCTGCGCCGTTCGTTTTGAACAAGAATCTTTACTTAAATGAAACTGACATTTATTATTCTACGCTCACAATTTGACATGACAAGGTATATTGATCTTACAATCAATTTTTTAGCTCCAATATGGCGGATTATGATAAGTTGTCGCCACTGTCCTTATAAAGTCACTGTATCCTGAGGTTAGTGAACTATAATGATAAATGATTGTAATAAACCCACCATTCATAAACAAAATCTGTTTAGAATAATTATTTAAAAAATAAATATTATGGTAACTTGTTGCTACAAACTCGCTTGTCAGAGTAGTTTTAGGTTATTGCCTAGGCTGTGTACTTTCTGAGCTTTAGATACACAGACGGTATAAGCATTGTATTTATAAACGTAAATACAATGGTATAAGTATCAAAGTATACGCAAGAGGTAACCTTTTTAATATGCTAATAATTTAAGATGCAATTACATTGTTAAGCAGATTTGATAATTTATTTTCTTCTTGAAAGTAAAAAAACTTCCGCTTTTGAAGGTTTAAAAGCAACCATTTTGTTTCACGGACTGCTATACAGGACAGCATGGTGTGTTGCCTACCATTTCCATCTACAAGAGTATGCACAAAAGAAAATTTGCATGAAAAATGCGCTGTATGTAAAAGAGCAAGAAACCTGATATTTGACAATTGCCAATAAATACGTCACCAGTTTTTCCTGTTGACGTGTTTTAAAATTTTCAAACGAAAAGTGAAATTTAAAGGCACCGACGTTACTTCAATGGTTAAAAATTAAACCATTTTGCTAATATTAATCTAGTAGGTTGACCTTTTGACTACTACTTTCATTACAACTTTCAAACAAAATGGGTATTATAACTAAATTTGTTGTAGAATATATACCCCCTTCCGAACAACAAGCAATGTCTCCATCGGCGAAGAAACTGAACGTAAGAGACAAGGTCGAAGATGGAGAAATGGATCTGAGCATGTTAGATTTACAAGAGGTCCCCATTAAAGAGATCGTGAGTTACGATTTATTCGCTTAGAAATTCCTGTGATTATCCTTTTAGATTTCGATTAAAAAAGTGCACACCTTAGATTTGTCAAACAATCACATATCTTCGTTACCAGTAAGTGTCGGCAGTCAAAGACGGTCAAATTTCACCTAACATTTTTAGACGAATTTTTCTACTTTACATTGTCTGACCAAGTTAGATCTTAGTAAAAATAAACTTACGGAGTTACCAGACAACTTTGGAGATTTAGTCAAGTTAAAACATTTGGATTTGTATCGAAATCAGCTGCAGCATCTTCCTCTGAACTTCAGCAAGCTAAGGGCGTTGCGTTGGCTGGATTTAAAAGACAACCCCTTGGTTCCTGCAATAGCGAATATTGCAGGTCCTTGCCTCGAAACGAAGCAGTGTCAAGACTGTGCGAGGAATATTGTTGCATTTTATACTAAGCTCGAACAGAAAGTCGAGCACGAGAAGAATCTTAGAGAGGAGCAACGACAGAAAAACCTGCAGGCAAATATGGAAAAATCGAAGAAGGAGAAGGCTAAGAAACCAAAGAAAGAAAAACTTGCACCTGTGAAAGACGTTGCACAAGCCGCCACAGTAACTAAGTCGGCGGAAAAAAGCAGTAATTCTAAGAAAAACTCTTCCAAAAACAAGAAACATACCAAACCGAGTGTTTTCACTTCGATTAAACGCTTTTTTGCGATTTCGTTCCTGTTATTATTAACAATGTTTGTTTTAACTGCCGCTAAAATTGAGTTTATGAAGTCATTGGAAGACAAGGCGGTCGAAATTTGGTATAGCGGTGTCGATAGGTTGCCAAATAATCTTCAGGGTATTGGATTGGAGGTGGGAAGGACGATAAAGTTGCTACACGATTTTACCGCCAAAGGCGTGGTGAGCGTATCAGGGTATGTCAACGAATTGGGTAACAATCATAGTGTTAATGTTATATTGACTGAAATGTCGCAAGTTTTCAAAAATGCTACTTTAACGGCAAGTAAAATATATCTTAAAGTTTTTGGGAAATAAATGCCATAATTCTTAGCTCTCTGTGTATTATTGGGGTAGGTTATTTTCTTGTTCAGGGTGTCCTGGTGGCCTCTCTTGGAAATCATTGAATAAATTCATTGCTGTTGGATTTATGAAAAGTTAAGTATAAAAATAGATAAAATGACCAGGAGAGTAAAGAAAAAGCGCTTGTCAGGTTGCAACTGGTCTCCCGGGATTGCTAGGCCCTTTACAGGGCTTTTTAGGCTTAGGTCTGTCTTGGAATAGATTTAGAAAGCTTTGGGAAAAATCTATAAAACTCTGGTATAAGTTCCTATAGGGCTAGAAGTCTAGAAGAGATCTAACGGTAAAATTTGATTAAATAAATAAATCTAATAATGCTGAAATTGAAAGGGGAAAAAAATAAGAATATATATAATAGTTACAATACAATGGTATCGGAAGGGCCATACAAAGGACTGTGGAGGGCCTGTCTTGGCTGCAAAAAGTGAGTCTCAGATAGAGACGTTTTTTGGTTTTAGAGTTAACTCGAATTTACACCAGGTATATTTTATTCTGCGAAGATAGGTGCTGATTGCTCCAGGTTGAAAATATGTACACCTACTTGGACTCCATTCTCGCAGTTCTATTGTGTCGTCCCGAACAAAAATTATGTGTTGTACGCATGCCCAACGTCTCGCAGTTATTCTCTGTAGCCGCTCATGATAGACCACCCTGTATGTATACTATAAGTTGACTCATGTTATATCTCCTTTACCTTTTAACTCGTTGTAAAACACATGGTTTCGTATGGTGCCAACGTGCCATCTATTATAAATTTCACGAAATATGATATTTTGCTCAAAAGTGTAACTTTTAAGATTAATTGATAAAGAAGTGCCTTATTATTAATTTTATGGTAACTACAATTCCAAAGTAATTACAAGTTTCCCTAAACAATCACTTAAAGTGTATCGTACGGTTTGTCAACGTCTTTTAATTTTTTAGGTTATCTTACAAATGTTTATTTGTATTGGACCCGTTTTTTAAATGTGAAATGCCATCTTCAGTTCGGCCCAAAATACATTCGTCGGTTAGCAAGACACCAACCTCAACGCCAATGTCGGAGAGACAGCAAATGGCCCTACTCATGCAGATGGCTTCGCATTCGAGAAGTCCGTCCTCGCGATCGAAAGATCGCAACGAGCGAGGCGAGACGCCCCTGCACTTGGCCGCGATCAAGGGGGACGTCGAGCAAGTTTGTAAGCTGCTGTCGCATCACGCCGACCCGAACGTTGCGGATTTCGCAGGTAATGCGCTATGTTGACGACTTGTATCTGACGTAGCTTGTAGGTTGGACACCTCTGCACGAGGCCTGTAATCACGGGTGGTTCGAAGTTGCGTGCAGGCTAGTACAGGCCGGCGCAAATGTAAACGCACGAGGGTTCGACGATGATACACCACTACATGATGCAGCAGTAAACGGACACCTTAAACTCGCACAGTATTTGCTGGAAAAGGGAGCGGATACCGGTGCAAAAAATTCTAAAGGGAAAACTCCATTTGATGTATCATCGCCGAGTGTTGCCGCCTTACTTCTTAATTCCGATGCAGTAACAGGTGGGTCTCGAATAATTCTAGTTCAAGTGGGATTTGAAGTGTTTTGATCACTTGAGAGTTCCTATTTTGGTTGTGAAATTCGTGTTGGGGGTAATAATAGTAATAAATAAATTTGAATTTCCCGCCAATATGGCGGCGACGTAAAACCAGATGATTTACATCAAATTTGGGTTCGTATTCGCAAGAATTTTAGATCGGATTGTTTTTGTGGTGAGACGAGACGAATAACGAGAGATAGCGGCCGTGCAAGCGCATAGAAAGAAAAGAACGAGTTCGACCGCTTCCTAAACCTGAGATGCGACGAGCGTCGCAGATTTATAAAGGTACGTTCGATTAGAATTGGTAATCTTTTTCACTTTCGTGTTTCTTTGTTGTGCGTTTTGTTGTCGGGTAAGCAGAAATCACCATTTTGTTTTCGCTTGTATTCGATTTTCTACATTATTTCGCGCAAAAATTTTCTCACTTCGCAAAAGGATGAGGCAGGAAGGCACCATTAAAGGTGAAAATACCGTGACATGTTTATAGATTATATTGATATTTGAATTTAGGTGAATGCCCCTTTTCGCACCCCCTTCTAATGATCTACATTACCTTCTTAGTAAATTCGCGTTTTGCATTGTACTGTTATTTGCATGTTACACAAATTTCATAAATAAAATGCCAACATTCCTTTCTCATTGTTAGCTACGAAGAAAAATATTCCATTTAATTAATTATTGGTCGTGTCTTGAATGTCCCATCACCCTGTAGGTATCGATTTTGATTATTACAAGCCCTCATGATTTATTCCAAATTAAAATGTGAATCAAGATACCTTGCAATGTTACTGTGTCATGATTCATCTGTTGACTATGCAGATGTGATTATTTAAAATGTCACAGAAGTTATGAGACAATTCCTACCTCCCAAATCCAAAAAAGATGTACCTATGGAAAACGGTATAATGACTATAAAATATGGGGCAAGAGCCCGACTACATTTAATTATTAAATTGTGTACTGTCACTTTTCGTTCTTCATTGCAGTTTAAGTCCTCTGGAAGGAAAAGTGGCCATTGAGTCTCGTAAATATAGGGATAAAACCGGTTATTTAGAGGATGGGGTACAAACAATTCATTTCCCTCAATTTTTTAATTGTTTTCACTTAGGAACTCTGAATTGTATACTGTTTATTTAACACAATTGAGAGTAATACATGAAGTCTGGGCCGGGCGATTTTGGGAAACTTGCCCACTACCTCGCCACACGTAGGTACCTGTGCTAAAGGGAACAAATGTGGAGCACCATTTCCAAGAAGTGATTGTGATCGATATTTTTGTTAAGCACAAATTGTGCTACTTCATTTGATCCATCGCCTCGTGTAACTCGTATCTTGTTTGCCAATTAATTTTATCGGTTCAATCAGGCGACCCGACTATTTGTCGGGAATCTACTGCGTCCTTTCATGATAGTAACTTGACCGACATGCAGAGGGCTCTGATTGTAGTCTTTTGATGGGGTAGGAGCTTGGTAAATTTAAGAAAAAGTACTTATACATGAAAAGGACAATGAAAATAATTTTCCTTGTCATATTTGCAGTATTCTAAAAATATTAAGTATCCAATGGCTATATTTTTCAAAAGCGAAAATAAAGTTTGAAGTATTGGACCATTGATTGCAAAATAAATGTTTGATTTGTTAAAAAAAACGTAGGAAACGTTGTCAAAGAATTGTCACAGATATTTTGATCATTAAAGTTCATTTATTTTAATTTAAATGACACCAAAAAAATCTATGTCAGTCTGATGGTAATAGAGGTAAGAAAATCGGTGACCCCATGTCAAAAAGATGCTAGAACTAGCGCCGCCTCTAGACATTTTTAAGTTTTGTAGTTTTAGTGAAGGTGAGAAATGTGTTTTGGACACACGAAATTTAAAGAAAAATGCTATTGGAGGGGGAACATGAACACTAAGATAATGCTGTATGACATTTGATTCGAAGGACATTCAAAATATAAGGATTGCTTCCAAAGCCTACTACCCCCAATGAAAAATAAGAATATTGATTTTAAAAAATGCTAGTAACTGAATAACTAACGGATATAGGCATACCGAATATTAATAAAAGTGGCACTAAAATTTAAATCTACATTCATTCTTGCTTTTGCTGGAAACTTTTTCAAAACTTTGGGCGGCCACACAAAAAAATTCCTTAGACTATTAAGAGATGATGAATTTTTAAATGGACCCTTGCATCTTCAATTTTGTAGAGAAAAATTGACATGTCAAAAAGTATGACAGGGAGGTGCTTTGAATTCATAATAAAGTATATAAAATAGCTCAAAAAAGAAAATGGTATGTTTCTAATTTCCAAAAAAAAAACCAAGATCTTCCACTTCCTTCTTGAAATTATTTTATTTCAATGGTCGCAATGGTTCGTTATTTCAAATTTCTATTTCAACTGCAAATTTGAAAACTGTAACCGAACGGGCTATGTGAATCATCCTGTATGGTACACTCCAGTGGCGTACGTAGAAATTTATTCTGGGGGGGGGGGGATTAAACAAGTTCGTGGCACATACAGTCACCCAGTGCGTACTAGAAGGGGGAGGAGGGAGGGGGTAAGAAATAGAAATTGGGTTGCACAGGCGAAAAAGATTAGATTAGAACGGTATTTTATTTCTTACTGCTGACAGGCCCCTTTATTGCTTTTGCTTTAATTAGTCAACGAAAACTTTGAATAATAGGTATATTTATGGGCAAAAAAACAATTTCGACAAAAAATTCAAAGGGCTTGAACTTTTGATCTAGTAGCCCGATCTTGGAACTGTTTGAAATTATGGATTCTACAGGCCACATTCTATTAGAAAATATTTTTTCCGAGTCGATCTGAGAAAATTTTTTTTCTGGGCAAAAAAAAGGCAGTTATTACCTTCCTTTTTTACCAAAAATCGACTGCACCAAAATTTCTCGGGAAAAAACTTTTTCTTATTAATTTGGGTGCGTAGAATCCAAAACGATTCGTACTTTTTCGATTAGACGTCTCCATCAAAAGTTATGGGCAAAAAACCAATTTCGACAAAAAATTCAAAGGGGTGTAACTTTTGATCTAGTAGTCCGATCTTGGAACTGTTTGAAATTATGGATTCTACAGGCCACATTCTATAAGCAAATATTTTTTCCGGTCGATCTGAGACAATTTTTTTTTCTGGGCAAAAAAATGGCAGTTATTACTTTCCTTTTTTACCAAAAATCGATTGCACCAAAATTTCTCGGGAAAAAACTTTCTTATTAATTTGGGTGCGTAGAATCCAAAACGATTCGTACTTTTTCGATTAGACGTCTCAATCAAAAGTTATGGGCAAAAAAAATTCCTGTTTTTAAAATTTAAAATTCTTATTTTCGTCATTTCGTGAAAGGCAGGACGCAGGTACCTCATCTCAGTAGCAGTACCAAGTACCTGATACCTATTTGTTATTTTGGGCATCAATGTAGGGAATTGCCGATCGATGCCGAATAGCCAAACCGTTGACTGCCAACACTGATCGCTCACTGAATAGTGAATACTGAATACTACAGAATATTTAGATTTTAGTGACTTTAGACTTTAACTAAAACCAAAATTGCTCTCTATATATACCTATATATTATTGCCTTTATTTTAAAGTGGGCGGAGCGGATAGCGGAGTATTACCTAAATATCTAATAGCTATGATGATAACTCAATTCTTCTGGGGGGGGGGGGATATATCCCCTTCACCCCCCCGTAAATACGCCACTGGTACACTCCTGCGATTAGAGAATTAAAAAAGGTAACAACCAAGCTCATTTGATACTTTGGGAGGGTAAGTGGAATCAAATTTCGCCCCTCCATTCCAAAATCTTGTGGGGGAGGTGTGAAAATTTCAGTAACAGTAGTACAGTATAAGTATTTTAATATCTCGTCAAGTACTGTATTATATTAGAACCTGACTTAGCTTCGTCAATTTTTAAATATTAATTGCATTTAGGAACTTGAACAAACCACCACTGAGAGCACTTAAAATGAAACACAAAATTGGGGGGTGGGGGGGTAAATTTAATTAAACCGCTAATAACAAAAACAATCAATCCGAATTCAAATCAGAGTTGCGCTCTCATACTCACACGGAAATATCTTAAGGGACCTTCTTCTCCAATTTGCATTTTACAATTTCACATTAAGTATAGTAGTTTTTTTTTATTGCCTTTATTTTACAGTGGGCGGAGCTAGTCTTCCCGCTCAACACACTATAGACTATACAGGGTGGTGACTCCCATAACGCATCATAGGGATTTCAATGTAAAATTCATAACATGCGATTATTGGCTCCCCAAATTATTTTAGAGCAAAAATGTATTAAGGTTTTTTGTAGAAAAAAATTTTACGACAATCAACCGTATTAGTTTTCAATTTTTTGCATAATTAGAAATTGGAAAAATAAAACCCGCATATTTTTCAATAATCTGCGATGCCATGGAGTTTTCTAAAACAAAAAGGTATCCAGTTATCAATTAGCAGCAGCTCGAAATGGATTTTATGATCGACTTGGTTACTGTCTTGCAGTTAATGGTGACTTATTCGAACATTTATTGTAAATTGTTATATTAGGAAACCGTTTTTAGTAATTTGGTCTTTCTTTATGTTGAATTCGCTGTTCTAAATATAATACTTTTTTGATAGAATTTGATTTGTTTTATAGCAGACATTCCATGGCATGACTGATATTGGCGTAGTTTTTGTATTATAAAATTCCATGGCATCACAGATTATTGAAAAAAGATGGGGGTTTTATTTTTCCAATTTTCCGTCCTTATTATGTAAAAAATTGAAAACTAATACGGTTGATTAGCGTAAAAAATTTTTTTCTACAAAAAACCTTAGTACAATTTTGCTCTAAAATAATTTGGGGAGCATGTTATGAATTTTACATTGAAATCCACCCTGTATACAATCACAAACAACAATGCCTTACCTGGGATTCAAACCCAAGACCCTTGTAGCCAAAGTTATAGCTACTAATGTAAACTCATCTGAGCTACGCAGGTCAATAATTTTTCACCCTGTTTGACAACATCGGAAAATTTGATCTCCCTCGAAATCATAACTTTACCTCAGTATTTAAAATAATGTGCCATCATCTTTCACAGAGCCGGGATTTAGTTTGTGATTTGAGTTCAGGCACCCACCTTTGGATGGGACATAACCTGTCTCAGGGGTATAATATTCGCATACAACATGGGTTTCGAGGCCCATCACATAACAGTATCCAACATAAAATTAAGGAGTCGTGATCAATTGGCACTTATGCACAATAAGGGAGTGGCAAAATACCATTGTCGAAATCATAACTTTACCTCAGTATTTAAAATAATGTGCCATCATCTTTCACAGAGCCGGGATTTAGTTTGTGATTTGAGTTCAGGCACCCACCTTTGGATGGGACATAACCTGTCTCAGGGGTATAATATTCGCATACAACATGGGTTTCGAGGCCCATCACATAACAGTATCCAACATAAAATTAAGGAGTCGTGATCAATTGGCACTTATGCACAATAAGGGAGTGGCAAAATACCATTGTCTTGTATATTAAATTTAAAAGGAGGTTTACATAATAAAATATTACCATAATTTGTACTCAATGATAAAGGGGAGGCGAGTTCGAGTCTGGGTTCGGGCATGGATATTTGTAAATGTATAGTTTTATCAAACAAAAAGAAATGGACATTTTACACAATTTGGTACATTAGCAGATGCTGAACAATCAATTTTAGAACAAAGCACTAGCTTAGGCACTAGCATAGCTGTGACAGTGGCGCGCATAAATTATTATCTTTCACAATTAATTTATTTTAAAGGAAAACTTGTTTACAGAACCCACCATATCGACAAGACAGCAACCACGTCTGAGGGATGAAAAGAAGCTCATTGACAGCAAACAAAAGAACACAACCGAGGAAACGATGGATTCCTCAAAAACAACAGATGACGTGTACGAATTCAAATCTGTGAAAGATTCCTGTCCATCACCTGAGAATAAGCCGCAGGACTCCTGCGAGACGGAGAAAGACCTGCAGGATGGTGCTTCTACCACAAGTACAAGTCAGTCGACAGAGGAAAACGCGAAGCGAACTTTTTCTGAAGTAGCAGACGCTGACGATGCCGCCGACGATGAATCTAAGAAAAAAAAACGCAAAGATGACACCGCAAAAGAAACTAAGGCGGCGACGCCGCAGCGAAACGTCGGTCTTAACAAGGCACAGCTAAGTAAGCAAGCAACAACGGCGCCAAACAAAACAAACACCGCCGCTTCCGTTAAATCAACAGAACGAAAAACTCCACCCGCCAGTCCTAAACCGGCAACAAGCGACCAGGAGGTGGAGGACGGTAAATCAGATCTAAAAGTACCGCCGTTAAAAATTGTGATACCTCAAAGTACCAGCGAGCAAGAGAGCGGATCTACGCGTAATGGAAAAAACAATTCGCAACGCTCTCATCAGGCACTACCCTACGTTGTAGCTAGCTCTAACAACGAATCGTCCGAAAAAGATGCCACTTCTGGCACGACAAGCCCCACAGAAACTCCCGCCGTTAAAAATGAAGAAAAAAAAGAGCAGACCGCCGGCTCGGACGATCAGGTTTGTACCATCAAACTAACACCCACAATCTTTTCATCACTTTGCTTCATCATTGCTACAGATTGTCACCTGTTGCTAATTTGCTTATTACTCTTAAAATCGCATCGGTGTCATAGAAATTCATAAACTCTCACATCGAATTGAAACGATTATTTTTAAAGCGAGCAGGACACCATCAAAGAGTATTGCGAAGTTCGCATCGCTCGGGACCTGTTCCAGGTAGTGCTGACAGAAGTAGCAATAATTCCTCTCCACAACTTCAAAGATCTCACTCACCATCCCCATCTGCTTCCCCTTCTACACCTTCAAACCAACCTGAGACAACAACTTCAACTATACATAATACTTCCGCCGCTACTACATCCAAAACTTCTGACGCTCAGGTATTTCTTAAATATTGTAACGCTGTGCTCGCGATTCGCTATACAATTTTCATGCGCGTGCGATTTGCAGGTTACGACGAGCAGCGATACTGAACCGACCATGTCGACTTCCGGCGTTAATTCCACGGCGACGATGAACGTCGTCGAACTACATCCGAGGAAGCGAAAGATGAAGCCCAGCAAGGAAACGTCGGTACCGCCGCCTGCGCACGAACCGCTCGAGGCACCCGCCGTCTCCGAGATACATCCCCACGAACAACCCATAACCAATTGCTATCAACTGTTTCTGAACATTAGGAAACAAGTACGTCAATATATGTGGGGGGGGGGGGGGCCCCTGGGAAAAAACCACTGACATAAACATCCCCAATTAGCTCCATTAAACTCAATTAACAATGCTGTTAGAAAGAAAGGCACTCAGGGCCTGCACACCACGCACATGCGATCGATTGAAATAAATTAAAGGAAAAGTCTAATGTCCTTAAAAGAGAAAATCCTATCATTTTCTTATAACTGCAATGTTCTTTAACAGAGTAAAACAAAACACAAACACCCAATCAGATATTTTCTGTCTAAATATTGTGAAATTCCTACATCTCTTTTAGATTGACAAGCGACGTAAGGGATTAATTCCAGTACAGCCTAAGCCCCCGCAGGGCTTCAAGGATTACCTCATGAATCGGTGCACCTACGTCCTGGCCGGAAACGCGCCGACTACGCCCAACATAACCATTCCGGCGAATCTTCCCGCGCAAATGAAAGACCTGTACAGTGAGCAGGAGAAGGAGCGGTACAGATTACGAATGCAGGTAAGACTTTTCGATCGCACTGATCGATTACTAACCGAATTTTTTTAAGCATGTGATAGAGAAAGAAAAATTAGTACTGTCCGTCGAACAAGAGATACTACGGGTACACGGTCGAGCGGCGCGCGCTTTGGCCAACCAGTCGCTTCCGTTCTCCGTGTGTACGATTTTAAGGGACGAAGAGGTGTATAACTTGATAACGCCCGAGCAGGAAGAGAAAGATCGTAACGCAAGGTCGAGGTATAATGGGCGTTTGTTTTTGAGCTGGTTGCAAGACGTCGACGATAAATGGGAAAAAATAAAGGAGCATATGCTTTTGAGGCATCACAACGAAGCGGAATCTCTGCATGCCGTTCAAAAGATGGATTGGGAGTGGAAGCTGAAAGAATTGAATCTGTGTGATGCGAAGACCACGCCATCTATTGACGAATTACATGTTCCTATGGTTCATGTCAGCGACGACTTTGATTTACTCCCCGCTTAGTTCTTAATATTTATAATTAATTTATTACTGTTGATTGTTAAATAATGTAGCTATGAATTTTACTTACTTTTGTTTTCCATTCCCTCCTGGATTAATTTAGACATCTACAATGAGTTACTGATTAATAGAATACTGCTGTGGCGGCCCGGTTTCACAAACCCTTAGAATTTAGTTATTTCATGGTCAGTTTTTCCAAAATAAATATTTTTTCGAATTAACCTACTGTATATTATTTTTATGCTTAAGTTTAAATGAGACGTACTGTATATTATTTTTATGCTTTTAAGTTTGGTTATTAATTTCAAAAAATATTTATTTTGGAAAAACTGACTACGCCACTGAACTGAAATATGAGGAGGGACCAAAAAAAGGACAAAAACTACATTGGGTGGCTATGTTTTATTTGTTAGTGTCCAGTGGTGCTACATATCATTTACCCAATAGCTATTCAGAATTCTTCATTTTCATACTTCTAAACTGTTCGTGTTTAGTGGAAAACTACAGTATACAAAGTAGTGCATGAAATTTTAATTCATTCAAATTTTCTTAGTCAAATTTATCTTCTGACTAGCTTCCGAAAATCTCTGAAATATGTTACTAAAGCCCATTTTCCACGCTAAAAGTTGATCTTTTTAAATAAAACTTGAAAGTGAAATAACTTTCCAAGTGACATGCTGCAATTGTATTTCACTTTAAAGTGAAATGATGCTAATACCAACCTAAAAAATAGATGAGATTGGCACCTTTCATAATTTGTTTATATTTTATTTCTTTCAGTGTAATTTTCCCCATAGAATGTTACCAGGAGGATGCTTTCCGTGCTATACTCTAATGAAAGATCGTGACAAAGTTAATTGGGGTTCTAGGTCTGTAAGCGGAAATTGTGTACGCCGTCCAGAAGGAGTAGAAGCAACTCTTACTGCTGATGGTCATACAGGTCACACATACCCCTAATGTCTAATGAGGTTTTTCTTCGTCCATCTGTTGAATAACATTCATAATTTAGTGTGAATGGCCGCCTTGTTTATACTGTCTTTCAGAAAATATTTGTTTCATGTAGAATGAGACGATTTGAGTAGGTCATGGGAGAGTTGATGTCAAAATCGGTAAATTGAAAACTTTCGAATCTGTGTTGAACTATGGCAATGTTATTTCAGTGCAGATGGAAATTAAGGTAGCATGGAGAAATTTTCTGCAAGCAATGATTTAAGGATTGTTTGTTTTTCCACGTCCCGAAGTATCTCATTGGCTTATTTTATTTCGTCGCTGGTTGGTTTGTTTGATCTCTGAACACGTACAACTTTCCTGGTGATAAGTGGTAGCTGTAAACCAGGCCTGAGATGGGGTAGACATATTAATGAGTCCAGAAAACGTATGTATAAAATTTAAGTTTTTACATGATTGAGGTTTTTTACAACAGACGTAACGTCGCGGAGGTAGGGCAACGGTAAAGAGTAATTCACCCCCCAAAATTCTCGACCCTCGTAAGGTTGAGGGGTGGGGGGGCGGTACCTTCTGCGACAAATACCAAAAAGAAGACCTGGAGAGCATACAATGTGGCTAAACACTACAAAAGGCGAGCTTGTCTTCAAGAAAAGCACCCAATATTCGTGTAAAAGGTGACAACGGAACAAACGTTCCAAGTAGTAGATTACTGACGTTTAAGAATTAAGGCAAAAGCTGCAATTGAAGAAGACAGGGAAGAAGAGATAAGGTAGGTATTGCTATGTGTCCCACGTTGGGAGTCAAATTTCAATGGCAGACTGTCACTAAATCACCCACAAGCACCTGTCCAACTAGCTCAATTAAGGTACTAACTATTTCAAAGATAATTTTTCTAAAGCAACCTTCACGGCTAAAATCTCGATATTGTCGCAAATTTTATTAATTTGAAAAAATTCAGCAGTCTTAAAACCGCCTCCAAAATTCAATGAATTTAAAAAAACCAATTCTTAATTAACACCTGATGTAATTCCGGGAACAGAATAAAAAAATTTAACATGAAAACTCTTATCTAGGTCGTACCTTGGGCTCGTTCAATCATGTATACAATGAAACAACAAACATGTACCACACAAATAAGCGATCGGTAGACAATTAAATTAAATCTTAATTACTTTAGGCGAGGGAAATAAGGACAAACGTTCTACATTTTTGCAAACAGTTTGTATCGAAATGCGGTTTTCGGCATAGTGTTCAGAAAAACATGAAGAAAAGTGTTTTACAATACTGGTTGAGCCATTTTTTGAACATTTCTACGGGGCGGCGCTACAGAGTGTCGGGGTGCAGTGTGGAATCAAAAATAAAGTGCCTGGAAATTATATCGGAAATCGTTATGTACTCGGGTTTTTGAGGTAGGCTTAACCCATGTCAACCGGATAAACTACCACCGGAAAGCAATCTCACAACTCGCAACGAAGAAAGACTTAACTTTTAGTAGTTTGGGTAGAGTACACGAACTTATAAATTAAGATGGACTGCTAATGCTGAATTAACAAATGACACCTACATGGGGGCCGCCATGATGTGCACTCATATGGCGCGAAATTCAAATCAACTAATAAACAAGCATTACCTCACGTTTTCTAAATAAATTACTGTGACACATGTCATTTTCCAAGGCTGCAATAGTCTCAAAACTTGCACTAGGAAAATTCCCCTAGAAAATAACTAAAATGTACACATCACGGCGGCGCCCATGCTAGGGCCATTTCTACCTCTAGGCAACTGTTTGATCAGCAGTCCATCTTAATTTATAAGTTCGTGGTAGAGTACTAATGGACACAGGCTACTAGTCGAAAATCTCCCTTTATTATTGAATCTTGTAATGTACCGATTTTATACATATACAATATCTCAATTAGACAAAAATTTATTATAGAAACAAAAAATTACAACATATCATTTTTGGGTAACTTATATAAACCGCCTGAAAAAACAAGTTTTTGCTCCCTAACTTTTCTATCTAAAAACTGGGTTAGCTCTTGTAAACTGCATTCAATCGTAGGCCCTTGGAACGCGAACATTTTTAACATTTGGTGTATCCTCTCCAAAGGCAAAGAATCCAAATTCATCAGCATGCCGATGATATACGACCAGAATGTCTGAAACAAACGAATTTTAATATTGCAGTCCTTTTGTTTTCGATAAGTAACTATCAACTAGACCTTGACATGTTTGAAAGGGTTTTCTACTATACTTGCATACCTGGAGCTCCTCCTCGCGTTGGTCTTGTGTGCTAGCCATCACGCTCTCAGATTCGTAGTCATCAAGCACGACATCTGCATTAAGATTTGGCACGTTGGTATCGTGCTCTTCCACCAGACAAAAACAGTCCTTCATAAATTCGTCAATTAATCCGTGCGATAACCAAAATCTAATTTTTTTCCTTAAGATAATAGGGGGAATATGCAGTGTGCGACTTAGCCTATCCAAACACCAGTCGTCTTGAATTTTAACTTTAGCTAAATCGGTATCATTCCTTTGACTACTCACCTTGATCTTGAAATCGCATCAAAATTGCGGCATGAACCGGCGTAACTGACAAGTTTAGAACGCGATCCTTCAATTCGATCTCCAAGTCGACAACGCCCAGGTGGTTTTTCCAGCTTAACGTCCGATTCCCCTTCAAAGCCTCGAAACTTTTGGTAAATGTCTCCATTTGGGACAACACTTTCGGATGCAATTCTAACTGTTCATCTTTGAAAGGGGGCCAGAACTGCGCCGATACGATCAATGCTGATATAGGAAAACTATTATCGGTATAGTTCGCGTCTTGTTTAATGTGATGGTTAATCCGTTTGGAGTCGCTGATGTCCTTCAGCATAACCTCGCAGTAATGCAATTGGGAGTCGCCAAATCGCAATTTTAAAAGTTCTAGGTAGCGTATTTCCTTTTCGGTGTCGCACGAAAACTGTGAGAGTAAGCGATCTGCTAGGAGGGTGCGGTATTCATTTATGAAGAGCTCTTTGCTGCCATAGACACTCACTAACATTGATATTATATCTGCGCTTCTGCGTATATTTGAAGTTTTACCTGCAAATTTCTATGGTATGGATGCTTTGAACCAAAGACACTTACTAGGATCGACGTCGACAGGATCGGGCATCCACGCCTCCCAATTTTCAGTGTCTTCGTCTGACGCTGCGGTTTCGTCGACGTGCACAGCGTCGCCTTTTACCAACTCTTCAGCTAGATCATTAGGACCTTCCTCTGTGAGACTGCTAACGACACACCTACGCACAGACTTGCAGAAGTGGCCTTCAAGTTCTACAATTACCTCACTGTGTCCTCACGACTGCGTAAGTACTCGTGCATCGGTTGCGTGACGACATCGAGTAGTAACCCTGACGGATCTAAGATCCTCATTGACCTGATAGACGCTACATATGCGGTTAGTATGTCGGGTGTGCTAACGCCAGGGTGAAGTAGTCGCGTTTCCATCGCCTTCTGCAACTTCTTTGTCAGTAGGGGACGCAGGTCCGTTTTTGGCAGACATTTACTTAAGTCTTCTAAAGCCGGTGAAGATTCGGGGTATTCTTCGATTGGAAAATAATGTTCACGTGAGTATACAAATGTTATGCGTTAGACGATGATTCTTTAACTTATCCTTATTGTTGTTTGTGTAATTGCACTGTTCACAATTAAAGACTTAAGACGACGATTTCTTAAATTATCGTTATTTTTGGTTGCTATACTGTACTGACCACATTTGAAATTCTCGAACATAACGTGATAAAATGTAACGTTTTAAACTATCCTTGCTCTTTAAGGTGTAATTACATGATTGCAAATGAAAGTATAGATACTTTTACAGCTATAAAAATTGCAATATTGAGTACTTTTGGTCACTGTTAATAACGGCGATCTTATTTATCCCACCAATAGTAATTACAATATTCTGCCACCAGATGTCTCACTGTTAATCTGAATCGCTAATAACCCTTTGGTTCTATTGGCTATTTCTTAATGATCTAATGGTAGTGAACTAATAATAAAGATTTAGCCAAGTTTATTGCGCTACCCAGTTTATTGTACGTCGCTAACCAACGAAACCAGACCTTTCTTTCTATTGGGTATTTCTTATGCTGAGTTTATACAATCATTAGCATCTTTAGATCATGAAAAAATAGCCAATAGGAACAAAGGTTTGTTGTGCGTTGCTAACCAATGGAACCATACCTTTGTTACTATTCGCTATTTCTCAATGATCTAAGCTAAGGGTTCTATAAACCCACCAGTAATGATCTAATGACAGTGAACTATAAATAATAATAATTATACTGGCACGCGCGCTTCGTCGACCAGCGTGATCCGACAGAGAGAGAGCCACAAGGGGATCTCTGTCCCACTCTCGCGGATGCATAGAGCAGCCTATTATTTGATATGAATATTAATGTTCAGTTTCCTAATGAGTAACAGTGACAGAAATCCCTATCTATGGCAGAGACCACCACTTACCACTTTGCTTATTACTTATTACCTATAATAATATTGAAAAGTTGATTAATTCTAACTTTTGTGTACGTCTCGTACAAAAGATTTGTTAATTTCTGCTTATATTCCTGCTCCTGCAATTCAGAGGAACCGTCACAGCCGTACACCTTCCGCAACCAATTAATAATAAACTGATCCAACCACTAAAACAGAGAGAGAGAGAGGTGCGCGATCGTTTACAAAACAAACGCCGTCTAACCTTTTCCAATGCGTCGATGTAGGAGTTATCGAAATTGTCCTTACACGTCTTATTGATGTAGGACTCGATGTAGCCGTAGATCAACGAAGTAAGCACCTGTCCGCACAGCGGCTCCAACAACTTTAACTCAACCAATTTGGAGTTGGTCGCGTGAAAGTAAATTAAACACGAGCACTCCGGCTCATTACCGCAAACCGGGCAGGCGGTGTCGTCGTTGTTTTCCAACTTTAAAGCGGTCTCATAAAACTCTTCAATGATCTTATTGTAATTTAACGGCAATTGGGAGAGGAGAGTGGCTCGTATTATTAATTTTAAGCTGTCTGTGGCGTTTTCGGCATTGTAAATAGGCTTACTGTTGCAAAGCAAACTAGTATTGCCAATTAAATGGATATGATTTGTGAAGAAAGTGTACAAATAATCAACCGCTTTAAAGAAATTGCCGAAACCTTCGCCAACGTTGATATCGGTTGTGAAAAATGCCCAAAATTTTGGAACAACAAATTTCCTCACATGCTCTTCAAATTTACTTATAATTAACGACTTAATTGTAGCATTTAGTCCAAAACGATTAATTAAGTTTATTGTTTCGAATAACTGTGCGTCCGTGGTTTGGGCATAGGGCTGCAAGTAAACATAAAATTATAACTATTTAAAGCAACTTTACATGCAAACCCAATTAAAGTTATTATCCAAAATAGGAAACGTATGTTTTATCATAATCCATGATTTCTTCAAATCAACATTTGCATCCATTTGCCTAATTTTAGAAGTTTTCTTGCTAAATTCCTAGTTGCTAGTCATTATTTTAAGGTTATGATGAAAAACTACAGAATAGAAGGTAAACAAAACCAAAAAAATGGCGCCTAAATTTAAAAAACTGCAGATACGGGGTGATCATAAATGGATGATGATTTTTGCAAATGAATTTATTTCAAAAGAGTGAATCAATGATAAACAATATTAAAAATTGCTTTGGATTTTACAGGTCAAAATCTATACCTAAGAAAAAGTGTTTTATCCCGTTCATTTTCGGTTTCTGCTATAATGGCGCGAGATCTAAACATATTTTATTGCGCACATGGTAGGCCATGCAATTTTGTAGAAAAAATGAAGTGTGTCAATCTTACCGTTTAGCGTATTATCAACGCATTCAAAGGTATTGCATACATCACGAAAATAAAATTATTAATTTAAAAAAACGATCTTCGTGTTTTTTTTTGCAAGAAGTTTAATCCTTTGCAATTTATTGAATTTATGTTCTATACATTTTTTCGTGTCTTTTTCGGTTTGCCTGCGTTCGCGATTTGGTTAATAAAACTTCTATAAGACTCCATTAGCGGAAGTGTGATAGACTGAACCTACTGTTGCCGTCTCTTTCTTAAATTGCACGGCCGTGAAATTGATTCATAATTGAGGGAGCGGTTCACACGTCTCTATTTATTTTACACCGTGCATCTGTTTCTGCTTATCGGCATTGAAGTTATAATATTACGTATGTAGGTAATTCATTCGCGAATGAATCGCCAGTAAGTGCGGTTGTATGTGCTCCGTTAGTATGTATATTTTCCCCGTGGAATGGGTAAGTTTTGATCACTTAAGAAAGCGTAGATCATGTTTCTGTATATAATATAAATAAATTAAAATACGCAATCCTTAGTTTTGGAGGAGTAGGGAAATGAGCGCACTTTTTTTGAATGGGTGCCTAATTATACCTATTTTACAAGGAATTAATTTGACTTTTCATTGCAACTGGATTGCATTTCTTTAATTTGAACGAGTACTTTTAAAAACTTAAACAGTACCAAGTGAATTAAAATTTATACTTATATATAACCAGGGGTTGTAACCCATAAATGTATTAGGTAGAATTATTTTTTAAGGATTCCGATTCTGTGACTACAATCATTTTCGGTTTCGGTTCCAGTTTTTTCCGGTTTTTAAGGGATCATTCTTCAGTCATCGACCAACGATAATAGCGTCAATGAGATGTTAACGGTATATGGCAATTTTAAATTGGAATTATTCCCGCTTTGATGCATTTAATTTATCGAGAAAAAACGCAAGTTACGCCAATGTAAATTTTTAACCGCGAATCTTAACAATTCGAATTTTGAATGGCGGAAGTTGGCGAGGGGTTGCGCGTCGTGCTTTTCATGGGGGTATATTAATTAGTCGTTTATTGTGTGGTTGTTTGTGGTCGAGGTAGTAGAATATGTGTTTGATTCACAAATCTAGGTAAATATGTATCCTTTATTTTCTACATTTGTAATTACCTATATGTAATTATCATACCTAGGCTGCCTGTAGATTTAATAGATTTTGTATTACGTTTCTGTAGGAATTTTGCAAATTGTGCAATTGCATTCATTCATTTCCATGTATAGTGTAGCAAATGTTAGCATATCTCAAGGACGTTTAACGTCCTTGGCATATCTTCTCGTCCTTGGCATATCTCCACGAGTACTAGGTGAAATTTTATTACTTGTACAGGATGCGATATTATGATAATTTAGGGCGTATTATAGTTTTGTTACGTAGAAAGTTGGAGGTGAATTTTCCATAGGTGTGGGTGCTTTCCATTTGAGATTCATATACCTACAGGGTGGTTAGATAGTTTAGGGTATTTGGGAGATTTTGTATAATGTACCATGGATGGGAGGTTTTTGTTTATTTTATGTGAGGGCAAAATACATTTATTGAATTTATTTGCAGTGGTATTTTGCTACCATCTCTTATTTTGTGATATTTTTATGACTCCTGAATATTTGAATTTTAATATCATATTTTAGTAGGTACTGTTATAAAATGGGGCTCGGAAACCCTAACTCCATTTTATAATTAGACAGGTCATGTACTAGCCAAAGGCGGGCCCCCGAGCTCTTATCTAAACCATTAACAGAACTGATATATAGTATGAGTATTCTTCGTACCGTGAGCCCTTGGTGTGAATGTCGGCCTCCGTTACATAACAGCTGTAGTAATAAAAACATTAATTCCAGTGAAAGGTAGCACAATATTTTAAATATGTAAAATTATTATAGTTGAGAGGGAAATGAAATTCTTTGGTTTATTTATGTTTATGTTTACCGATCCTTGAAGCAGAGCTGGGATGATTACTCAAAAAAAGTACCTACTGATTACAATTACCTACTTTGTCATAAAAGTATTTAATTACAGTAATTGTTTACTTCAGAAAATTTGTATTCGATTACTGATTACTATTGTAATCGATTACTTCCCAGCTCTGCCTTGAAGCAACAATTTCCAAAAAATACCTATAAAAATAAGAAGGATCTGGATAGCATTGCGCACTCTGCGCAATTTAATTATCAATAACCTTTTTCTTGATTGAGGCTATAAGATAGGGAATGCAGAAAGAACGAACCAAATATCTTAAAATCTGTAGGACGGATATAGTGGCCATAATACGCCTTCCAACGTATTACCTAGTTGGTAAAAGTGCTAAAAATAACAGTACTAAGTATAGCTAATAATATTTACGAGGACGATGTAAAACTTCATGTAATGACTAATGAGCGATGAGCCCTACGCTAATCGTATCGAAACATCACATTAATGCAGAGCGCGGCTCCAACATAAATCCACCCTTTATATACTTACCTACGTTGTTTGTTATCTGGTTTACTTCCTTTGACACATATAATTTCCCACCTTACCGTAATATACTTATGTCACAGGATATATCATTTTAGCATATATGTGACCACGTTGATGAATCCAAAAACCACGACACTATGCTACCCACTTCAAATTGCTGCAAAGACCAAATATTCTTCGAATTGACACAGAGCAACTGTGCGGTTACACATTTGGAGCAAGGTCGCTGATCAACGCGCCCGCATTGTCAGAAAAATGCCAAAGGTAAGAGCATTGAACCTAATGGGCTACATTATATGTTTACTACATTGCAGATGTGAGCACTGTCCACCAAATTTCGTATTCCAGATTGTTTTTTTCCGAAGCAACTTCTACAATATGGAAAATCACAAATTTTCTGGTAAGTAATGTCATAGGCAATTCGATTCATATTTACCACTAAGTGACTTGATAGAATTTTTAACTTTTGGTGATTTTTTTCGACGTTTTACTAATTTGTATGTAATCTAGCATATAAAACACCATAATATTCTAAAATAATTTCTCAACATAGTAATATAGTATGATAGTATACAGTGCTATTTATTAAGAAGTAGACATAAGGCATGAATGTATATTGTTATTCCCTGTCTACTTTTAAATGCGAAAATCTCTTCTGAATGGCACTAGTTTTATGCAACTAAAATAACTTCTTATAACAAATAAAGATCTCGCTGTTATATTAATTTGAATATTGCCGATTTGGCTTCTGTATTTTTATTATCGTTCGTGTGTGTTGTATTCAACTGAAGAAAACGTTAGTTGCATAAAATTAGGCGCCTTTCAGAATATGTTTTGTCATTTAAAAGACACAGAGAAAAAAATACACGTTAATATCTATGTCTACTTCTTAATAAATAGCACTGTATGTACAGGCTATTTCACCGGTACCTAAAAGTGTTCAGACTCCCATTAATTTAAATTTAAATCTGAATACCAACATATTTTTTTATAATCTATCGAAGGAAAATATTATCGTGATCATTCCACTTTCGGTTTTACTGGATGTGGACACCAACTTTCTTATTTTAAATAAAACACCCTACATATTGCATTTTCGAAATCTACATGAAAATCTATGTCGTTTGATAGGTAGGTACCACATTTCCCTATACCCATCAGCATCAAAAGTTTTCAACAAGATTTCTCCAAATTTTTGACATTTCGCTGCTTTTCTTTAGCGCTTTCAAAAAGTGTTCCAAAATCAACAATACTGGCGTGATGCTAACACGCTAATGATTTAAATTTTGATGGCCCTTCTACAGGGTGTTTTGAAATTAATGGTCAAGTTTAATAGCTTGAACCTTAAAAAGTTGATTTTTACAAATGGAATCTGCTATTATTTTTTTTTAAATGTCGAGAAAATTCTACATTGATCAATTATTACATTCCCTATGCCTATCTGTTATGCTTTTCGTTTTATTTTAGATTTTCTAACATTGTGAGCGTTATGCATAATTTTCTTAGGAGGCCTTGAAATAAACGCGTTATCGCAGATCTGTCAGACATAAATTGTTTATGGTTATAATTTTTATCATTTTTGTTGTTCATGACAGTTTATATCACAATAATGTCAAAAATTTGGACAAATCTTTAATAATTTGAAAACCCTTGATGCTGGGTATAAGGAAATGTGGTATCAAAAGATGTAGATTTTCATATAATTTCGAAAATGCAATATCTACCTAGTTCTATATTTAAAATAAGAAAGTTACTATCCACATCCGGCAAAACCGGAAGTGATGATTATATAATAATATTTTCCGTCGATAGATTTTTAGTATGTTTTCTACGAGTAAAAAATAAAAGAAAGGAACCTTGCATTAAAAGGGGTCGAGACGGATATGGACAAAAAGGAAGTTATAAGAGTGGGGGGCAACGCGTCATTATTGGCAGTGGTGTAGTAAAACAAAACTGACATCGCCTCTTCTGTTTTATGATAAGTCAAGTCGACATAACTGACTAGCGCAAAGAAAGTAATATGATGGAGACTTAACTGTCGCATGCTATGCTATTTTCCCACCACCGTTATATTCTCTCCTCTGATTTTTTACTCGTAGGTTTTAATAGTTTTTGTTTGTTGTACTTTGTATTGTTTGTGAATACCTCACTGTACATTTGTGACATGTCCATACACATTTTTGACAATGTCTTAACTGGATAAATTAAAAAAAAACTATGTTGGCATGCAAATTTGCAGATTTAAATTATAGAGTCTGAATACTTTTAGGTTTGCGTGAAACAGCCTGTATAGTAGAACGTTTATACAGTAATTGTAAACGTACCTACCTAATTCTTCAGTTTGATCTATAAAGTATTGCTGAACGGCACATATGCCTTGATTGTTGAAAACCTTTAATTGTTTTATGAGCGTTGGTAATAAATAGTAGTTTGACGGTACTAAATCAGGAGGCACAATCACATTTTTACCTTGTTTTAAAAAATTTAGCCGAATTAGACCACCTTTGACTCAGAACACTGGATGCTTATAGCTTTGTACCTAACTAGGAACAGCTTTTTTTCTTATTTTCGCTTTCATGAATACACCTTCGAAATATCGCAATTTTCTTTAAACTTCCCGAATTTAATTTTGCATTTATTTTTTCCACTTCAGTTTATTTACCTACCTTTTCACTCCATTCAATGAATCCTGCAAAATTATACTTTTTCATTTTTCTATACAAACATCCTTTTTATTTTCCGACTAAAACTTATCTCTCTCCTTATTTAATAATCTTTGCCTTATTTTTCTTATTTTCCCTTACCAATTCTTCTTTTATTTTTTTAATCTCCCTCTTCATCCCTATAAAACTACGCCTTAATCCTTATCAAATTAGAATTAATTCTTCCATTGGAATAATGTATATTTCTTGTAACGCAATGGAATTATGTGCCACCCACCTAATGGAATCAAACGAATGGGGTTTAATTTCGTGGTCGAGCACAGAGGTATTCGGGGTTCAACTTTTAATTGGGACCCCCTGTATGTAGCACAGGGCAAAATCTAAGACTAAAATTAGTAGGTAATAATTAAATATGAGGCGTAGATGCACAAGGGCACCATCTACAAATTTTTAAATAATTTTCAAGCGGTTTGTACCTACTTTAAAATGTGGAAGCAACATTTGAACGATTCAACAAGTTTTGCTTTGTTATTATACAATAAGTACAATGGAGGTACACCACTGGTCAAGCAATGAAACAGATTATGGAATAAACGAAAAGTAAAGTTTTGTGCACCGAGAATATGGTCGTGATACGAAAATTTGCTTCAATACGTATTGCCCTTGCTAGGATCATTGATTATACACACTAAGTGTTTGTTTACAATGAACGTATACGTAAATATTTCATAAACCATAACTCGTACATATTCGTATCGTTTCCGTAAAGTTTACAATAAACCAAAGATCATACTACTTTGACCGTACGTAACTTTGCAACATTTTCAACTTTTGCGACTATGCGCAAGCGTTGCATATCGCTTACGTATACGTACGTAAAAATTACGTTCATTACCTTCGTATGTTTCTATACAGTTCAAATTTTTAAGTTTTATTATGTATTCCTTACCTTATATACCTTCATTGTAAACAAGCACTTGTTTAATCAATGATAGGATATTGTCAGTCCCCCTTCTTTCATAGTCTTACCGAATCAAAATATACCTACAATCCGATTTCACTTTTTAGACGTCTCTAGCAGTACCTACCTACTCAATCGCTAACCATCCAAAACTTATGCGAAGACCGAATACTCTTTGGAGAAAGGTCACTGATCTACCCTGAGGGATAGTCATTTAGGTATAATGAAACACAGGTCATAGGAAGCAAAACAAAATTGGTGACAAAAAAATACTTATCGAGTTATTTATTTTTCAACTTATCGATTACAAAAAAGACATACCTACCTACTTCATTAAAATACATTACATATGAAATTTTTCATTGTGGGAAACTTCTTTAACATACTCTATACCTACGTCTAAACTGCACTGGGGTGATGAACTCAGTGCCTAAACAGTAAACTGCAGTCTCTTAACAGAACCAACTACAACTATGAAAACTCCTCAAAGTAAAAGGTAAAAAGTCCAGGGAATTCAAAACAATTCAACAAAAACGTTAAAAAAATTCACAAAAGTAATGATTCAAAAAAAGTGATAAGCAAAAACGTTTGTGATTAAAAAAAATTAACTGAAATTCAAAAATGTTAAAAGTGCTTAAAATAGTTCAAGAGTGATTCAAGAAAAGATAAAAGAAATTCAAAAAAGTTTAAAAGTGAATCAAAAAAGTTAAAAGTATTCAAAAAAGTTTAAAAGTGATTCAAAAAAGTTAAAAGAAATTAAAAAAAGTTTAAAAGTGATTCAAAAAAGTTAAAAGAAATTCAAAAAAGGTTAAAAATGATTCAAAAAAGGTAAAAGTGATTCAAAAAAGTTTAAAGTGATTCAAAAAAGTTTAAAAGTGATTCAAAAAAGGTAAGTGATTCAAAAAAGTTTAAAGTGATTCAAAAAAGTTTAAAAGTGATTCAAAAAAGGTAAAAGTGATTCAAAAAAGTTTAAAAGTGATTCAAAAAAGGTAAAAGTGATTCAAAAAAGTTTAAAGTGATTCAAAAAAGTTTAAAAGTGATTCAAAAAAGTTAAAAGTGATTCAAAAAAGAAAAAGGTGTTTCAAAACTTTTTTGAATCACTTTAAACTTTTTCGAATCACTTTAAACTTTTTTGAATCACTTTAAACTTTTTTGAATCACTTTAAACTTTTTTGAATCACTTTAAACTTTTTTGAATCACTTTAAACTTTTTTGAATCACTTTTAATCACTTTTTTGAATCACTTTAAACTTTTTTGAATCACTTTAAACTTTTTTGAATCACTTTAAACTTTTTTGAATCACTTTAAACTTTTTTGAATCACTTTTACCTTTTTTGAATCACTTTTAAACTTTTTTGAATCAAATTTCACTTTTTTGAATCATTTTAAACTTTTTTGAATCACTTTTAATTTTTTGAATCACTGTATATACATTTTGTTGAATTTTTTATTATATTTTGTATTTGTGTACATAATAATAATTAAAATATGGCTTACATTGTGCCCTTTCGTACGAGGCGTGGATTTTACTGGCAATGATTACAAATTTTTGAATGCTTTTTAGTACTAAAAATTGACTGGACTTACAATGACTTTGTATTTTCCAGATTTGGACGTGGTTTCCTTACCGCACCTTCCCCTGTAGAACTTCCAAGGAGAAAAGGATGGCTCCCTATAACAATAAAATAGCTATTTTCAAATGTATATAAATTGTGACTGAAGGTGTCTTTGTTAATAAATTTACTGAACATCAAAACTTTACCTTTCAATCCATGAAGAACTTGTCACCGTCCCATTTCTACAAACCATGGGCAACCAAAGTGATGAATTAACCACATATGAAAACGTGGTAATCTTTCATAACGACTGCATGGTGTCGACACAGCATCAGGATTATTGGATGGCGTACCCCTCCATCTCCAGAAACTTGTCGGCAATCGAAGTGAATTGACTAAAAAAAAATTCATCGCCTGGAGGTCTCCATTTTGAAACCCATGTGGTAACCTTTTCGAACGACTGGACCGTGGCATCGGGATCGATTTGATGCCCTACCCCCCCATCTCTCTCTAGCATAAGATGCAATGGAAGTAGGATTTTTGATTGAGAGGTCTGATCGAAAAAGTACGAATTGTTTTGGATTCTACGCACCAAAATTAATAAGAAAAAGTGTTTTCCCGAGAAATTTTGGTGCAGTCGATTTTTGGTAAAAAAGGAAGGTTATACACTGCCTTCTTTTGAGTCCCGACGTCTAATCGAAAAAGTACGAATCGTTTTGGATTCTACGCACCAACATTAATAAGAAAAAGTTTTTTCCCGAGAAATTTTGCAGTCGATTTTTGGTAAAAATGGAAGGTTATACACTGCCTTTTTTTGAGGCCGGAAAAAAAATTGTCTCAGATCGACCCGGAAAAAAATTTTCTTATAGAATGTGGCCTGTAGAATCCATAATTTCAAACAGTTCCAAGATTGGGCTACTAGTTCAAAAATTACAGCCCTTTGTATTTTTTTTCGAAATTAGGAGTGGTATCATCAATCAAGCGATGGCCTAGGGCCCCATAAGACGTTATGGAAAATTTTCCGACGCGCCTCTGATGTGAGTACTGGGTGGGAGAGGGACGTCATCTTTAAAAACTGAAAATCTAACTATTTTGAATGCTTTTTTATGTAGATTACGATGACATGAATACAATTTTTTATAATGTCTTTAATTTTTGACAGCTGTTTTAAAATCGCCCATTTCACTGCTCCCCCGTTATTTGGCGTACCTATAGTGTAAGAAGCACACACAACGCAAATGTGCCTTTAGAAATAAAAATAACATCATGTAACTGCGATATAGAGAAATAGATGCTACATCAGCTACATACCTATGTACTAGTATACAGTGATATTTAAAAAGTAGACATAGGGATTTAAGTGTGATATTTTCCCTGTGTCCACTTTTAAATAACAAAATCTCTTCCGAAGGGCGCCTAATTTTATGCATCCAAAATAACTTTTTAAAACAAATAAAGATCTGCCATCTGCCATGTAATTAAATCGGATATTGTTCCTTTGGCTTCACAGAAAACCTCTTATATTCTGTATATACACTGTACATATATCCTAGTACCCTGTGTAAATAGATCGAGATCGTAATATTAGCGCAATGAAAACATTTGAGCCCCCCCCCCCCCACATTTTTAAATAATGTGAAATTTATTTTTGATTATGCTATAACCACATAGGTACATTAAATGATTGGGGCGTACAGATCCTAATGAAGGAGTGGTATCCCTTTCAACGGGAAAGCAGTAGACATCAAACAGCATTGTGATCACTCGATGGCGTGACTCCCACATCTTTTCTGAAGCCCTGTTGCCAGAATTGAGGCGGGCCCCTAGTTATTTGTTCTTTAATAAACCACTACTTGTTATCAAAAATTTATATTATGTATCAATGCGAAATATATGGTACCTATACCTTTTTCTACAACCTCCCAGAAAATGACATCATTTAGTTAGAGGCATAATATAGCACCCGTCGCGGAAACGTGCGCAATTTTGCTACTCACCTGTAATACGCAATTACGAGGTGACGGTCGCTTCGTCACTGTAATATAGTTTAGGCTCAAGTTGTAAGCAGAAGCACATCTAGTGTGGAGCAGGTAAGCCACGTGCCCTGAGCGGCTTTTAAAAAGGGGGTGTTAAAATCGCCAATTAATTAAAAATCAAAATAAATCACAAAACGAGATTGTATCAAACAATTCCATGGAATTAGTGGTGGGCGCAAAAGGTGCTGATAAAGGATGCACTTGTTCATTTGCAAGACAATTAATCCCCACCGACAGATTGTTATTTAAGTTTAAAGCAAACCTGAGCAGTCCGCCTCCGACGTCTCTGTAGACTGGGATGTTGGAGGAATCAAACATGATGACCATAAAATTCAGTCAACTTCTGAGGACTCTCTGGTTCTCCTGTTCACCTATTAGCGTAGGCAAAGAGTACCCTGGTCCTATTGTGCATCCATAGCGTAGGATTACCCTCATCTGTGAAAGTGCCATAACTTTAGTACCATGTACGATAATTAAGAAAGAACTTTCAAATATTTATAACATAGAGACCACCCTACTTGTCGCATTCAATAGAGCATACTTGTCGTCATTCTGGAAATGTGATGAAGCAATACATTTTTTCACCCATTTGAACGCGTGTATGTATATTTGAGACGGGGTTTAGTATTAAAGTTTGCTTATTTGACGGTATTCATTGAAGTGGGATATAATCTTAGTGATCAATACCTGAATAGGGTGGTTCGACATTTTTT